CGCGGTTTTCTTCAGACGTTGTAAGCGAACTAAACCATCGATAAACTTACGTAGAAAGACAGAGAGAGAGAGAGGGTAAGGGAGAGTTGGTTTCGCACTCTCCTCGCGTGCACGGAGGCCTTTCTTCCTTTTCTCTCCCCCTCCCTCGCTCTTCCACCCCCCGATCGATCCCCGCGGGCACCCTTTCGCGGAGACCCAATCGTCTTCTGTCCGTTTCACCCCTTCGTTGCTTCCATGGCCTCTCGCGGCACTTCGACTTTCCGTCCCTTATGTCGAACGAGCATCGAGTCGACTTTTGAGAAACCGAGTTTTCGACCAAAATTATTGCCGCTTTGCTTTCTTCGAAATAACCCTCCCCCTTATGATCGTCTTAATCCGTTTCACCTTTTCGTTTCACCCCCCTTTCGAGTCAACTCCCAAAAAACCGATGTCTCCGAAAAGAAAGATTCCCGACCTTTCACACCCTCCGAAAATATATCCCTCTAAACTTCGACTTTCCGTCCCTTACGTCGAACGAGCATCGAGTCGACTTTTGAAAAACCAAGTTTTTCACCAAAATTATTGCCGCCTAACTTTCTCTCTAACAACCCTCTCCTCTACGAGAAGGGGTTCTAATATTCTGTCCGTTTCACCTTTTCGTTTCTCCCATGGCCTCTCGCGGCACTTAGACATTCCGTCCCTTACGTCGAACGAGCATCGAGTCGACTTTTGAAAAACCGAGTTTTTGACCAAAATTATTGCCGCTTTGCTTTCTTCGAAATAACCCTTCCCCTTACGATCGTCTTAATCCGTTTCACCTTTTCGTTTCACCCCCCTTTCGAGTCAACTCCCAGGAAACCGATGTCTCCGAAAAGAAAGATTCCCGACCTTTCATACCCTCCGAAAATATATCCCTCTAAAGAGGGTACACGACCATCTTCGTCTCGGCCGGTCTGCGAGGGGCGATTTACGTAAATCATTAAAGGCGCTCCCCCTCCCCTCTTTCACCTGTCTGCCAATTAGGCCCTTTACCTGACTCTCGACGCGAATTTCCTCCGCCCCCTTCGAAATCAACCGAGCGTGCCGGGAATAAAGCTGACGTAAATAAAGCGATCGATAATGCGAATTCCCCTTTCGTTGTAATGCCCCAAAAAGAGGAAATAAATAAAAAGTACTCATAGAAATAATATGGAAAAAAATCCCCAAAGTCGGCCCCTCCCTCTTAACCCCACTGCCCCTCGACATATCCCGGGAAGATCAATCTCTCTAAAAAATTGCATCCACGTAAACGTCGCATTTATCCAAAATTCTATCCGCTTCTCCCTCGCCGCAGGATTCTCACGCGGGGCATACTCCTACGCAGAATCGGTCCGAATTGCGGTTCAAGCCTAAATTACGGGCCGATTGCAGAACCGGCGGTCACTTCAGAGAACACCCCGCGCCCTCGTTGCGCAATCCGCGCGGTAAGCGTTTTTCTTCCCCGCGGGCTCTCCTCCTGCGTGCGTCGTCGCGCGTCACGCGTGCGGCCGAGCGCGATTCGATCCGTCATTACCACGGCAATTTCAATCTCTGCCCACGAAGAGGGCCTAATGACGGTCCAAACCTCACAGATACACCTCTACCATTAAAAGAAAAAAAAAAAAAAAAGAAGGAAAAAATACTAAAAAAATCAAGTAAGCCCGACACTCGATCAGCGTCTCGCATAAGTCCTAAAAACGCGGCCGGATTTCGTTAATATCCATTTCTCGGGATTAAGATCGGCTCTCTCGACTGGGTTTCCCACGGGCCGGCGGAGTGCGGCTCTCAGAGCGTGCGAAAAGCGGGAAAGAGAAAGAAAAAAGGAAAGAATAGAGGACGAGCCCCGTGGAAGGAACGTGCCAAACGGCGAGCCCGTTGTCACTCGCGTATGACGCATCGAGCGCACTCGAAGAGCGGGCCGAAAATCGTCCGAACGGCTTCGAAATCGCCGAAAGAGAGGGACCTATCTCCCTCTCTCTGAGAGGGAGAGAGAGAGAGAGAATTCCGCGATTAAGGCCGTCCAAAACGAGCGGCGCTCACTTCCCAAAAACCCGGCCTTCCAAGGTGAGTCATCCCGAGGATGCCGGTGCGAGGAGTACGGCTAAAAAAAGGAACAAGCCGCGTCCCCGAATGCCACGATCGGCCCGATAAGCCTCCTTTCGCTCGAAAACAAGGGAAATCGAGAGTCGGATGGGAGCGCACCGCCGAGTAATAACTCGGCCGATAAGGAACTCGAGCCGCTCGTTCCGCGGATATGTCGGCAGAGTTTCCGCGCCAAATCTTAGCCTCGCTCGAGGCGAAGAAGACGGTAAAAGTCCGGAACTTCCCATCGAACGACCTGATAGGTACATAGGTATACGCGTGTACAGGTATACAGGTGTGCGCGTATGTACGTATAAGCGGGCACAAGTGCGAAGTCTTACGAGGGAGGCGCGAAGTGTGCACCCACACTTTATCCGCGAGATTTAGCCTGGCGCGTCAGATCGGGCAGAAAATATTTCTTTTGATTTTCTTTTCTTTTCTTTTTTTTCTCTTCTTTTCTCTTTCCTCAATTGTCGAGACGCTCCACAATTTCTAACCTAACCTCTCGCGGAAGCTTCGCGAGAATCTGACGATGCGTGGGTTTCGCGGAAGGCTCATAGATAACTAGAAAGTAACCGTAAGCTCAGCAGGAAGTCGATCGATTTTCCAAAACAGACGGTATCAATGTTATCATTAATTTGATCATTAATGACCCTAGTCAGTCAGAGTCGGGGGCTAATAAATCAATTTGTCGTATCAATCGACGATTTTACCACTTTACTCTTCTTTCTTTCTCCCCACGGGATGCCGTACCGTACGAATCGGGAATTTACGAATAACTCGCGCAATCCTCTTTTTACTCGCCACGATAGGAACGAAATATGTCCGAGGATTCAAGTTAGGGTTACATAAAAAATCGAGAGTGGTCTGACCGACCGCATGATAACGGGTATGTCAAAAAAAAAAAAAAGGAGGGGAAGAAATAGTAACCGGCTAGGGTTAAATTCTCAACGGAATGGCTATCCAATTCTTACCTTCGCGTATAGGAAAGAACCTCGGTAGAGTTTCGCGCCAAATACATTTAAGAGCAAGTGCGAACGACGCCGAATACTTAACGGCAAATTCGATAGATATTTATTTCTCAATTAAGAGAGCTCATTACTGTCACGCGAGGTATATGGGCAGGCCCTTAAGATTCGGTCAACTCCATCCTCCATCATCCCGGAGTAGTAATTCCCTCACATTCGATCATACACTTTGCCATCCTAAGTCTGGTATAAATTCCCGTAAGTTAATAACATCCTAGTCCACCGTTGACATTGAAACAATTCCAAGCCAGCATCCCCGGCAAAGCGTCGAAACTCACTGACAATCGATTCTTACTCCAAAGGAATCAAAAGCAGTGTCGGAAAGGACCAGAGGCCGATTCCGAAGTCCACCCTATCGAAATGATCAATATCGCCCACGACTTTTAAATATCGACCAATGACAGGACTTCGCGGCAATGCAAAATTCATCAGGCAAATCCAAAGGCGTGCGAAAAAAAATCCACGCGAACTCGAGATGATTACTAGCAACTCGAAACCTGGGGAATTGTCACACAATCGCATAATCACTGCAGAAAGTAGCAATGCCGATTCCGGAGTCCACCCTGTCAATATTAACGGGCGAAATGATCAATATCGCCCACGACTTTTAAATATCGACCAATGACAGGACTTCGCGGCAATGCAAAATTCATCAGGCCAATCCAAACTCGTGCGAAAAAAAACCACGTGAACTCGAGATGATTACTAGCAACTCGAAACCTCGGGAATTGTCGCATAATCGCATAATCACTGCAGAAAGTAGCAATACCGACCGGGGTGGTCCCTTCCTCCCAATCAGCATTGTTTATCGCGCGAGACAAACGGCGGTGCGTTCTCAAAGGATGTCTCCGTGATTTCGAGGCGAGTGCCCCCTCGCCGGGACTTTAGACGTTGCGAGACGTGGCCGTAGCTACCTGGCCCTCTCTCGACCGACGATATCTCCGCGGCGGGCCTCGCCTCGTCTCGGAGGCGCAACAAAGAGCGCCGCGGCGGCAGAGACGCCTCCTGGCCTCTCAGCCGCGGTGGAAGGCAGAAACGTTAAGTCAAGGTCTCGCGCTGGAAGCCCGGCGTCCCCTAACCTCTCTCTTTCCCCCGGCGGACGGCTTAGCGTTTTTCGGAGGGCGAGCGCGACTCGATCGCGCCGAGGGAGAGAATTCGCTCGACGGCGATATTCGGGTCGTTAACGGTATACACGAGGAGGCGGCTCGGTAAAGGCGGACTCTGCTCTGCCGGCCTCTCTCGAGTGTCCCGTTACCTCGGCGAGCGGAGGCCCGGGCCTCGCCCGGTGCATCCTAGGGCGTCCTTTGTACCGATTCGGGCCGTCGAGAGGAACGCGCCGGTTGGCCGGTCGCGATTCCCCTCGGAAGACGGTAGGCACCTTCCTTTGTCGGCACGGCTCGCGACGCGAAGGGCTCGACCGGCTCGGGCCGAGAGGGGGAAGAGGTCTCTCCAAGAGGGAGAGAGAGAGATAGATAGATCGTTATGAGATCTCATCGAGACAAGTTTCGTTACGGCGACGGCAGAAATAGTTTACTGCGCCTCGCGCCTCCCTTTCGAGGAACGCGCTCGAGTTAACGGTCGTTCCGCGACTCGAAGGTTCGGCCCGTTTTTAGGTTACCCGCCGATTTAAAATAGGTTTATATGGGTTCATCAAAGCTCGTATAGGTTTACGATGTTAATGGGAGTTTAATACGCGTGGGTGGGCTGTCTTTCGTTTCTACGGTCCCCGCTACGACTAAGTCATCGATTGTGCCGCGCGGCAGTTTAGGTTAGGTCGGTCGGTAGGACGCACGTCGCGGTTTTGAGGTTACCTCGGACCCAGGGGGCGCCCCGAGCCCTTCGAGACTCCATGGCGACGGGAAGCCGGGAGGTCGTCCTCTGTCTCGGTCTTACCTGGAGCGGCGTCCGAGGGCATTGCGTGGGGCCTCGGCCGGTGAGAGTCCCCGGGGGTGCCAGAAGCGGAGGAGCCCTTTCTCGTCCACGGGCGTCGCGGCGACAAATCGCAGCGAATCTCTCGCCTCCTCCTCGGCGTCGGCTCGCTTCCCTCGCGAGATCTCGGCCGATCCTTGCACAAGACACTGGAGCACTCGCGCCACTACTCCCGCGGCCGGCCTCGACTCGACTGGGCTCCGAAATTCCGCGAAATCGCGGCCTCTCAGCGACTTTCCCCGAGAGCGAGGCGTCGAACGTCCGCGCGCCGCGAGCTCCCACTGGGGAATGAACCGGTGGCGCCACCGCCGGGCCGAGAGGTGGCGCCCTCGCGAACTAACCGCCGCCCGTGAGCCGCGAGAGCCGCCGAGCGGCCCCTCCGCTCCCCCCTGCCGACCGCTACCCCCACCACTGCCCGAGCCGCGCCACGAACCAAATGTATTATAGATATTTACACCGATAGACCACCTGCCTCCTACCTTAACCACCTAACGGGTGACTCCTAATTTCACTTTCCTCCCCGCTAGCGAGACTCTTTCCCCGAATCGTCGAACTTCCGATTATCTATCGCTCCAATTATCTCGATCGCTTTAATTCGCCGAGACGATTGTTATTTAACCACGACGCGGCCGTATCGGCGAATCGAAGGTTCGCTCGTGTCCGAAAGCGGATGAAAGAGGCTTCGGCGCACATAGATTTAGAGAAACGTCCTCGCCGGGCGACTCGATCCGAGCGGCCTTCAAGATGGCGTAAAAACGAGCGCGATCGGGTATACTCATCGGCTGCCGCGATTCGCGATGGAGGTCGTGCTACAATGCGATCTCGTGGAAATGGGAAAAAAACAGAAACAAAAAAAAAAGGGAGACGTGGAATACCGAGGCGACGTTTCTGGAGGCCTCCCGGGAGTTAACTCTTAAGGGGTTAGGGTTACTCGGGATGAGGTGTCCGAACGTCCCGTACCTCTCCCCGCTCCTAACCTCAAAATCTGTAGCAGTGAGTCATGCAGGGGAATGTCGGTACTTTCCTAACTTGAGAATGAAGACGGAAGATTTGAGAGGCATCTGCCGTGTTAATAAAATATTCAGACGGTCAAGGTGCATCTTCTCCGAACCGAATCCATCGAATAATTGAAAACTCTAACCCGTGACAATGAAAGTCATAATCAAGGTCTTGGAACTCGGAAAAATTTCCTTCCTCGAGAAAACGTTTTTCGTACAATACGGCGCGGCAAGTCCTGTGGGCAAAATGCCGAAATGGGACGCCATTTTGGATTTTCTTAATACGATCGACCAGTTCTTCCTGTTACGCTAATCGTTACGCTTAAGCGGGTATCCATGCAGGTCTTAACTGTCATACTTATGGTTACTTTACGCGAGGTATGCGCGAAGGATGCTTAAAGGCCTTTACTTCAGCCCCGTGGAGATCGCTCGGCGCTCCCGGAAGGGCGAGCGCGCGTCGCGGCGCTTCCGGTGCGTCGCGGCGCGAGATAGACGAAAGTCTTCGCCGCTCGCGAGAAGGAGAAGGGACGCGCTCGCCCGAAATAGCCTTTAGCCTCGTCTTGCGTTACGTGTGTACGGGGCTTTAAAATATATCGGCGAGCGCTTCCCTCCTTAACGAGACGAGGTTGCCCGTACGTGCAAAGAAAGAACGAAAGGCGCGCAGAGAGAGAGAGGGAGAGAGACGGAGAAAGGTCCGCGCCCGGCGGAGAGAGAGAGAGAGAGACGGGGCGAGCGGGAGGGAGAGAGAGAGAGAGCGAGTCCCGAGAAAAAAGATACGTCGTCGCTCGAGGATGCGATATACGCCGGGAACGGCGAGTGGAGGGAAGGGCCGAGGTGCTCGCACCTAACCTAACCGGAGAAATCCGTCTCTGGCTGCCGAGAGCGAGGCGAGCCAAACCGAGGCGACTTCTTCCGGACCCTGGAGGTCCTCAGGACCTGCTTCGACTGAGGACGAGTCCTCATAGGGTCCCACGGTCTCACTCGCCCTCCGGGCCCTTTGCGAGTCGCGGCGCGACCGCAGCGCCGCCGACCGCTGACGGCCACTGGTGGAAGCGATCCGAAGCTGGACCGATCGAGATAGTCTGGATAGATCGAGATAGTCTGGGTAGATCGATATAGTCTGGATAGATCGAGATAGTTTGGATAGATCGATATAATCAGGATAGATCGATATAATCTGAATACATCGAGACCATCGAGACGATTAGTCGACCGAGTTAGGTTAAAGGCCGATTCGAACATAACCGCAAAGGTAGGACCCCTTTACCGATAGAAATAACGGCTCAAGATTCACCCCGACATATTCGTGCATTTCCGCGTCGGTACAAACCTAGGGACGCGTTGTTCCCATCAGTGCACGGATGCGTCACGGACGATGTACGGGTATGTCCGAATCGATCTTGACTCGGAATCCACGCCTTGCGAACTGATATAATTAGGATAAACAGCTCGTTAAGGAGAGTAAGAACTAGGGTTAAGTCTAAGTTTAAGGTGGATCGATGGTGGCAATCATCTTGTAAGCACGTAGACCTGGGAACCGTGGAGTAGGGTGGATATTTATGGGCGAGGTTAGGAATTCGGCGTGGACTCGGAAGAGGAACCTTGCGGTGTGATTGGGCCTTTAGCGGCGAGGCTTTGTAGGGGCCGGGTTCGGGTCTTCCTTTTCTCGGCGACCCGACGCCCGGCGTCCCTCGGCGCGTCTCTTGGCCGGAGTTCTCTCGCCGCGGCGGAAATTTTACTCGCAGTGGCGCATCTCCGCGCACCGCCCGAGCGAGGGAGAGGGAGGCACTCGGCCGGTCCTGCGTGCGACGAGGACAGAGGGAGGTGGAGTCGCGGCGGGACTGGAGGGTACGCGCGTACACACGCGAAAATGGCGTGTAAGACGTGCCTACACCGAGTCGCTCGGCCGAGGGCAAGCACGCGAGCCTCGCTCGAATCGAAGACGCCCGTGGAATCGCGCGAATCGAAAAACTCGAGCGGCGTCGCGACGCCGACGGGCCTGGGGGTGGCCGCGACCAATCATTACGGCCGAGCACCGAGATGCGTCGCTTTTCGCAATTACATTTATTAGGCACGTTGGCGTTCTTCGTCCTGACAAATGTTCCTCTTCAATGTACGTACCTGTAAACATAATGTGTACGTTTACAAGTATATACTTGTATCGCAACGAGGGCATGGTATATAGGTGACGGATACGCACTTTTGCATGCGCATATGCAGGTATGCAGATTCCTGTAATGCGCGTACTGCACTGTGATAAAATTCACCCGGGATAAAGGAGAAGATGGGAATGTCTTCCCTTTTGTACTTCACCTTTTCATGGAGCGGAGTCGCTCCTTTAGAACCCGAGCGACCTTGTCGGCGCTTAGATTTGGTGCATTGAAAACGCATCACCTGAGTCGTGCGCATATCTGTGACAGAGTCCCAAGGTCGCGGCATATCGTCCCGAGATATTGCGAAATCGCTCCAAATAGGTATATCAATTCTTTCTATTATTCTTTTTTTTTATATATATATATAACTACTTTTACCGATACGCGTCCGGTGCAATGAAGCAGGGTTCGCTGCGAGGCTAGAATCTATGAAAGAAACGCGTATGTATTAGATTCGAAGTATTTCTTTTCATTAATGAATGGTTAACTTTTACCGGAACAATCGACTTCCAGGTGTTTTCGTTAAATAGGGAATTTAATTTTAAGTGCACTGTAGCGGTGCAATTCCGATATCGACACTTATAGGTTCCATCTGCTTAACGAATCGAACGGTGGCGCCATCTACCAGCGAATTCGATGACTTGGAACTGCAGAGAACTTCTCATGAGTCAATTAGACTTACCGACAGCTTGGACTACGACCGTAGGAGTCGGTAACTTTCGGAAGGAATCGTAAGTAACAATGCGGCAAGGTCTGTATAAAACTGATGTTATGCAGTCATTAATTACAAAAATTGCGCTGGTCTTTGTGTAAAATGATAAAACACCGTTACATCTTCCAATTTCCTGGGAGAGATTAAAATTTCCTCGACGAAGCGACGTCGCGTTCGGGGAGATAAAAAGAAATTAGTGAAAACACGTACGCCGTACCCTCTGATAAAGGTACCAAAGTACATATCGGAATCCTTGGAATGGATTTACTTCAATTTTGGGTGGACGTTAATGTGCACGTTCTGTTTCCCAAATCTTAGCCATGCTATTAACTGCCACCTCTCCTGAAGCCAATAATTGAAGGCCAGGTAATAGTTGTAGTAGACTCTAAGGACAACACCGATGTATGGGAGACCTTGAAGAAGAGTCGAAGAGTTATGGAATGACGAAGACAGCGACACACAGGACGAATTAACACTCACCAAGGATGGTGAACAACGTTGACCTGAACATGAAATTCAGCGTACTGTAGAGTCCCAGTGGCCTCTGATCTGTAAGTCAATAAACATGAAAAACGGAATGATTACGTTCACTCGGCTATCTGGAACTTTAAAGTCGATAATCAAGGAACGATTTTTACATTTCAGATCTGTCATCTCGTACGTAAAAGCCAGAAATGCGTCCGCATCGAGCAAAACGTCGACGCATCGCAGACCGTCCAACATGATGCTCGTCATCTCTCTGAAGTTCGGGGGATCCTCTTTCATGTGCTTTGCGAAGACCTCCTTCATCAGCCTCTCGCATAGCTTGGTCGTTTCGGCCTCGTTTTTCCGGCACAAATTCAGTCTAAGGTCAAGAGAAGTCCATTGTAGCGTCAACAATGCACCGCGGTGCACTTTGATTGCGAGGCATTGTTTCTTACTGATAAAAGCTCACCGATCCGGAATTCCGATCATATGACCGACCACGCGCCAAAGATGATTAAGGCCCTCTCGCTCCTCGGGCTCGTTTGTCAAGCTCAGTTCCTTCGGTCTGAGCAGAGCATAGCCCAAAAACCCGAATTGCGTGAGCACCATGTTCTTCTGAGTGATGGCACCCGCCCCGCCGTTCACCGATCTTCTGGAGTTGATGCAGTGCTTATACCGGATCACGTTCAAACTTTTGTACAATCTGAAAAATGACCCCTGAGTATCAAAGAACCATCCTAGAGCGAGGAATTAACCCACAGTAATTATTACTTAAAATAATCCTGGGGAAAAAAAGATCATCAGAAAAGAATTTCATCCACGCTCCAAGACGCGTTTCGAGGTGCATATAGAGGTATTTAGGCGGCTGGATCTTATCTCATAGTTTCAATGTTTCTAGCATTTTTCTATGAAATGATGATCCTTTTTATGCCGACCTTACTTTGAATTTGGATCTTTGAAGTCACAGGTGTACAGGTAATTAGTGTGTAGCACGGTTTCCAGGTATCTCTTGAAGGCGGTACAAGGCGTGGAGCTGGACTTTGTGTACGTCAAGACCTATAAACGTCGAAGTAATTCACGGGTCAAGGTCGGCGTTGCAATTAGAGTCATTCGTGGAGTGGTATTGAACTTTTGCAATTACTTTCAGGATGGTTGGGATCACGAGAACCGCGACCAGCCCCAGAGTACTCGCACCCCCCATGGCGAGCTTGTTCCTGCGGTAATATTGCTGGCCTCTGGAATCATGATAAGGATTGATAAAGTCATAAGACAGCCAGTTTGGATCTTTATCTCCCACCTTCTGAAAAGTTCCTCGTTGAACCACTCCGGCATGTCGTCGGGTGTGATCTCGGACGGGTTTGGGTCTATGTCCTCCTTCTCGGCCATAATGGCATCGAAATGATCATCCACCGTCGCCGGCTGGACTGCGGGGCAAACAGTGATTTATAACACGAGGCACGAGTTAAGACCACGTAAAAGATAAATCACCGTCCCTACTTCCTAGATAATAAATCCCGCAAATCGACGCCGAGACTAGACTAGCACTTTTCCACTTGTCGGGCGTCCCGCCATAAAAAACAATGAGTTTAAAGCATAATCCCAAGTTTTCAGGGAATTTATTACTAAGTAGACCATTCAATTTTTAGCGAATAGTTCCCGGATAAACAAGTGGACCGATATGCCCGTGATAAGGCCATTATCATATCGCCTTTCGTACCGCTCTCGAAATGCTGAGAAAAATTGTTATTCGGTTGTGTAATACTTATTTCTGTTTATTCCTCTTCATAACTTGGCGATAGGATCGTATCGTGACGGTAATAACGGTGACCGATATATGCCTCGCATAATTTTTAAGCCACATCTATTATGGAGGTATCGCGAATTGAAGAATTGATTCGATCGATCATTTCAATAAAGGGAGTAACTAAGACGCCTCTCTTGGTTCTTGCCAGCGCGTGTATAATTCTTCCCCACACATTTCTCACCTCGATCGAATTCCCACGGATTAAGCCTGGCGTTAGCTTATCAAAACCGCAAGAATATCCCATTTCATCGCTCCATTTTTCCCTTTCAAACCATCCACAAGATATTCACGGTAAACCCCTTCTCTCCATCACTGACTAGTATAGACATCTCCTCCATTTTCTGCGTGGAAACAAATCGAGAGAGGAACCCAAGAATAGATCACCCAGCTGAGTATAGATCAGCTGTCCTAGACTGAAAATCGCCCTCGAAATTCACAAAAACGATCAATACCTCTTTCCAATCATTTCGAAACAGACTATCAGATCGGCCGATAAGTTCGTACCGTTTAGAAATTTAAAATCGTATCCCCTTTCGAAGACGAAGAAGAATGGATTCGAGTAATGTTATCGAATGTTCTTCTCGAGATCCATTTCTTTTTACCCAATATCAATTGCAATTCCACTTTTATTCTATTTTAAAAATTAGGCACTTCTCCGAATTCGTTGTCAGTTATTATCAGCTTATCCGGCACTCTCATGTGAGTGATGTTATCGAATTTTCTTCTTGAACTCCAATTTTTTTTTTTACATAGAAAAACGGGGCAAATTTTTATGAGAACCCAATATTTGTGGCAATTCTACTTTTATTCTATTTTTAAAATTACGCATTTCTTATCGGTTATTATCAGCTTCTCCGGCGCGACGAGTACGTACCATCGTCGATGTGCACCTTCCTCATTTTCCAGCGGAGGAAACGAAAGAGACGGAGGACCGAGAGAGAGGTCTAAGGAGGGATCTCCACTCGATCGATGTGGGAGGTGCGGACTCGGATTCGCCCGGTTCAGCGAACGGACGCGAACTGACAGCAGCTCTGGCGAACCTTGCCGCTCGGAGGGAAGACTTTCTACTTCGCGTGTATGCCCCTCCGTACGTACACGCGGCCTCGCGCACATACTCGACTTGTCCTTGCGGATGCATGCGTCCGCCTCCAGTTGAACTCGATCCTCGTGGATCGTAACGGGGACTGAACTTCGCGAGTCGTTATATCGCACAAATCAGGTCGTCGCGACGCCCTAATCAAATTTCCCGACCTGGGTCGCCGGCGTCGACACGGTGTAACACCTTGCCAGAACAAGAAAATTTCACTTGTCGAGATTTCCCGATGGGTATTAAAACCTTTTTTTAAAGATTGATGATGATTGAAATCCCATGTCTTTACATCGCACAAATCGGGTCGTCGCGACGCCCTAATCAAATTTCCCGACCTGGGTCGCCGGCGTCGACACGGTGTAACACCTCGCCAGAACAGGAAAATTTCACTTGTCGAGATTTCCCGATGAAACCTTTTTTTAAAGGTTGATAATGATTGAAATGATTGATAGGTTGAAAATGATTGTCTTTACATCGCACAAATCGGGTTGTCAGGACGCCCTAATAAAATTTCCCGTCCTGGGTCGCCGGCGTCGACACGGTGTAACACCTCGCCAGAACAGGAAAATTTCACTTGTCGAGATTTCCCGATGGGTACTAAAACCTTTTTTTAAAGGTTGATGATTGAAATCGCAAGTCTTTACATCGCACAAATCGGGTCATTGCGACGCCATAATTAAATTTCCCGCCTTTGATAGCTGGCATCGAAATAGCGCGTCGATACAGTGCGAGACCTCGCTAGAATAGGAAAATCTGAGGGAGAATTTTCTTGAGATTTCACGATGGGTGCTAAGGCGGGTTTTTGAGGCTTTAGAGCCTCCAATGAATCATGTGCAAGCTTATCACATAAGATCGTATCAAGTCAAACGAAGTTTCCGAGCAAACGCGATACCAATTTACAGCAACTCATGTGACGAGCATTAAACCATCCCGGTGACGCAAGGACAATAAAAATGTGCGAAGAGTTGAATAATTCATCCCAATGTATAAGTAGCGACGCATAGATGGGTTCCCTCGGGAAAACGATTCTATTCTGTAATTGCTACGCCGACTCGCGTCTCTATTGACATCCTCGAAACTACGTTGCACCTTCGATTTCCTCTCTTAACGAGGTGCACTGAAAATTCATGAGAGAAAACGCGCAAAAAGGAGCTGCCGCGCCCGTCTGGTGAATGAGTCTCTTTTTTACGATTTATGTTATTGCTAGAGACGATCAGGTCGTGGCGGGGTAAAGTTTCCTGCCCAGGAAGATCTCTTCTGCATAAAGTTTAGCCGGAACGGTAGACGCCCTGTTCGGGGGGTCCTGGACCCCGAGTTTTTCTTTCGACATCCTTGGATTAGAACGAGACTTTCTTCCGGATCGTAGTTCGAGGTAGAAGACCACCGTGGACACGAAGAGGCCGAAGATCAGAAAAGAAAATCCTGCTCCGAGAGGTGTCAGGGCCAGGACCCTCGCAACTCCATCGCTTTTGTCCTGTTCCTTCAGGACCTCTCTGAGACTCAGCTTGACCCGACGACGTATGACGTCCTTTTGGTGGAAAATGGTGATGCCGCCTTCCCGCAGCCACAGCATCAACTACGAACAAGATTCTTCGTTAGATCTTACAAAATAAGAAGTGTACCAATAATGCATTAAATTAATAAATTAAATACTACAAGGATCGACTGGAACATTGCACGATTTCGGAGTCTTCGACACGGGTCGTCCTTTACTTCCTAGAAAGTCCGTGGGGAAATAAAGGAAATTTTAGCATTATCGCTGCATACGATTAAGAATTTCCTGAGGTGTTCCCTGAGGGACTCAGCCTCTTATCTTTCTTGAGGAAACTTCCCTCGTGTTGAAATCTATTTTCACGGACTTGTCACAGATCGGTATCGGGCTTTCCGCGAAGCTTTCTCTATTCGGCGATAAATTGCCGTGTTTACGGTATGTAATGTCAATTTGTACCGTGCTGATGGGTTCCAACAACCATGGTTGGACGGCGAAGCACGCGTAGTACGTCCCGACCTTCTGCCTCATCAATCTGTAATTCTTAAGGCGTAAGATAGACTGGTGAGCAAAGTAGAGAACGAACTGGTAGGCGTTAAGTACAATAATGAAACCAGATCGTGATCTGCATGCGGTCGATGGACGAACCTTGAGTTCCTCGTTGGTGATGTTCACATCGGGGAAGAAAAGCTTGCCGACGAGTTTTCCAAAGATGGCCTGGTTACCCCTTTTCACGGCCGCTTGTCGCTCCTCGTCAGAATTGTGATAAACGAACTTCGAGGGCATCTGAGACTCAAAGGGGTCCTGGAAAAAATATTATCGATCTCTAAAGTTATTCCCGAATTTTCCAGGAATTTATTTTCCTCGTCTGTCATTATCTCGGTTTACCTTGAAGTCGAAATAATCGCCGAAACGTGGAGTCGCGCCAGACATGCTCCAGGTGAGATTCGCCTTCAGGAACTGGCGAACGTTATCGATCCTGTAAAAAAAATAAATAAAATCCCGAACACACATTAATTTATGCATTTTGTTAAACGAATATCTAAATATTTATGTAGTTCACCTTTCCTCGTACTCGGAGCTGGCTAAGCTTGCAGCAAGACTGCTGCAATAGGCGGTGACAACCAGGAGGCCTGCAATCTGCCACAGGTGCAGTTGCATCCGGACACTCTCTGTATCCGTTGGTGTCCAGGTCCCCACCAATCGTCCCATTAATTCGGTCATCGTGACGACACAATTCCGGTAGCCTGTGTATTTTTTTGTCTATTTTAATTTCCGGGCAAATTAAAGTAGAAAAATCTCTCCAATTCATTTTATGGGACGACTTACGTCTCGGCATTTTTGGGTTAATCCAAGCCCGAGTGTATAAATAGCTACTTTTCAGTATTAACATAGCAACGATTCCCAGCCACACTTCGACAGTAAATGGTCTAGTTAGTGCCCAAAAGCTCGTGCGTAGCTTCGGACGTGGGACCAGGAACCCTATGTACAATTGATACCAAGCTTCCGAAAGATTGGCGAACTTGTAGTGGTCCGTTTTTAGCCAAATACTGCTAAACGCGATGTCGACCTATGTAACGTAAATTACCTCCATGCAACACCATCGGATAATTAAATTCCTATAAATAAATCGATCTAGAACAGAAAATGATCACCTCCTTCTCGATGATCATGCCGATCATGCCATCCGTGAAGAAGGTATCGTTAACCTCCCTGCCGTACCTGAAAATGTTATAAAAAGAGAAATTTAACTCTTGCCATCGTGATGGCGTTTATCATACCTGTGTCGACCTAGGGGTCTTCTAATCATCCACGTGAAGTTCAGTTTTTCCGCCATGAGCATGAATATTTGCATCTCGATCCCGTCCCTCTCCGTATCTGCAACGCGGTCGTAATCAAGTATTAAGATTAATTAAATTTTCTTGCAAATTTTCAATCTCAGCTCACCGTCGTCCGCGAGGAAGAACGATACCTCGGCACCGTTGTAGGTCTTGTTCACCGTTTTACTCATGTAAGTAAACGGTGGGTTGTAAAAGCTGGAAGCTTGCAGGAGCCTTCCGTTAAAGTTGACAATTCTCTTGTCGTAAATCAGCTCCTTGTACCTTAAAGCCGATTGTCGTCGATGGAACGAACGTCCCTCAACAAGTAGATCGAGATACCGTACCGCTTCATTTTTTTAAACATTCTCGGCCTTAAATAATTCGCCGAGAGGCTCCATATGCCACTTGGTGAAGCGAGGTTTGCATCTGCATTGTTGTACAGATCAACGTCGAAGAGCATCGAGTCTTCCTCGAGGGTCGAGTCCACGATGATGAGCAATTCGGTGGTGGAGATCTTTGAAGGGACGCTGCAACCGGAATACAAATAAGCATGTAAGAAAGATAACGTATCATTTATTTAGAATTATCTCTTAAACTCTCATTACTATGTCAAAGCGTCCACGAGCTGTTCCTCGGTGGAAGCCAGGAGGAAATAGCCTTGGCAGTCGTAAGTGTGTCTTTCAACGAGATACTCATATGGATAAATATTGATAAACCTCCTGAATAGCGCGTTAATACCCGAGGTCGAACCTAAAAAAAAAAGGGAGCTCGCAAATCAACAGTAAAAAATCAATTTCAATTAACGATCCCCTCTTAGGAAAGTTTACATACCGTTTAAGTAGACATTGCAGCACCTGGAGAACCTGAAGGAGTGCTTGACCATAGTCGTGAAGTTTTCCTCGGATATCCAGGAATCCGACCAGGCTTCGACTGCCATTTCCTGTTTTCCGCCAGTGACAAAATAAAAAACGGAACACAACATGGCGCTCCAAATTGCCCAGTGAAAAAACGAAACGGTGACCATCTCTCGTCAGCCTCGATATCAAGTACACCTTTTTATCAATTAAAACCTTCTCCGAGTGTGAAGTTTCATTTAGATTCGAGGTTGTGCAAGATGCATGGCCATTGACACTGCGCCAGTGATAAGCAGCGTCTGATAAGGAGCACTTAAACCGACGCACACATTAGGCCAATTGCGAGATGGAAAGCGAAATTGTTAGTAATTTCACATTTTCGGGGAAGCTAAATTATATTTCTATTTTTTTTTTCTTTTTCCGTAAAACCGCGTCTTTATCGACGTGTACGAGAAGTCTGAGAAATTCGAGGTAAGAGGAGACCCATTTCACTCGGACAGGTGAGAAAGGTAAAGTGCGCCCTCGTGGGTGTCCCTCCCTTATATATCGCCTCATGTACACGTACATTGACACACGGGCGTACATTTACAAACAATCCGGCAGACAAGGAGTATCTTACGAGTCGTACAAACGGTGATACATCCGTTTGGCAGATATTCAATTACGGCTCTCGAGGCAACATAACGACTCCGTGTCAACACCAGGAGCCACCAATTACGCATACGTTTGGTGATAATTGACAGCGTGTTTGATTACCGTCAAACGGTACCGGAAGGGAAGGACTATTTATCCAAGAACGATCCTCAATGACTGTATTCGGCCGTTTCGTGAAAAGAATCGCACCCAAGAAATCGAGGGAGAAATTGTAGCACCTTTCGCGAGGGAGAATCATCCCACCACCCTCGCCATTACAATTTATAATTTAATGAGGACTCATTTTCGAATTTCGAGCGATTGATATCAACGAGTAACTCGGTAGTAATTACTTCAGAGGGGTCAGAAGGGGTCCTCCCGGATGTGGGTCACGAGGACTCGTTAACCCTCGATAAGAATGAGTAAACTCGGCGTAGCCGATATGATCGTAATAACTAAAGTCGAAATAGTAATAGATTTTCGATTATGCCGAAAGAGCAAGAAAGTACCCACCCCTATTGATCACTCAATTGACATCGTTAACTAACATCGGAAGGCAATTGGAGATAAACCTTCTTATCAGTGGAGCAGGGCCAATACTTTCCGAGACCCTCTGCGCATCCCCGCAAATCATTATCTAATCAGCGCTGATGATGTTTTCGTATACTCCGGAAGGAGATACGATCCCTGGTTGATCATGCCAGTAGCTTGTTTGCCATGATGCATCAGTCGAGATGCGGCTTTAAGAGTGACTAGTACTTGCCGTTGTCTCTTTCGACGTGACCGTTTCGACGACTTCATGTTATCGACGCCACTAGTGGCACTGAGACCATTAACCACATTTAACTCGACCGGTGTATTTATTAGCATTTTAATCGCCGGGTCGTGGATACCGCGCAAAGTCGACTGTGGTCCCAAGAAAAAGTGCAGCCAATTGTTTAGGGAGCTTCGAGCCGACCAGTGCAGGCTCGAGAGACAAAATTAGCTTTGCGATGATGCTGCGAAGATGCGCTGCCACGATGACAAAGGGTAAGTGAGCCGGGAACAGTCAAGAGTCGTTTGGTCCAGTTAACTGAAGCGAGTGCTTCATCATTTTCGCAGAGAGGAGGTTCTCCAAGGTCGGCTTCGTCGGCCTCGGAAACATGGGCGCAAAAATGGCAAGGAATCTCCTGAAAAAGGTAAATCCATTAATATTCATTTTGACGACACATGCACCCGTAGTGTCAATAAAATCAATTTTCATAAGTACTCAATTATATAAGCGGCTGTTTTTCATTAATTATTCGTTATAAGAATAGCGCAACCAATCTATCTTTTTATTATGCAGTGATTATGTCATGATTTAAATAAATTAATCCATTCGATTTATTAAAAAAAATTCCGTTTTAAGGTAACTTATTCGAGTTCGAGGGGGATAATTGGTTAACGATTTTGATCAGTGGTCCCTTCCCAACGCGCGTTGTGTAAATGAAGTAATAACACTTGTTTGACATCGATTCAGGGTTACGGACTGACCGTGTTTGATATTAATAAAGGGGCAGTCGCAAAATTGGCCGAAGTCGGGGCCAAAGGTGCCGAAAGTCTCTCGGAGATATCGGAAGACTCTGAAGTGATCGTTTCCATGTTGCCATCTAATCAGCACGTTTTGGATTGTTATCTGGGAGAAAATGGAATCCTAAAGTAGGTCTTGAGATTAGGTAAAAGATTGACGTGGTATTAAAATAAGGAATCTTCTAATTCGAGGAAATTAATTGTATTAATTTTCAGGTCAGCGAAAAGAGATGCTCTTCTGATCGATAGCAGTACGATCGATCCCTCGATCTCCGAGACGATCGAGAAGGAAGCTCGAAATCGCAACGTCCGATTTATGGACGGCCCCGTATCTGGCGGTAATTAATTCCATTAACTAATCTGATCATGACTTGATAAAAATGAATGAGTAAATGCTTTTTTTATAGGTGTTAAAGGCGCCGAGGATGCAACTTTAACATTTATGGTGGGAGGCTCGGAGTCCGATGTTAAAGACGCCAAACCCATTTTGGAAGCCATGGGCTCGAACGTTGTGCATTGTGGAAAAATTGGCACGGGCCAAGTTGCTAAATTATGCAACAACATGTTGCTAGGAATTAACATGATTGGAGTAGTTGAGGCTTTTAATCTGGGAGAGAAGTGAGTGAACTTTTGATAGTTTGCATATGGAAGCAAGTCTTTTTAATTTAAACTAAGGATGATCATTTTTAAGTTGATAACGTAACACGTGGCACTCCGTGGCGAGTCCAAATGCCGGAGATATTTTCGATTCTAAGGCTTTGTGAAAGGATCTTGAAACGGCCAGTGATCCACTCGTGTAACGCGTCACGATGCTTCGGCAGCCTTGTAGGAAGGTCTTACCACGTGCAGGTCATAAAGGCAAGACATTGACCGTCTCAAGAACGTCTCACGCACTTTTCTTATTCTTTTCATTCCTCTGATAACGTCAAAACGTGGAACAACCATAACGCTACTCCTTCGTTCAAAGTATCGCCGGAAGAATGATCCAGGAGCAAAAACCAAGATGGCGGCGATTCCTTAAGAGATCGAATAATTAACCGTTGCATAATGTAAATTAACAAGATAATTCGGCGGCTTCGTAGTGAAAATTAGCGTGTAAGATTTTTCTTCATCAAAATACATGCATAATAGCTATGTTGCACTTTTAGGCTGGGCTTAGACGCTAAATTACTGGCCGACATCGTCAACTCCAGCTCGGGACGCAGTTGGGTCACCGAAGTGTACCATCCCGTTCCTAATGTGCTACCCGGTGCACCGAGTTCCAACGACTTCCGGGTGAGCTGGACAGTTGTCTGTCATTTATTTCGAGCCGTAATTTCTCGTGAGGACTCGTCAAACCAACTTACAGGTTTAGCCGGGCTTCGGGATTACGTTAATGGCGAAAGACATGGGACTCGTCCAGGATATCGCAACTAGAACTGGCGCGCCGGTTCCACTTTGCGCGTTAGCTCATCAGGTGTACAGAGCCGCCATTGTGAACGGCCTCTTCGAGAAAGACTTCAGCGTCGTTTATAAATTCCTACGGGGCGAAAGAAAATAGTAAAGATAAACCTGGCTTTTGCATAGTTGGTCGAAAATACACTGACGTCGTTACAACCGCCGTTCGTGGAAACAACGTGTCGCTATCTGCCGTGTTCTTCAAGCAATGGAGGTTACGCCTTCTCGAATCTGCAGATGAACAAGCCTAAATAAGTGAAGTAATTTTAATCTTAGGTGTAATTGCTTTTACATCGTATTATGCATAATTACAACCCGACGATGTATTCTGCAGAATGTTCCTAGAGAAGCTGGCCCAGAAAAGAATGCATTGTATATCTTACACCTTACGAATGTAATGTCTACTGTAAAAGAGAATAAATTGTATTTATTACCGCGGCTGTTTTTATTGTTTCCAACCTATGCCAGAGAAATAAGTATACACGATATTTATCAGTGTTACTGACACATTGATAACCAATCGGCCGATAACCGCTAATGCACATTAATGACAGAGATGAGTTGGGAGATGGCTGGTTGGGACCCGCGAAGTTTCTAGGAGCGATCGCACTCACACAGATTCGCTGCACGAGAGTTCCGTACGAGACACCGACGCGTGCCCCAAAGCTCCGCATCACGTCGCTTCAAGGCAACAATGTACTTAATAGCAGTAGATAAGTAGATAAAGTCAAATGGAGCGTCACGAGTATTCTTCCCTTACCATCAAAAGCGAGCAGTGTTGGTAAGCGTAGGTAGGCCACCACCGTCAACTGCCACATGGTATTACCATCACGAGTACGTGAGCCGCCAACGGCGACTGGTAGATGGTACCGCCATCGCGAGTGCGCGAGCTCCTATCAGAAATTCGGTACGCCGCCCTTGGGGGCAAAAAACTGTGAAACTAACGTACAAAACCAGAGGGCAGCACAGGATGCGATCGCACGATCCTGCCCGTGAGCAATCTCCCGACTCATCTCTGTTAATGACAGCTCACTTTATCGACAGATGCGATCTGGCTGCTTTCTCGAATGTCAGCCACGGAAAAAAGGAGGTAAACGTGCAACCGGTAAAGCAGGTTTCGTAGAGAGATAAGAAAAGGCGACAGATATTGACACTTACGGTTTTTAACCCCGTTTTTAATATAAAATATGATGCGAATCATTATTACACTGGTCCAGTTTCACATGATTCTTCAAGCTTTACATTTGGACGATGACTCTTTCCCCCTCCACGGCGAAATTTCCACAGGCGATTTATCCTACAAGGACGTAGATTAGACGAAAACTGCTGAACGACGCGGGTTAAAATATCTAGTCATTGTGACATAAACATAATTAAGCAGCAACCTTCGACGTTTCCGAGTTAATTTCTTTTGAATGTGCCACGGTGAGTCGCCGATCCTTGTTTCCTTTGCCGGTCATTTTCCCTATGCTCGTCTCAACGACGCATATACCGATGACGCCCTTTAGATCATGTATTCGGAAAATCTTAAGAATTCATTTCATCCTTACACACATATACTTACATCATTTGCGAGTTCGCTTGCGATATTCTTCATACATGTACTCAAACGGTCGATTTCTTCCGCAAGTTCGCGCCTAACTTCCTCGTAACATGGATCACGTAATGGGATCGCTTCTTCGCAATCGCCGGGCAAAAATGGCGGTTCTTTAAACTTCTCCCCCCAAAGAATCGATTTAAACTCGTCCTCGCAGGTCTTCTCCATGGATTTACTCGGTGTCACATTTTTCGCCGTGAAGTTTTTCGGTTGAGGAGGTACTACCGAAATTTATGGAGAAGCATTTAAATTTTCAATTTCCTAAAGGAAAATGAAGCTTTATATTCCAGCAGACTTACTCAGAACTTCTCGGGCCTGGTTCAACTTAAAATTCAGGAATAGGAGGACGAGAAGAGCTGGCACGAGCTTGACGGTTCCTTTAGACATGGTTTACGGATTGTGTGGAAATTAATAGACTGCACGGTTAATTTGGATAATTTAAGCCGATATGGACGTTGGAGAGGTTCGCTTGAAGTTCCGCCTGTTTTGTTTAGAGGATACTTTCCGTCACCATGACAATGACATCAAAACATTCCCCGAATTTCTCGGCGGTGATCAACTTTGGGCTCAATAAATGTGGATTGTAGTAATTATACGATATATTTCCTAATAATATCACTTAAACAATAGAGCAACAATAATAAGGCATAATTTCATATGTACACAATTGTTGTCTCCTCGCGTTAAACGTTTTAGTGGTGTAACATCGCGTTTCTCGGTGTACTAATTATCTAAGGCATATTAATAACGCATTATGTTTCCAAGGTCGACCTACGCGGTCCAGAAGTTCCGTTTCTGCCGGTTTTCTCCACGATTGAACTCTTTTCTTTTTTTTTTCCTTCTTTTTAAGCGATGCATGCCACTTGCACTTCTTCGGCCGACTTCGAGGATTCAAAATGGCCGCCATCGGCGCTACAAACTCGCGAACCGATAGTAGCGCCAATTTTGAATCTTCCTCTGTAAAGAGAACGTTTCGAAGCGGTCTGCCGAAAATTAGAGAACAGAAAGGGACAGCAAGTTCATCGTGGCCACATGGATAAAGGTATTTCATTCGAAGAGATTCTAAGGCACGAGATTCTAAGTTCGCGCTAATTAAGGCCCCGATCGCCCATCATCATTTAACCGCACCCAAGAATCCTAAAACTCGCGGCCGCGAATGTATTATTAGGAAGAGCTCCACAATACGAGTGACAAATCTCCTACTTCCCAGACGCGCCTAGAAAAAGACTTCTTCATTGAAAGAAGTCCCCTTTCCAGAAAGAGAAGCCAACGGCGCAGATCGACCAATGTAGTGGAATTCTGGATGAAACTAGATGGAACTAGGCGTCGCGAAATCTGGCATTTTTCTTCTTTTTCTTTTTTTTCTTTATAGAAACTCCAAAGGTCTCTCCCGTAGTATTCGGGCAAGGATATAACTCACGATCCCGCAGACTTCGGTTAAAATAAGAGAATTGACTTTATGGGGGGGCGTTAGTAGAAGGGGTAGAATTTAAAAGTAACCGGGCTGGGCCGACCGAGAGCGGCGGACGCAGAAACGACGGATCGAATGCTTTCCTTCGCGGGGGAATCAAGATACGCGTTTAAAAGTCGGGAGAGGTTGGGATGCTTTAAAAGATACGTGTATATAAATATCGAACATCACCATAAATAGAATTGCGTAGGGGGGTTAGGAATAATTGACTGATTTTGGTTTCGCAACGCGTGCCCTTTGCCAAATTCTGGTCGCGGTTTCCCGCCCGGCTCGCGGCCTCCACGCTGATTGGCGGTCCTGCCGTGCTCGGCGCTCATTGGCTGGAATCGAGTCCTGGATTTCTGCGCATCAGATGGCGCGCAATTCAATTCCGTAAGGGGTCCAGGCTCTCCAGGGAGAAGTCATCCGTACCGATGGAGAGCCCTCTGCTAAAACCGTCCTGGAATGAGAGAACGCAACATGTACACGTGACAAATACGGCTAGACATTTCCTACATAAATTGTCCCTCTACTAAGAGATGTTTTCGACTTGAACCAACTTTCATTTCCAAAAGTCGCTTGTCTAGAAGGCCGATGGCGTTTTCTAGTTCCTGCTGGCTAGGACTCGACGCCGCCGTCGTGGCGTCGAATTCTCCCATCTCGAAGGGATCGCTCGGCTCGCTCTTCAAGTTTGAAGGTGGTGCCGGGTTAAAGGGCACGCTTCCGAAGAGGTCCTCCTTCGCTCCGTTCTGCCTTCGCGAGTCCTTTGCCTTGGGCGGCGGCGCCACTGTGATTGAAATTAACAAGAAAATTAATCGGCACGACGCGCAGCACCATTAATTAACAAGGCAGATGATCCGGTATATTAGAAATAATTAAACAAAAAATCGTGAGAGGATCATGAATACGCCTTTTATTCGGAAACCCGATACCGGGGTATTTCCTTACACAACGGCGGAGAACTGACGGAGCCGTTGACCTGTGGGAAGAAGTTTCCAGAAGACGAGAGCTGGCCGTTGATCAGAGAGCCATTGTTCGTCGGATGACTGTTGGCGACGCCATTTGCTGTGCTTTCGTAAGCTCTAGGATTGAAGTCCTCCTCGAATTCATCCATCAGGAGGCCCTCGAGCTTCGTCCCTACCGAAGGCACTGGTGCAGGCTCCGTCCTGAAAAGAGCGATAAAGTCACTCCAAGACCCATTAGAGCATCCATATTTTTTTAACACAGATTGCAGAACAAACCCCATGAAGTCATCGTCGAAGGACTTCTCGAAACTCCTCGGTGGGACCGGAGGTGGTTGCTGAGGGCCGTTCTGCGTGTTTCCGTTGCTATCGCTGGAAGTGTTCATTAGTAGCTTGCTCCCGCCACCGTTTAGACAAGAGGGATCCGTCGACGATGACGTGGGCGACGACGGAGCTTCCGGCACGTGCAAAATGTGAGGGAGATTGTGCTTCGCCAGATACGCCTGCACGTCGGCCTGAAATGCATCGATCGAATCCTAGATTACACTTTCCACTAAGTCCACGCTACGTCGGTACCGCGTCTCCATACAGATTCCTACAGTTACCGCCTGGCAAAAGTAGCATGGCGACCGAAAGTAGTGGCGAGCAAATGTACAACCAAGACCAAGTCACTATTTGCACACTCGTGTCTTGGTCTTGCTCATTAAACCGATTTTTCTGATCATTTATCATCGAGCAGAAACTGACCTTGCCCTTGATGGCGGCGATGTCGTGCAATCGCTGCCTATAAAAGTTATTCTCGTATTCAAGCCGCTTGATTTTCTGTTGTAGGACCATGCACCGCCTTTGGGCCTCCAGGTCCTTCCCGGAGGTTTCTAGGAACCTTCGGTACGCCAGGTCGAAGGCCTGGCCGATCGTCAGGGTGATCTCCTCGGCGAGCTTGTCGCTGACGAAGACGAAGCACGTGTGCCTCTCGGCGTCTTCCTCTTTCGCTATGAAGCTGAAGAACTTCTTCTCGCCCTTGTCGTCGGCGCAGTACGAGATTCGGTGCAAAGGGTACTGGTGCATGATTCGCTGCGGAAGGAAAGATCCTGCGTTAACCTTGTCGTACCGAGTATGGGAACTTATGGGATATCGAAGCTATTCCTACAATGTCTTGCATTGTAGTAATCCAAATTTTTGCCATCATCGGTGTGCTTCAGATAATTAACTAAGCCACGACAACCATGGGTGGTTTAAATAATGTCTGAGGGGGCTACGCTCGTCTCTCCCATCCTGCGTCACGACGCGGTCCGCCGTCAACATCCCGGTTATTATAACAGAATTCAATCTCACCCGGCCGCCCTTTCGCTATATTCTATTCTACGATATTCCATACGCTCTATTAACGGAGGTACGACGTCGGCCACCACCGCGATTATTATAATTGAGGCCACGGATGGAATAACAGCCTCGGCTCCGTTCAAAATGCGCTGAATGGAGGCTATTATTCCATCCGTGGCCCCAATTAGGCTCGCCATTGCATACCAGGCGCCTCTTTAAGATAATCGCGGCTAAAAATGAAACCGATCAGCCCTTGGCTAGGGTGCCGAGAAGGTGATCAACCTTTGGGGAGGTCTTGGTCTTCGGCTCCTGGATGGCCACGCCGTCTATGCTGATGGTGAGCTCGACTTTTGGCGTCTTGGTGCCCTCGCTCTTCCTCAGCTGCTGGTTGAACTTGAGCTTGCATATCGCTTCTTTCACGACCTCGATGCCCTTCGGCTGGTCCACCTCCGTGCTGCCGAGGTACTGAAAAAGAAAGTGGAACCATGAGGAACCATTTATTACCCAAAGCGAAGAGCCCTTGACTATCCGTTTGATTCCCCGGTTTAGACTTCATATAGAAAAATCAGGAAAAAGGCAGCTTGGCTCTCTTCGCCCTCAAGTTAAGCACTACCGTGCCGTTCGGCATCTTCCGATAATGTTCTTTCAATGACCCCTGGGATTCAAATAGCTAGGGAAACCTTCACGGCGGAGGAAAAAGGAATACCAGGAGGACGATTCGCATTAACCACGGGAGAGAAATCCTCAGCGAGGAAATGTGAAATTCTCGGCTCACTAATTATTGGCCTTCCATTTGCGGGATGGGCTGACGTTCGCGATAGAGGGACATTTACCGGGACAAGATAAATACTCGGAAAATAATGAGATAGGCCGCATCCGTGAGCGAAATCTGAGCGGAGCCGTGGGGCGGCCATTTGTCGTCAGATCGGAGAGGGACGACCGGAACGTGGACGTCCTCGTGACAACGGTGACCGATGGTCAAGGCTTTATTCGGAGGAAAAGCCGGGAAAGGATCGACTGTTTACCACGGAACAGAATCGCCGATTACCGGCCAATCAGGAATACCGGACAATCGACTAGAGATGCATTTAGTCGCTCCTCTGGGGACTAATTAAATTCAACTGATTCTTCCTCGTCAATTCCTCCAATTAAAGATTTTCCAGGAAATAAAAAAGAAGAAAAAAAAAACATGAAACTCCTTCGCTTTTCCTTCGCTAAACCAAATTTATGAAAGCTATCAATCTCTACCTTGACTAGGTAGGCGATGTGGCCCTTTTGGAGTGTGTCCGGCGAGTGGATCCAGTTTCTGTTGGAACCTGCGAAAAATAAAAAGTCATACATTAACGTCTATTCTCGTCCCTGGATTGTTCCATAAGTTCACGGAAGAAAAAAAAAAAAAGAAATCCAATGCAGCGAATTTTCTTCGGACATAATTACACGTTTAAATCCAAGGTAAGCCGCAAGAAGTGATCACCGGTGCCGAAGGATACATTGTTAATTAATCCAAGGCTTGGTCCGTTGGAATAAAAGTATTACCTTTTCGAACGTTTACCAGACCCGACCGCGAACTTACGAAACGACTCAATGAAATATTGCGCTATAAATGGTGCGGAATGATTTTTTTTTTTCGACGCAAGGAAAATGGTACTCTCTATGCCAAAGTGATATATCGACTCGCCTCCATTCTTGCTCGGCTGGTTCTTATTGTTCGTCGAGTTTTGCGCCCACTTAAGCAGCGTCGAGTTCCTCATCTTGTCAGCTTGGTGTCACGCGGCTGCCAGATTCCTGAAACCAAATCGAAACGAGATTAAGTACGTCAGAGAACCTTCGGAAATCGCGTAAGGAGGAGCCGTTGCAACGACCTCGCCGAGATCTATCCCTGACACGTAAATATATTTATCTGGATGGATTTGTTCATTTATACGACTTTCTGAAGTCGCATTGAGGGATCGAGAGAATCTCCCACACGTTTTCACGAAGGAATTCCATCCGGTGAGATAAGGGTCGCGCGGAATTTCCACGTCCTGGTGTGGGTGGAACGCAGATAAGGATAATACTCATGGCGGAATAGAATTCGTTTAATCGAGCTGATACTCTATGCAGCGATTCCGCACCGAAACGATAAAGTCCTTCTGTTCAAGATGTATAAAAGATAAGTGCCGTCCCTTTAGAGGAATAACCCATCTAGGGGATTCACGTGGTTCGTAAGTATCCCAATATGGGATTTTCATACGTAAAGCAGCGCCACGGACAGGAAGCGGACGCCGCGTGTACAATGTACAGAAAAACTTTCGCATAGAATTCCCGCCTCATGGTATGGACGAAATAATACTTTATGCAACGATTCCGCACTGAAACGATAAAGTCCTTCCGTTCTAGATGTATAAAAGGTAAGTGGTGTTCCTTTAGAAGACGGACACGTCTAGAGGATTCACACGGTTTGCACTCTTCCCAGGTATCAGCGCTATGGACGGGAAGCGGACGTTGCGTGAACTATGTAGAGAGAGAAAAAAACCTCGCGCTCTTTCGACTATTTCTCTTTCCCAAGGGAAGCTTTCTACTGGAGTTTTCTCGAACGGCGATCGAAACCGCAAGGTTAGATCTATCGAAAGGCAGACGAGTTTACGGCCGTCGACGTTTTTTTATCCCCTTTGTTTGCTTCTATTTTAGCGGGCGTTACTTTCACTGATCCATATACTAACTGGATAGCAGATACCAAAATGGCGTGACGTTCTCAAGCGACGACAGCGCCTCCGTTTATGGGCACATAAACTAATGTTCTAACATTTGCGCATGCGTCTAAACGCGTTTTTAACTACAGATAGGATAATAGATGTCAAGAGAGGTGCCTTGAATTCGTCGAAGCCCTCTATATATAGAACAAATAACTATCCAGTTAGTATATAGATCAGTAGTTACTTTCTACGCCGCCGATACCCAGAAGCGGCGAATAGGTGCAAATTGTTGCACGGCGTGTCGGTTTCTATGTGTGATGTATAATTCATGGTGGGCTCGCCTGTGTGTGCGTGCGCGTGAAGACGCACGCAAGGCGGCACACGTGCGAGCCCCATGGCTGCGGGCACGAAGTACGCATCACGTGAGAACGACTCACTCCCGAGTTGGCGTGTGCTAGGGCGCACTCGAGACGACGCCGCCATCTCGCGGCCGAAAACGGAAGTAATTAACCGTCCTCGGCAGAAAATCCCTGAATTCCCCAAGAATTCCATACATATTTGTCGAATAAGCACCCAATGAAATGATACATCAACTCGTAGAGTAATTTAGAACACGAGGAAGGCATTTCTTAATTAAAATTGCAGGGAAGCCAACGGTGCAGTTCGATGGAGGCAAACGGCTGCAGCCTTCTTCGAGGAAGGAAACGACGCCAGTTAACGTTCGCACGTGTCGAGGCTCGTCGCAATTGGTACCAGGTACCTCCGGATTAGCGGTCGCTCGGTTGTAAAACCAGCTTAAAGCGAGCGAGTCGGATCGCTGCGGTGTGAGCCGGTGCTTGCCCGGTCAGCCTTGGACCCGAAGGCCAAATCCTTTCGCGTTTCATCATTCCCCCGATGACATTACTCATACTTCGGAGCGCCCTCTAGGGAAATCAGAATATCCGAGCAGATGGCGCTGCGAGCACTTGCGGAATGCACCGCGACTTCCATAACCTCTCAAGGTGTTGCAGAGGCTCCGCGCGTCGAGTTCTTTCATTTCCCAACAAAGGGAAGGAACGGTTCACGTGCGAACTTAAACGCTTACGTTCTCCTCGCCAAAGGAAGAAGCCGGAAGAAAAACAATTCCCGGGATTAGGAAAAGAAGAAGACGCGCAGAAGACGGGGCAAGAGGTCGGCCGGCAATCCCTCTCGAACCATTACGCGACTTTCTCATTTACAATTCATTTCTACGACGTATTAACGGCCGCGTTAAGCGGAATGTCGACTCTTGTCATCTCGAGGCCTCGCGGATCTCTTGAATAATCGTCGCGCTCATCTCGAGGTCTAAAATAGAGGATGTGTCGCTGTCGCTCGTAAACCTCGGAAGAACTGGTCGCATATGCCCGACGAATCGCGTAATTAGCGATCGATCGCGACTAGAAATCGAGAAATAATGCTACTGTCTGTTTTAGATGGAAATTACGTGCCCAAGGATCTTCCCTAGTATCGTCCTCGACGACGGATGCGTCGGATCCGAGCGGATTGTCCAGACGCATCAGGAGTGGGCCGATCAGGGCCGATTACGCAGGGCTCGACTCTATACGCGAGTCGATAGCGCAAATTGCGAGACAATCGCCGGACAATCGATTTTCGACCCTCCAATGCGACAGCCATGCATAGGTAATCTCCTTTTTTCCCTGTGCCACGGTCCTTAAAAAAAAAAAATGGTAATGGAAAAACCGACTCCCTCCATTACTTCTTTCTGGCGGCAAATCCGTAACAATGGTCTCGTTTTCCCCCCGGGGCGTTTAAAGCCCTCCGTTGATCCCATTAAAGGTATCGAACCGTGCGAAACGGCCTCAGAGCGTCCAGAAATAAAAAATAAAAGGCCGAGATCAATCGAGCCGAGGTGCGGGAAGTTCCCCCGAAAACTAGAACAGGTGGAGTCGACCTGGAGGAAAGAAGGAAAACTCGACAGAAAAAAAAAAAAACACCCACGTGGAGAATTCCGCCGTTCTTTTGACCGGCCGCCATTACGCCTCCCACTGGGGGACATTCGTGACTGATCAATTGCTATGCACAGCGGCAAGGAAGAGTCACGTGCCGAATATTCAACTCTTCCGAGGTCGACATCTAACGCGCGCATTTTTCTTCCTCTCCTGACAGCCATCAATAACTTTCTCCGCCGCGATTAGGAGTCGCACGTACGACAGGATACGATCGGGGCCCCCAGGTGAACCGACGTAACACCGATATCTTTCCGACCTCAGGTCGTCGATCGAGGTTGAAGGACTCGAGCGACGGAAAAAAAAAAAAATAAAATCCAGAAAAAAGGAGACTGGAATAGATAAACGGGAATTAATGGCCGCGGACTTCGGGACGTTGCGCGAATGTTGCCTCTTGGTTGGACCTGGAGGAGGTCATCGGGTTATCGGATCCGCGTCAAAGATCGGCGATTAGCGATCGGACGGCGCCGAAGCGAGACGCAATTGTGTCTTTACCCGAGGCGCCACATTTCGACTTGACACGGATTTAGACGAGATCCTTGGAGAAAGTCTGGCATCTCGTAATCTACAAACATCTACGCCAATTCGAGGGGAAAGAAAAAAGGGTTAAAAGGTAGAAATAAACAAAAGATCTCGGTACGATTTTCCTTTTCACGGTCGGAGTACAGGCTGACGCAAAATCGTCAATGAAATGCGAAAACAGAAATGGAGAACATTCTCTTCTTTGGTTAACAAGAAAAAAAAAAATTTGGATTTAAAGGATCTCGGTGTCAGATTCGAGTTTCCCCTGTGATTACGGCGCTCCAGTATCGGGAGTACAGGGTGACGCAGGATCGGCAATAAAATGCAAAAAAATCGAGGACACTCTCTTAGTTCGTTAAAAAGAAAAATAATTACTAATCTAAAAGATCTCGATATCAGGTCCGAGTTTTCAGCTTTGATAACGGAGCACCGGTATCGGGAGTACAGGGTGACGCAGGATCGTGAATGGAGGGCGAAAAAAAATGGAGGACACTCATATTTATGCGAGTTATGCCGTGGAGGCTGCGGCCCGGTCGAGCCTAGATCAACCGAGAGTGCCGATGAGCGTCGCGATTGGATTAACGGTGATACTAATTGTCCGATACCGCCAATGGAGCTTGTAAACGAAGGACGGAGGGGTGAGAGGGGGGCTTCACCTTGAGAGTTACGCAACGTGGCATTAACATACGCGGCGTTACATCTCCACGCACGCACATAGTCAGGGCTCGGTAACGAGAGCGTAATGTACCCTACTGTACGAGCGTACCGAGACCGTGTAATGGCGGTCACTTGCGCCGAGTCTCGACCGCACACCTAACCCGGGGCTATTTCTTAACCCTTCTTAGGTGTACCTGTTCTATATACAGGGCGAAGCCGTTGCAAGCGGTACAGGTACTTCTCGTCATAATCGAGGATTTATTTACGCCAGGTTAATCTTTATGTAACGCCGTTTTAACGCGCGACAAGAGTGACTCGGAAGTCGAAGAATGTCCCGTTTGAGGTTAGAAACTGCGCGGCGCCACGGTAAGCGATATTCAGGAGAGACGGAGGAAGCGCGTGTAAAGTGTGAGAGAGAGGGAGAGGAGGGGAGGCGGCTCGTACGCGTAACGGGAAGCCTGAGAAAAAAAACGACGACGTTACTTTCAGTAACGGCGGACTCGGTCGTCTCGGCGTTCATGAGAATCAATGGAATCATTGCGAGACGCCGAGCGGAATATAAATCGGAGGCTTGTGCGCGTCCAAGGGTGCAAAGCGTCCCGCCGCCTCCTGAAAGCCCACCGGGCATTGAATTCCTGATATTAAGATTTCTTCACCTTTTTCTAAGTGACGTTCGTTAATTAAGAACCCTTATTTCGATCGTTAACGGCCTGAAATCGAGCGTGGAAACGTCGATGTGGGGCCGGTCGAGGATACCGCCGCCGCCATATTGGAAGCGCGAGCGAGAGGGCGGGTTAACGTCTATTCCGAATAAATACGACTTTCTCGTCGATGCGCCGGCGGTGCATAAATGTTTACGTCTGAAAACGCCAGGACATTCCGCCGACAGGAGTCATAGACTAGAGAATTCGCGTCGCCGGTCTCCAGGGAGGAAAAACTCGGCCGGCGAATAGCCTCAAAGAAGCCGGTAAGAGGGTCGACTGCCGTCTCATCGGCGACCGGCGAAAAAAAGTTACAGTTACATCCGGTTACACGGTACTTCGTGCCCAGACTCTCTGCCTTTACCAACCGCAATTCCTCCGCGGGTATTACAAACCGAATCTCACCGCGGATTAACGGCAGCAATCGCTTCTGGATTTCTCCGGGAGAAAATCGCGCGTCCCCGCCATTCCCCTCGTGGTGTGTACACAGCCGAGGAGAAATATTTATTTGTGCGATTTCCATCGCCTTAACGTTCCTAACGATCCCTACCACGGGATTCTTATCGCGTGAATAAACCTCTTAAAAGTAAATGCACAATTACCAAGGACATCGGACGGCTTCATTCGTAATAATAAAATAATGTATTCCCTCGCAAGGCGTCGCGGCCAACCCGCGGATAAACTCACCCTTAACCTCGTTACTTAAGGAGCTCCCGGTATCACTCGGGTTAACCATAAGCCTCTCTCGAGGTAACGTGCAATCTTCAATCCCAACACGCGTCCCCGGCGCTCCGAGTCGAGAAAGTGTGGGGCTTTCTCTATCTCTCTCTTTCTCCTTCTCTCGGCGGAGTTTCTTAGATTTCCCCGGTCGGTAATATGGTTTCTGTCCGGGCTCTGAATTCGCCTAGTTGCCAGCAGGCGCGTGGCGGCGCCGCGTTCGCCCACGAGCGAGAGGGTCGCCGAGTGCAGCCGAGCGCACCCGAGTGCAGCCGAGTGGACACTGAACCAACCGCGGCGACTCTCGAGAACTGACAATGCCGTTCGCGGAGGAGAGTGCGGCGGACTCGCCGCGCAGGTGGAGGCGGAGGGGGGGAAGGATGGCGGTGCCAGCCACGGCCGAGACCGAGCACGAGCGAGACGAGGCGCGACTGTCCGGCCGCTCCCGTCTGGATGCGCCCGGGGGTCTGTGTCGACTCCAGACTCGTGGTCGACTCGCCAACCGAGGTGCTAAGTCGCGGTGGACGGATTCTCTATCTCTGTTTATTAACCCGTCGATCATCGAAATTTATAGTACGCAGATAAGCACCGCTTCTCGAGTGACCGCCGAAGAGATCACCGAAGTTAAGCAACGTTGGGCGGGGTCAGTACTTGGATGGGTGACCGATCCACACACCTGCAGAGGTGTTGGTTTTTTTTATGTTCTGCCGTCAATTCCGTTTTTCAGGGGGAGCTTAGTTCGAGCGACGTCTAAAATGCACAGAGGGCTCAGCAAAGGGATATTAAGTACTATTACATGTAACTACAGAGTATAAGACCTGTAAAAGACAAATAAAGGGTATTACCTAAGCAGGAAGAACCATTTCTCTATTTGTCCTCCGAACGCATTTCGACCGGGACCCCGAGGTTACCGAAGAAAAGGAAACCAGGAATTGCTGCAATAGATGGTCTTGGGAAGAGATAGGTGAAATCGCTCTTACGCATGTAAACCGCGCGGTCGGTAAAGCGGTTCCGCGTAGAAACGCAGCTCTGGAGGCCCTCGACTTCGGGTTCCCATGGAATGGAAACAATGACGATCCTCAGGTGATTTCATGAAAACCGGGAGAAACTCGGGGCGAGGCCTCGCGACAGGATGCCCATACGTAGAGTTTAAACGCTTTGCCGTGTACACGGAGTCAGAAATTCACTCCACAAGTGCGAGCCATAATATATATATACAGCCGTGTGTATATATATATATCCGCGTGCTATGACGCAAGCGCATCTCGTGAAATGCACGCGCGTTGGTCCGCACAGAAGTGTATGCAAAGAGATCCACTCCGGAGGAATATTCCTGAATTTCGTGACGAAGAACGAAAACACGCCGGAGGCGATTATATCGCACGTGGACGCGCACTGTGGGAATACTTTCGTAATTCGAACGTCAAATCACGGGAAATGATCGCGGGCGTACCACAAGATGGCCGCGACATCTTGCGAAATCGGCGCATCGGTGCTGCCGGGCCCTAATTGTCGGATAATAAGCGGACATGCCCCTGAAACACGCGGTACCATTAACTCGGCCCACACTCCGGACAAAGCACCACCTCGTACCATAGAGTAAATGCGAGCACCTCGGCGCGAGTGCATTAGAAAACACTTACACATTACGTACTTGCGCACACACCAGCGGACCTAGTGTGGAACTTCAGAGTGACCGCCGCGTTCCCGAGGAATCTTCTCGTTTATCCGGCGCGCATCTTATCTCTACCCTGCTATCTGCGGGAGGAAGTCGGGAGAAATTGTGCAAGCACTGCGAGTCAACGGGGACGGAGAGTTTAAACAATTAAATTAGCATAAGTGCGCGCCGCAGCCGGCATACTTAACAATCAACGCGTCCGAGCCGAGCGATCGCCCGGATCGGCGGTATCTTTTTACAAACACTCTTTTATCTCAACAAAACGAAGTCAGCCTCGTCTCCCAGATCATGAAACTGACCATTCCATGTTTAAGACCACCAAACGTACCGATAACGCGTATCGACAATCCAAGGCTCGATCGTCTCAGTATAGTAACTCCGCGAAGAAGAGGGGAGAGGGACTATAAAAGATGCACGGACTACAATAGGGGCACTTATGCCGGAGCTCTCGCAGGTGAAACACCTGTCCCCTTAACTGTGCTCTAAGGTGATCCCACCAAGACCGTATATACGTCCTAGAGCTCCGTCAATACGGGCATTTAGGCTCGAAATATATTCCCGGGTTCTTTTTTTTTTTCCGGTATTCTTCCAGATTTTATTTTCTGAAGTATTTTCGGCACGCCTCACGATTCCAAATCCGACCGGGGAGCAGGAAAAGTTAAACCTACCGGGTTTATACGTCCCCGGACTTTCCGCATGGGCGAGACCGTTCTAGCTGACGTCACGCCGATTAGATTTGTAATATTAAAAAACGGCGAGGGGAAGGAAAAAGGAGAAAAACGATACCGCCGACAAGCTCGGTCGAATTCCCGTATTTTTACGTGTTTCTACATGTGACTGCGGCCGAGTGTGCGTTTCTTGCGACTGGTTTTAAAATGCGATTCAGGGTCGACGTCTCGACCGGTTTTTTTCCCCCGGACGCGTCACCGATTGAGTCAAATGTCGAGGGCCTTGCCCAAGTTTTGTTTTGGCTACACCAGGCGTCGTCTAGGAAGCGAAAACGTCGACTTCCGTCGCGTTCTTCGGAAGTATCGACTCGAGGGACCTGAACTTGGGACTTTTTGTCCTCCACCCTGCACCTGCCGACCCTGAGCTCCAAATTTCTCATCGGTCACTGCGGTTCCCATCGGCGGTCCCGTCCGGTCAAGTTGCCCTGAGACCAGCTGTTCTCTTACGCCACGACCGTGCATCGCGCCCATGGCCACTGCGCGTTACTCTCGCTGAACGGCAGAAAAAAAAGGAGGGAAAAAGGAAAAAAAAAAAAAAGAACCGCCTCTAGAAAACGTCCCGGCAATCATGGCCTCGTTCCCCGTACGAGCTGATCGGGGGGATAAGCGGTGGAATAGTTTTTCACCTCACGTCTCTTCTCTCGGTGCTCCTTTTACTTGGCTCTTCCGTAGGTGTGCACCCCCGGAGATCCCAAATTTTCGGTGGTGGGGGACGACTCCACTACCCAGGCTACACTTTCTCCGGTGCAGAGTCCGGTCGCCTAGATCGCCGCAATCTAGAGACACGAAACTTGCACCCGTAACCTAGATTGCGATAAAGTAACTCCGCGTTTCTAAACCCGGCGCGCGGTTCTACGAGGCATCGAAACCCGCGAGATAAGATCCCTGGATCGTATTAGTTGGAACTTTATACGTGAATTTATCGTACAGCGTGTCGATACGTAGTCTCGGATGTTTAGGGGGGTTTCCCATGAAAGCGGAGAGCAACGGATTCGCAGCGACATCGGAATCCAGTCCGGAGTATCGGGCGCGCGCCGGTGGCGTCGCCACCGTCGCGCGGCCGGATCGGCTCGTCGTTTCCCTTCTCTTTCCTTCGATCCCCTTTTACCTCGTCTCTCGGGGCTTTCCTCTTTTTCTCCCGGTCTTTCTTCGTTCCGGTTTTTCTAGGGGCCGTCGGTGCGTCCCTCGGTAGGCCTAGCCCCGACCACTCTCGGCCGGGCGGATCGGTTATGCGCGAAAGCAGGGAAAGTACCTCTCGACTCTCCGAGAGGTGCGCGCGCCTACCGTGTGAACCCGCCTTTACCGGCCGGCAATCTTGAACAACGAACGCACGAGAGTCACCGACTCCGTAAGTTTTTCGGCCCTTCGCCGTCGCCCACCTTCCCGGAAATCCGCAATCGGGTGGATTTTCGAGATCTTTCCTCGACATAATCAGTCCCTTTGAGTATGTCGGTAATTCCGCCGTCATGAAACGATCATCACGATCGAGTGTATTAAATCTTCCTCCGAACTGGGTGCACCGAATCGCCTGAAATTAATTTCTTCTTTTTTTTTTCTTTCTTATTACGTGGGAAAGTTTTAAACGAGTGAAAGATTTTGCTGCACTCTGCCGGTACTTATACACTTTTTTGTTGGGCATTGCTAGAACGTAAATGCGCCGTTGCGATCGCAAAGGCTTCTCGCTTTGACCCTAGACTTTTTCTCCCCGTCCCAGACCCTGCGCTCCGAGGAATTTCAATATTCCTCGTTGCAAAATCTTCTCTCTTCTGCGATTCTGCAACTTTTCATTATGGTCGATGTATATGGCGCCGCCTCCAGCCGAGGAATTTCTAAGGAGAACGGTGTAAGCGGATACGCGGCTCGACGTCTAAGGTAATTCCAAAAGTTTCCACTGGGGGGGTTCGACCTGCTCCGGTTCTGAAATCTGGAGGAACGCGGTTGGGCCGTTTCCGTCAATTGGTCCGACTCTTAAACGGCCATTTTCACTAGATGCGTCCATACGGAACCATGACCCGCTCGTTCCACTTCTCGTGCCCTCTTCGACCCCTAAGACGCACCATAGAGGAAGCATCAATTCCTTTTTCTATCACCAGCATCATTTGGCATCTGGCGTTCGAAAATTCACGCAAGAAGTCATTTTGATAGAAAACAGGTTCATTACTAAAAATTGTACATTTTTTATTCATTCATAAAGTATAGAGCATAAGGTCATGTATGGAATATCATATCGGGTAAACGGCCTCCACGTCTTTGCTGGCACATAGGCACTCTTTTGTTGAAATTCTCCAGGACCTGATCACCAAAACTGGGAATTGCACGACCAGGAAATGACTCATGCAGTAATTTAATTGTTTCTCGGGCTGTACGCGTTGTTCTTTCGTGTAGCGCTCCATTTTTAATAACCCTGAACTGTCAGCTGTCACGCTGTCTTTTTTTTTTTTTTTTCGTTGGCAACACTTTACCGCACAAATGGCAGGAAATTCACAATCTTGCGTGAATTTTGTTACACCCTTTATCTTCTATCTTTCCTCTTGGTAACGTCAACTGGCGTCGACGATTAATCTCTCCTCGTCACGTGCACAGATATTTCACGCAGATACGCAAATTGCGATACACGCGCACGCGATGATGTCTGCATTCCGAGGTTTGCATTCGATACCATTGATACCCCACGGGGCGGGTATGAAAGTCAGATGGGAAACGTACGCCCCCTCGCCAGACGCCCAAAGAGGACGATTAGTGACTTTCCCCTAGGCGAGGATAAAGATGGCGGCCCGATAGCGGGGCGATGTGCCGAACTGCGCACTTCTTGTCCAGCTCTTATTTCTCTCTCCCCGGGCCGAATAATCGCTAAATCGCCTCAACGTCATTCGGCAGGGGAATAAGAAACGACACTTCGACGTCCCGTCGGCGGCGTTACGTAATGTCACTAGACATTCGTCGTGGAAATCCGCGTCGAGCCCGCGGGGACGCGAAATGAAACGGTTACGCCGGTTTAATTCCACGTTTCGAGAGGCCGGCTATCCATTTCACGTGATTAATAAGGACGATATTCGTCAACGGGACAAGGGATACATACGCGCCCGCCATTCTCCGAATTATATTCCATAATTCCCGCGGGCGAAAAAAAAAAAGAACACCGTCTCGAGTGCGGACTTTTTCCGCCATTTTGAAACCAAGATGGCGGACTGCCAGGTCCTTAAATTTACCGCTGAGCTTTTTCCACGTTTTGGGGATCACCGTCCTCGAAGATGTACGCGTACGGACCACCGGAACAATTATTTTCCAGTGCGGACTTTTTCCGCCATTTTGAAACCAAGATGGCGGACTGCCAGGTCCTTAAATTTGTCGCTGAGCTTTTTCCACGTTTTGGAGGTCACCGTCCTCGAAGATGTACGCGTACGAACCACCGGAACAATTATTTCTCATCCGGGGGGTTATTTTCAAGCTGTCGCGAGGATATCGCGAGTAAATCGCGAGTTATCACGCGCAGGTCACTTCCTTACGAGACCATTGAGTACTTTCTTTTCCTTTTTCTCTATCGCGCGGCTATCGGTGCCGTCGTTGTGAGGTCCCGGCGACAAAGAGAGGTTAGGCCTCGACCGGGTATGGCTGTTTACATGTACAGGGTGACCTTTAGAATACGGAACTCGTCGCACCACGGAACGGGCACCGTTACTTAGAGAGAGAGTACCGGCTGTACCGAGCGAGCGTAATGCCCGCTCGTCTCGAGTTATCGCCATAGAAGTTGGACAAAGTATGAAATTAATCGGGGATTTTCGATAGCTTCACCCACAATTTCGGTGCAACTGTATTTCCCGGCTGTGCGAACCTGGAACCTCCCGCTTAAGACATAAACAAAATTAACAGGCTTTTATTGGAATGTTTCGGTGTTGTAGGAAAATCCAGATCCTCTCAGAACCTTGAAAACGTTAAAACAACCATTTTCAAGATTTTTTTTTTCCCATGGTTTAGGCTCCTCGCACTGGCCTGCATTAATTTGCGCAAGTAAATCGCGGGGAGTACTTATGCTGAGGATTTTTTTTAAACCGATAGGGTTTGGTCCGGACAGCTAGGAAAATTCAGAGCCTCCTAGAACCTCGAAAACGTTAAAATGGTCACTTTCGGAATTCGTCAATTTTTTTTTAACAGCTCTGGTTAAAAAAAGAAAAACGAAGGATAGATAAAATACCACAAACAAAACTCATGGCGCAAACGTCTACGTCACGGAAACATTCCAATAAGCCTGTTAACTTTGTTTGTGCCTCAAACTGGATTCCAGGTTCGCACAGCCGTATTTCCCCAGAGGCTCTCGCGCGCCGATGTCTAAACAATAGAAGTCCGTAGGGAAAAAGGGAAATAGAACGAAAGGAAGAAAGGAGCGGGTAAAAACGAACGGACATCAGGCACGAAATGTGTGACGGACCTGGAGTGAGGTCGACAAGAAAGGGAAGTGAAAACGAGTCGCCTCGCAGGGGAGAGAGAGTGGGCGTGCCAGTGATACGAAAAGAGTTATCTAGAACAGAACACCGCGATGTACATCCACCATTAACCCTAGAACAATCGGCAGATATTTCTCTTTGTATAGGATGAGCCATTTGAAACAAGTCATTCCGACCCGCCTTGGTAGTTCTGGTGTTAAATGGCTTTCCACGCGACGGGATCGCCGCCGCCATTTTCCCCGGTTCGTCGCGTCGTCTTCCCGTTTCGCATCTCTCCGATATTTTTCCCCTCTCAGTAACGGTACGTGACAATATTTCAAAACAGCTTCCCCCCATTCGATCCCTCGTCCAAGGCCTCGCATTCGTTTACACGGTGTCATCCCCGATCGCGATCGCTACGTAACGATTCCGCCGCGGTTCCGCATTACCGGGATATCCCCGGAATTGCAGGGATCCTCCGACTAGTAATAAGAAAGGCGTCCTCGAAAACTGCGTAATCGCTAATCGGCCGTTTCTGCAATATTGTCAAATCGACGCGCCTCGTTCGGAGCGTAATTGCGCAACGACCTCCGATAAATCATTCCGGATGCGCTTAAACGCGGCTCCTCGCCTCGCACGCAATTAATGTCCCATATCTCGTTAACCAATTTATTAATAATACCCTTGGGTTCGGCTGTCGACGAGCGCTTCTGCGAAGCTATGTTTCCATTTTTCCTTTTTTTTTTCCTTTTTTTCTTCAATGGGCGGGTTATCGGCAGGGATTATGCAACGACCCTGATACATCCGAGTGCAATCCGCAGATTCCCTCTCGAGCGCCCCCTACCGATTAAAGGCCGATTCAGAGACGCGTCCGTATCACGTCCGTGACGTATCCACGCACTGATGAAAAATGGCCTTATAGGTTATATAATAGATTTATGTTAGTTTCAAAATACTCCTTTGATAACAAAAGAACACGTACCAACCTCACCTCCGTGCGTAACAAACGGAGTAGTCATTAATGGATAGTCGTGATGTGAAAGTGTAAATTTTTAAAAATAAACATTAAATTAAATTCGGTGCGTACCATTTCTAACGATATAATGGTCTGGAAAATGGATTGTGTGTTATTTCCATCTATGTGACTTTATGGATACGTCTGATACGCGACGTTTGAACCGGCCTTAAAGGCTCGAGTCAGCTTCGCGGGAGAAAGAGAGAGAGAGAGAAACAAGAAAATGATCTAAATCTCTTTAAAAGTGAAATGCGGTAAAAGTTCTCGCTCGGAGTTAAATGAGATCCCTCGCTCTCGTTTCGAGTGATCTCCGAGGTAACGGACCGGGCCTCGGCCCCGAAAGCGAAGGCGAAGGTCTCAAAAGTTGATGGAACCTTGCCGGCCACCTCGACTTTTCGAGTCGCTTTCTTCCGCGTCGGCGTCGAAGGTCGACCGAGGGAACGCGTTCGTTGCGCTCTCCCGGCCGGATATATTTACGATCTCGCCGTTGGACGAAGTCCTTGCGTGGTTTATTGCCGTAATCCCGATCCTCCTTGCCGAGTGACGCCCGGACTTTCCGAGCGCCGTCCGCCATGTTTACTCGGCGACGTGGAAACCTTCGCAACCCCGTTTAGTCACCAACCGGCTAATTTACGATCCTTTGTACTTCGGCGTGGCGCGAACAAAGGCGGAGACATCATTTTCGGTGAAATAAAGTGAATTATAGTGGAATAAACCGCGAGGAGTTGAATCACCGCGGCCGCCATATTGTTTTAGGGGCGGCAAGTCACGTGACCACCGAGATCAAATTATTTCAGCTTAAAATGGGATGGTAAGGAAATGCAAATGTTGCCTTAACCTTGAAATAACGAGTCGCACCGCGTAAACTCGGAATCGTTCGGTGCACCCGGAGGAAAGATGACTTCTGGGCAGACACCGGTTGCACGTCGCGGTTCCGACCAAAGGCACGGGTGACTCATCGGTGCAAGAGGGGCGCAACGTGTCTCGTTCCGGCCCTCCTCGCGCCGGCGAGGTTAGGCGAAGCGATTGACTTAAAGACGGCGACGCGAGGAATTTCTCCGAAGGTTAAGGTGGTCCGGTTCGGACAAATTAAGCAGAGCCGAGTCATTGGGACGTAAATATACAGTTCCGTCGGTAGGAAATAAGCCCTTTCCTTAAGGCATGAATCTTGACTCGAGAAGAAGAGGGACGCCATATGCAATCCAGTGGATCGACAGGTTTGACGACAAAAGTCAAACCTTGGCCTAGCCAGGGGTTACAGCAACTCTTAGAAGGGCTAACTCGTTAACCGTTGCACAGGCCTAAGGTATAAATCGGAGCACATTTTTGAGCCCCAGATTTGGTGAGATTACTCGATGAAGAGGAGCAATTCTCGATAAATGAAAGACCAGGATATAGATACCGGAGTAGATCCGACGCTTCGATCTTCTGGAGGAGAGTGGGGTGTTTCGGTCGGCGAGACTCGTTCTGGAAAAAGAGATCCGCGACCGCCGCCAGTCGCTGAGGCACGGGTCACGCGGGGAGCGAGAGGGGCGCCGACTGCACTTTTCGGCCCGGCGCGGGAGACAATGAAAAGAAAGTAGATAAAAGAAAGGACAGGAAACTCAGCCAACAGTCGAGGCTTCGACGTGTGAGGGTACACGTATAGACTTGTCCGCCGGGCGGAGATTTTTACATGCACGAGTCGCGAAACTCGACCGACGCCTTCCGAAAAACGAGATCCGCGCCGCCGCCGCGGGTGACACGCGGGACGAGAGGGGCGCCGGCTGCACTTTTCGCGAGGCTACCCGGCAGGGAGAACAATAAAAAGCTCACGAGTGAAAATTCCTCCGATCCGGCGGCGCGACCTTTGCGTCTCGCCGCCACTCGCTCGGCGATGTAGGTGCAGCCGGGGCTCGGATTGACTCGGCGCGGTCGCGGTTCGTAAAAATGCCGAAATAGAAAGTCCTGGATTGAAAATCCTCAGGGTAGGCGGAACGCCGTGCGCGAGCCGTCCTCCCCTCGCGGGTACACGCACCTGGGCCAGGCAACGGGATCTATTGAGACTCACCGGGCGGAGCGATCTGTCGATGGCGACTCGCCGATCTCGGGCGAATTCAGGCTTGACGTTTCCACGCGAGAGCGGCCACCGCTTTCCCTCCGAATAACCCACCTGTCCGACCACCGAGGCACACACTGACCGGCGGAGGCCGAGGGACTCGGAGGGAAGCCCGCCGCTCACGCGCGTCGACTGCCGAGTGGGGGTGCGCACGGGGACTGGCCGGGGTCTGCGCAGCGCCCGCATCGACCTATCAAGTGCCGCGGCCGCCATCTTGCCGCGGGGAAATTCAAACCTATCGAAACGTTTAACCTTAGTACATCACTTTTTGGAATTTTTCAATGATTCTCGCGTATTCTTTAGAACTGTACTCGGTATTGAAAATTAAATCGGTATGTAGATTCTTTCAATGTGGGTTTTCTTGCCATGTTACGTTTCTCGGTACCATCTTTGCAGATCTCGCGAGACCTCTGTGGCCGCTTTTGACGGCTTCGTATCCAACATGGCCACCTGATATGTAGCAGACGATACAGGTGGCATGAAAGATTGTAAATAAAATTCATCGACTAGACTTAATTATGAGTGGGAGGCTGCAGCAGGAAACGCTCGTCGAGAATGACCGTTTGGACGACGCAGTGGATCCCAGAGTTCAGGTTTGAGGCGTCGGAAAAGGGTTAGAAGAGCGTGTCACCACCCTGCAACGAGCACCTGCTACACTCATCTTGATCTGTACCTTTCCGTTCGTTTATGTACATTTTGTGCCATTTCATTCTGTTTGACATTTATTATACTTGATTGTTAACTCATCCTTTAGTCATTGTCTCTTGCTAAGGCTTTTCAATCTTCCGGGAAAGGGTGTTAGGAAGGTCACTGCTTGAAGTTTTTATGCATTTTTTATACTACATGGTGCTCTGTTATGTAGTAACAATATTTCTGTGTTGGACATTAAAGTTGAATTTTTTGAAAGTGTATTTTTAAAAGATCAAGTAGATTTGGTGTTGCAAGAGTTTCGGTGAGATTAGTCGCTAGTCGACGTGATCCTAAAGTGGGGTAATAATTGTGTTTCAGATTGAACTCGAACGACTGAATACAGCAACCGACGACATCAATAAGCTTGAAGTGGATCTAGACGTAAGTGCATCTTTGGAAAAGACCTGAACGTTTAAGCCCAAACTCGTGTCCAGTCTCAGCGACGCATCGCCACCGTAGTCGCGACACGAGTTTCAAAACTGGTTACGATTAGATTTCATTGAGGAGATTGCTTCTCGGCGTGGCCCGACAAATGGATAATGGGTCGAGTGGATCGTATTCTTAGTCTCGTTTACCATAGAGCTACACGTTATGACCTGTGACATCTTCCTGAAGCATTTTACTGCCGATACTTTTGTCGTGTGTCCTTGCAAGACTCGTAGATGCTAATGGCTTTTAACAAACAAAATGTAACTTGAAAATTCTAATATGCATTGCTCTTAGTTTAAATGCATACGGAATTGCAAGAGGAGTGAAATAGGTCGTCATAATTTTAATTGTTATATAAATTTATTAGGAGGCGAGAGCAACATTTCGAGAATTACTTTGCGAGTCCACATTGAAGATCGACAGTTTAGCAAAGAAGCTTGGTGCTTGCATAGAAAAATCCAGGCCCTATTACGACGCAAGGTTCAAAGCAATGGAGGTACTTTTTATACGAATTTTTTAATATCCTCCAGTTTTAATTAAAGGAGTAATAAATAAAAGAAATTTATTTTCAGGCTTTACAAGAAACCCAGAGAGCAGCCATTAGATTTGAACGTGCCAATAGTCAACACGCTGCTGCGAAGGAAATGGTGTATTTGGCTGAAGAAGGACTGAGAACGGAAGGCAGATGTTTCGACCATGCATGGCAGGTGCGATCTTCAAGAGCATCTTTTGCATCTACCATAAGTCTGCACCATGACTAGTTGTAAGTTGTAAACACACACTAATTGAGAGATATTTTAGGAGATGCTGAATCATGCTACATCTAGAGTTAACGAGTCGGAGCATGAAAGGGCTATCTCCGAAGCTGAGCACAGACACACTACAGCTCTCTATCATAGAGCAGAGCACCATGTGCAAAGACTGCAACGAGATTTGAAACGTTCAATTGCTAAATCCAGGTACACTAGCAGGGATTAGCTAGCGTCAAGTTAGCTGAGGTTTTCTTTAGCCCCTAATGCACGAATTCAAACCTATTTAACTAATCGATACCAGGATCTACAGATTTCAGGACTCTTTCAAAGGAAACAATAACTTTCAATGGAGAATTTTTCTGTAGATCCTGCTCGATCAAAAGTATTTATCTCTCCATTTTTCTCGTTTTCCCTTTATTTGAGATCATCGAGTTCTCCCGTTTTGGAACGCAACTACCACCTTTTTAATTTCTTTTTTCCAATTCCCCTTGCGTAGAACTAGGAAATTTATTGTCTTTTTGGTTGTCTTCATGTTGGCAGTATGGGTGCACGTCGCAGCTTGCTTCTGATAAACAGTATCGCCTACAGACACAACTTGCTCATGTTGTAAGTAGGATAGATATTACTTTATTTTACTGCTAACATTCTTGAGTTTCGGTTTTCTCTGCATTGCCTACAGTTTATTCCCCTTTTTTGTCATAGTTTTTTTTTCCTCTCTTTTATTTATCGCACGAAACCGTGCTCTTTGTGCAAATTCCCCTACAACGGACCAAGCATGCTCTGCTATGGACCATTGAAGAGGCGATACTTTTCAGGAGCTCCGAGGCAAGTTCGAAGGCCATAAAGAAATGTTGCAGAGTCTATTGTATAATTTATATATTCACTGCAATATCTGACTGCACAAAGGAAAATTGTCTTTGTAGAAAAAAAATCACATTTCTGGGTACAGTTTGTGAACTTTTTTTTCACTGCAGGAGAAAGTTCTTTGCAAGTTTTAGAAAAATATTAACGGGAGAAATTAAATTATTCTGGTATTAATTTAATACAGGCCTTATTACGAGATGAAGGCCCACTTCAATCAAATGCTTGACGAGCAGAAGATGAGGGTTAGCGCTTTGGAACGTTCCGTCAGCGAAGCCAAAATGACTTATGCCGAGGCGTTGCGAAACCTGGAAAGAATAAGTGATGAAATTCATAGGGTAAGTAACTATTCAATATATTTTCTTTAGCTTGTTTTGTTAGTATTTATTTAAAACAAATGATAATGACATATTTTCTGTAATAGACAAGGAAATATGACGGTCCTGATGGCTTCGACAAACATTCCACAGAATTGGGGGATCGCTCTTTGGGGCAGACGAATACTGCGACGCCTACAGACTCCAGTGTGACCGGCTCACCAGACAGTACGGATTACACTAGCGATGAGTACCTGAGACTTCCTGAGAAGTTGAGCCCTAACCCACCGTGTCCTTTGCCTAAGAGAGTAAGAATTATGTTCATCAACCACTTTACAAATATTATTTTTAAGTAAGTACATTGTATGACAGTGTATTTTTGTTTTGTGAAGATTGACAGAGATCCTTCTTCGGAGTATCTTGGCTTAAGCACTCTGAATCTTTCTTCCACGGAGCCTCGGAAGTATATTAAACGAGAGCGACCCAGAAGCATAGGTACCACTGATATGAAGCAATTGGTACTGATGCAGAACCATATAAGTTCATCCTCTCCAAGACTGTCTGATTTAACGAAGGTGACTTCAGCAGTGGAAAAGAGAGTTACCATAGAGTCACCGAAACAGGGGAAGAGTGAAGCCACTGTTCAAAATGGTGAAGAGTGGACAGAGATTAGCCTGAATAATTCCCCTGAGGAAGTTTACTATAACAACGACATATATTCTGACGAGGATGATCAGATCCCATACAAGCCCCTACCTGCAGATCTTAGTCCCGAAGGATGCAATACCACACCTTCTGGCTCAGATGCTCAACCACTGAATGAACAAACTGTTAGGAGAAAATTAGTGACGCAGAAGTCCTTACCAGCAATGCCAAGGACGAATGAAGTTAGCCTTGGTGAAGAGAGGAAAGCTGAAGTCACGAGAAGTCCGTCAGTAAAGAGCAAAGCCAAGTTAGACAGCAGTTTAGCTAACTGGATTTCCAGGAGTGCGGTCAACGAAGAAATCACTTGTGATGGCTCTGGTTAGGATTCCATATTTAGTTTCCAAAATATCATATTTATACTTCGCGGAATTAATTATTAAAGGATTTCTTAATTTTCTAGCAAGTTCCAGTAGAAGGCAGAGTCTAGACATGTTGTGGAACACTGGGACAGGTGAACGAGTAAAAGAATTATTGAACCATGGAATGATGATGCTTAACATATCTAATCTCACAGAGAGACGTGGTAGCGAATCAAAGTGCGTAGAGAAGGATAAAGGGAAGTCGGAGAAGGTAGAAGTGAAAGGAAAGAAAGTGCCGAGTCCTCTGGAGAAAACTTTGACTTACTTGAATCCAGACGAAGAGACATCCGATAGCGAAAGCTTAGCCAGGTAACAATTCATCGATTTTACTGTCAGTATAATTTTTAATCTTTTATTACTCATTAATCAATTTGTCATTTATTACGAGTTTTGTAATACGAAAAGCAATAGCTTATGACGTTTTAATCGTTCCTTAATTACATTGTAGCGTGGAGATGCTGACAGAGGATCAGATTACCTCACTCATGATGGAACAAGACATGAATCAAGTATGTCAAGAGATCCTGGGTACTCCTTTGGTCGAAGTCTGTCCACTGCTGCAGCAGCTGCAGCAACGACAGTAGTGCTCGTCCCTCCAGGACTCGTCAAGTTGGCGAGACAAAAGTGTTCAAAGTCGCGAGTCTAGGCTAGAGTAATCACAGTTTAGTCTCCCGTTACCTCCAGGAGTCTCGTTGACGATAATTTTATTCTCCCTGTTGCTGCAGATCTCTTGATCCCGTCTCGTCTTCGTTCCGATCCATTTGAATCGGTACCTGGTGCCAAGGGCAAAATCGACCTGATAAGAATCAAATATCTTCTATATCGTGGTGGTGAATTTAGTCCATTTCATTGTTTACTGTTGTTATTAATTTTGTTATAGATTATTTTGTCAGTAGCTGTTTACAGGGTAGAATAGTACATTTATTGCAATTGCTCTTTCATTACGCTTATTTATCGTTTTAAAAGAAGATGCAGTCGTAGCTTTTAATTTATGCAATGTTTTTATAAGGTGTTAGGTTTATTTACAGAAGCCTAATCAATGATTAATAGCATAAAAGTACTATTACTTCTAAGTGAAAGAATTATTCATTATATAGGAGCTTAGGGTCATGTTCTTTATTCTTGTTTAAATTCATTTAGAGAAAAAATTAAATTTTTGCATAGAATATTCTTACTGGATAGACAAAAGTCTCCCAGGTTTAGTCATTTGGATAAATTCTCAAGTAAGTAGTCAAAGAATTAGGAGCATAATTTCTTTGTCAAAGCAATATGTAGTCAATCATAGGGAACCGAGCATCCAGATTGCATCTGCCACGAAATCTTTTTTCAATGAAAGTTGTAGGTAATTACACTATTGAATGAAAAGGTTGTTGTTGCAGATATTTGGGCGTGAAGATCTACCCAGCCTTAGGGACACAGGTCAAGGGAATAACTCGGTATTCCTTTGAAGCAAGTTAAATGCTTGCAGATGCGTACCTTAATTTTTAGCTTACACAAATCACAAGGGTTACAAGGTAACCTTATGCTAATGTACATTACCTCTTATGCTAGTCTTAACGCCGAAACAAAATTCTTGATCTATGAATGTAATTTCCTCGTTTACGAGGAATATTGCCTGTGAGACATTCAATATTCTATTAAAATGAAGATGAGCCAGAAATGTAGTTCCTAATGCACAGCGTCGAGTTTTCACCATGCAGTGTAACGACTCTCATCTCTGGTTTACATCTTACAGAGGAACCATCATGTGTCGCGCCTTTAATTAGTTTCTCTTCCAAAGACTAATATACTTCATAAGTTTAACGAAAAGAATTTATGACACTTCGATTAATTTAATCCCTTGGTGACTTTGTTTAGATTTAAAACATAAATAGCAATATAAATTAACTCACAAATAACTTTACCACTACGATGAGTGGAACATTAATTAAGGATTTATGACAGATATTCCGAGTAAATATTGGAATTACTGAACAGTTAAAAATTGGTTCTTTTGAAATTTTCAATTAAACATTTTGCCGCCATCATTTTATCCTGCCGTCCTGGGCCTTCCCTTTAAATCGATCCCAAAATTTCTAAAATATCGCATTGGCAGTCTTCTGACTCTGTCATTGCGATTGCGTGAGCCCTAACCAGAAATGTGTTGCGCCGCCACTGAGGGGTAACAGGTGGCAAATGCGTTAGCCGTCCGTATCCTCCACCGGGTAACAGCACAGGACGCGATCGCGCGACCCTGCCCGTGAGAGATCTCCCAACTCATCTCTGTTTTTGAACGCACCCTTATCTCCAGCCGGATCGATGGCAGCGCCACCGGTCGAAAGCGGCGCTCTCGGGAAACTCACTTGCGCGCCTCTCGCACCCCACTTGCGCTCCTCCGCAGGCCGTGGAATCAAAATGGCCGAAGCGTATATGGCGCTCGTCGCGCTCGCATTAATTGTCCGCTGATATCTCGGCGTTTATTACGTAATTTCGAGTGTCCAGTCGCAAGGAACGCGTCGTCGGCGTCGTGGCCGACGCTCGGAGTGTGCGGAAAGTGCGGCGTTCACGAAGTGGCGGACGACCGGGGTGACCGCTCGACGACGGCCCCGCCGAATTTGGCGATTCGGTTCCCCCCGCGCGGTGACTCCCTATTTTGGAGGTTGTTTTCCTCCCGCCCGTCGCTTGCACCTCCTCGCCCCTGGCGTAGCAAGGAAAAGTGTTCCCGGTAGCGCGAGGCGTGCCTTGACGCTCGAACTCGGCACCGGCTGTCGTGAGGCTCGCTTCATGTGCCACCGACGGCGGCCGTGACCTTTTAACCTCATTCTCGAGGATGTTCACCAGCACCTGACCAGCGCGGTGTCGGCGGGACCTTTCGGATGCCACCGGTGAGTTTTGAATTGTTTCCACGTCTTGAGGACCCCTATAATATCGTCAAGAAGTCTTGTCGTTTTATAACCTCTCGAAGGTTTCACTATGTTGCCCTGAATATTTGCTTTGCTTGATCGGGTTGATGCTAATGAGTTAGGGAACAAATTGGTGATATGGTGCACCGTTCAGCCTTGGTTTGTGCTAATTTTATCAATTTTTCTTCTTCGATTACAGATTCGAGAATGGAACACCCCTCGTGAAGCCAGTGCGAGTAATGTGCCTTGAAGGCTAGAGCGTCTGCCAGGGTTTTCGTGTCATCGCACCTTTAGGTGCAAGTGTCCACCATGGCGGCGGCACCGAGGGACATGGACAGCTTTATGCCGCTTCTGTCGACATCGGACATCAAAATGAAACTACAGGTCGGGGAGCAACTGTTGAAATATCTTGCCGATCCTTCGGAGAGCATCGAGTGCCAAAACATCGGCCTCTTTGTCGACAATATCATATCCTGGCTCAGCAATGGTAATCCAAGGGTAAGCTTATCGAGTCAGTTTTTTCAAAACGTTTTGCTCCAAGTGTTAATTCATCTATATGAGCACTTCAGTCAGACCGTGGAATGTTGTTTTATCGGTGGCTGCTACTTTAGGGAAGCAAACTAGCCTCCAAGCAAGAGGATCAAATAAGGGGAAAAAACTTTCACACCATTTATGTAGCAGCATTGCAGAGCGCAGCAGTACAAGTTCTACCAGACGATTACATTCAGTCTTCCCTGTGAAGTCGTTAAATTACCACTAGTTATTAAAAGTCGTTCCATTTCGTAAGCTGAAGACATAAAATCTTTGGGAAAAAAAAAAAATGACGGATAATACCAAAGCCAGTCGTTTACAAGAATTTCGAGTTCGTTTTGAGAACCAGAGAAAAGCTGAATTGGAGGTAGGCCTCGGGGCAGACTTGTACATCATTAATTAATCCTCTGAATTAGTTGATAACGCAAAAAGTTACAAAAAAGTAATATCGCCTTTAACGTGTTTTTGTTTTTCTTCGACTTCAGACCGTCGCAGGGACCCTCGTCTCGACAATGACTCTTCTTTCAAAGGCTTAAGTGCACTGATGGCTTCGCTAAAGTTTCAGCGTAGTTGTTCAGAGACAAATGGCTTCGATTGCTCCTTGGGTGGACATTTAGGTGTCTTTTTGGCCTTAATTCAACCTCTCCACTGTTGAATTAATCATTCTTCAAACGATCCCAATTCTTCTCAATTACTCCCCGACGTGACATCACCCAGAATATAAGTACTGTCTACTCTGACTTTGGCTGAAAATCTTTCCTGTTCGGTATTTGGTTCCCTGTAGTAGGAAGGAGGCTCTTGTCAAGGATCGTATCAATGTCACCCGTCAGAACGTGTAATAACATTCTTTCGCGCATCGATGAAAATGCCCGATCTGAGAATGATCCATAGGCTATCAAAAGTGCCCTTGTAACTCGATCGGCGTTACCGAGGTGGTTATCGAAGTTAGCGTTCCGCGTCGTGGCACGGTGTTATTTAAACGTAGCTCTCTCGTACCATTAAAAATGTCTCGACATCCCAAACACTCTTGGAATGAAAATGTATACTACACGTAAAAGAACATAATTTCTTCGCGAGAATTTCTACCGAGGCATTAGAAATTTTGGATATAATGGTAAAGTCAAATTCCTCGATATTGGATCTTGAGAATCATCGAGTACGTGTATGCTATATTTTTAACAGCGCGACCTCGAGTGATGCAATTTCGATAACCTTCTCGAGGACTCTTCTCTTTAATATCTTTTTTTTTTTGTACAATCATTTTTATGGAAATTATCTTCCTATGTAGAAAAGAGGGGTGTAACGATCCAGTTGGCCAGCATTTATTGGGGTTCGACGGTACCCTCGGCAGAGCCTCGCACCAAATACGAGTCCCAAACAATGCGGGCGATTTAAATCCCGTTTACGGTTTTCGGTAGAAAGTGGCCCGATGAACCGGCCCGCGAGGATATCCCGAGGACGCTACGTCACTCCGAAGGACAGGCTCCGTTCGGATGTTTGGAGATTCGAAAAGGGACATGCATTATTCAGGAGTGACGAAGTCGCGGAGCACCGAGTCGCGCACTCGCTTAGGCGCGCTCGCACGCGCACGCACCCGCTCACTCCTATATTTAGACCGGATTTTTTTTTATTTTCCCTTTCTACCTTTTTTCTCTCTCACGATTATCGTCAGCGTCACCTCCTGCATTTGGTTTCTGCATTTCCTCGGTCACTTCCAGCTCCGAGAGCCGGTCCCTCTTCCATATACGCGTAACAGATTATATTCACGTATCTCGGTGCGTGGAATTTTGTCGACGTCGAAATTCCCTTTCTTCCCCTTTTTTCTTTTCTTTTTTCATTCCTTTTTTCCGGAAAATTAATTCCCACCGACCCCGCCGAGGTTTTCTTACACGGCGTCTTTTTCTAGGATTAAATTTATACACCTCGGTGAATATCATTTATTTGAGGAATTTCTTTTATTTTCAAAAAGGGAATTCGCAAAGGCCTTTTCGAGGTTCTCTCACACGGAAGGGTTTTTGCAGGGGATTATTATTTATGCATCTCGGTGGATATAATTTCGACGAGAATTGCAGGCTCCCCCGGATATCCCCGTACCCTGGCGCTTAATCGTTAAGTAATCCTTGTTATTGTTCCCCTTTTAGACGGTTCAATCGGCGTGGCGAGTAAGATTCCGGGGATTCCTTTTTTGGTATCGGGTTTTCGAGTCCCCAAGTGCAGGTACACCATCGGCTTCCCTTGTAAGGCCGTCGGGGCGATTTCAAATTGAAATTTAAATTGCACCGATAAGAATACAATGAGGTCCTGAGATGTCCTCTTGTGTCACTCCTCGCGGCCGGAATATAATTGACCCAGAAACACCGACTTATGCCGATTTTAACATTCGATTGTTATCGGCTCTCCAGGTCGCCCAGGGTACCAGATCTTGCCGCCTAGTTTGTACGTAGGTAAGCCGATGTACGGAGAGACCTATACACGTCGTGGGAACACTGGAAGACCTCCGAAGAAAAGGATGATCCGAGAGATAAGGCGAAGGAGAGGATTTTCTAATCAGCCCGGCAGAGTGGAGTGGATGTCTCTTGGGTGGATCTTGCTGGTAACCCTGATTGCAGCGTGCCCTTAATTTCGCCGAGGAGCTGCCATTGTCATTGCCCGATTTGGCAGGGAGCCCACTGGATTTGGCCGGAGCCCGCCGACATTGCTCGATCGAACGAACTCTTCTTCGGTCGGACCTTCGTCGCTGGCCGATAACAAGCCCTTGGCCTTGAACCTATTAAGCTGAACGAGGACGCCAAGCGCATCAGATCCTGGCCATGTACCACCCGGCGAGAAGCCAAGCGATTATCGAGACACGCTCGCCTCCGACGGATTAAATTCACTTATCATGTCCCTTTTATCTCGTACCTGGGTATCTGTGATCCCGTTGCCGAGGACGTCGCATATCGCCTCTCTGGACCCATCCGCGTCATCGGCAAGGCCACGTGGATTTCCCTGATACCGAGGACGTCGCATCTTGCCTTTGGACCCACTCGCTTCATCGGTGCGCCAGGAAGGAGGCGTACCGAGATTCGCCGACCAGTGGAGAGAACGTTTACCCCGCATCGCTAAAATAGACCTCGACACCTCAACGGCCTAAGGTCGCGTTAAAGTCTGCCGGCACTGCAAAGCGTTCTCTCGAGGCACCAACCAGCTGCGTGAACCTGGAATCCAGTTTGAGGCACAAAGTTAACAGGCTTATTGGAATGTTTCGGTGGCGTAGGGAAATTCAGAGCCTACCAGAACCTCGAAAACGTTAAAATGGTGATTTTCGGAATTCCTTTATTTCTTTTTTAACAGCTCTGATTTTTGTAAAAAAGAAAAAAGTGCCAGAAAAAAAAATTCAACGTGGCACAAACGTCGTCATGGCGGAAACGTTCCAATAAGCCTGTTAATTTGGTTTGGGCCTCAAACTGGATTCCAGGTTCACACAGCCGCACCGACCCCAGGTTCCGGCCGGTCGTTTCTTCGGCGAGGAACTTCCCTCGAGATGAAGATAGGGAAAGAGAGAGAGTTGGAATAACGAGCGAGACTTGCCGTTTCCGGTGACTTCGAGCTCACTCGCGATGCATCTTAAAACCTCCGCCGTTATCAAGGCTAAAACTGTCCCAGGAAGCCTAGGAAAGTCTGCGACATGTGCAGCTTCATCCGGACCCTTAATCTCTGGACGACATCCTCGGTGCACCCCTCGTCGGCAGTCTACGAAGGCTCGCAGACGAAGTGCAATTGCCGCCTCGGGGGACCGCGAGGAAAGCTGGAATAACCGGGAGCGAGAAAAAAAGAAAAAAAAAAAAAGAAGGAGTATACCCGAACCTTAAGGGAACCCGACAATTAGGGCTCACCGTTTCCTGGATCAATATATGGCGCACCTTTACGGGAGGATTGAAACGATGGGCGAGCGCGAACAAGCGAGCTGTCCAGCGGTAGATTATACTTTAGGTCGATTCCATTTTCAGGCTCGTTTTTCATGTATGTCGCGGCTGAAATGATGCGCTTAGACTGGCTCCCTGGAGTAATGTGCCGGAGAAATTGTTTCTTTAATTGTTAATCTTTCATTTCCGCGTTGTTTCAGGTCGTCCAGAACGGCTTGGACATCCTCACCCACCTCGCCGATCGGATGGGCCACGACTTCAAGCCCTACGTCTCCTCGGTCATCCAACCCACGATAGACAGGTTGGGTAAGTATCGGATAGTACGAGTCGACCGCACAATTATTCCAGCCCGAGGGACTCGTACACTCGCAGAGGCATTAAAGTGTTATGAAAGGGTCATTATACATATATGTACACATACATACACGCGGTGCTCGTGAAATTTAATTTTTCCAAAAAGATGTGTCTGGGATAAATAGAAGAATTTTTTTAATTTTTTTTATGTATAATTTCACGAGTGTCACGTCCTTCCTTAGGGCCCCCATAATCACGCGTTGAAGTTTCACATCACTCGGTGGACCTAGAGTGGAGATTAGTTTTGTAAATATTTTGACGGTGCTTGATATGTGTACAATGAGTCTTTTATATCACCTTAAGGTCGGGATTCGGTGTTCGTGCGTGCTGTTACTTCCCTAGGGGTATTAGCAGTCGTGCCAAGAATCGAGCGAGCCATGATGTATTTATTCACTGTTTTGCCCTCCAGGTGACAGTAAAAATGCGATACGCGCCAAGGCGGCGGTGGTGCTGCTGAAGATCATGGAGAAAGGCGGCATGTCGCCGCAGCAACTCCTCGACCGTCTCCACCCGGCTTTCGGCCACAAGAATGCGAAGCTGCGAGAGGAGGCGCTCATCCTCCTCACGACCACTCTTAACGAGTACGTAAGGAAGCCGAGAGGGGCCTAGACCGACCCCCGGCGAGGAGGGAGACATTTTAATCTCTCTTTGATCGACAGACACGGCGCGGACGAGATGGCCCTCTCGGGGGTGACGCCGAGCATCGTTAAGCTCCTCTCCGACCCCACCGTGACGGTCAGAGAGACGGCGCTCAACACCCTGGCGGACATGTACCGACACGTCGGCGAGAGACTGAGGGTGGACCTCCAGAGGAAGCACAACGTCCCCCAGGCCAAGTGAGTGGCCCCCTGCGAGTCTGTTCTCTCCCTTTCCTAGATATCAAGGACGATCGACTCCAGTATTAATCTCTGGATTTTCTATTTCTAAGGTGGCAGCTCCTCGTTGAGAAGTTCGACCAGCTGAGAGCTGCCGGAGACCTCCTGCCCCTCGCCATGTCCTCGGACGGTGAGTGATGGCGTTTTACATTTAATTGCCGGGCATTTAGCGTTGCTTTAACGATCGCCAGCAACGGAACCGGCATATCTTTGCTTGGATTAGATAACGGATAATGCGTGGTACAGGATGTGGTGGAGGAAGTCCGGGTTTATCGGCGGAGCTGGCGACTGCCAAATTCCAGGGCCTTCGGACAGATGGCGCCATCGTTGCGGCGCGTTGGTGCGCTCCTTTAACCTCGTTCGTTACGAGGGACGTTCTCACGGGGACCCTCGCGTTGCTGGCGTGCGTCTTGAATATTTACCGGATAACGTCGACGGCACTGATGCGATAAGAATACCTGAATTAGCTCGGCTTAGGACGAGGGAACGCGCGTTTCACTTCGAATCGGGAATGCTTTAGTATCTCGTTCTCTTTGGCTACCTGCCTCTCGTGCCGCTTCTCAGGTAGTCAAAGTGAATCATTGTTTATAAATACCCACGGAAAAGACACGCGGAAGGGTTAAACGAACTCCTCCCCTGTGCATGACGAGAGCTCCGCTCTCTTGTCGAGAACTCGCTGTTACATAAGGGAATAGGGTTTATACGGCGGCGGCACGCAATATCGGGTCGGTGTAACGTTTCAAACACCGAATGTAATCCACACTGGAGTAATGCCGTCTTGCTAAATCCAGGCCGGCCTTGTAACGGTCCACGACTCCGATCGGCGATCCTTGCGAATTTTAAAAGGAAAAAGGAAAAAAAGAAGGAAATTGACAGATGCAAAGCGCTTTCCTCGCTCTAGATACGGCGGATTAATTCGGCGTTATTCTGGGGAGGACGGTTTTATCTCTGTGATCCTTGTAAACGGCGGATTAATTATCGCCGGCCCTGAACATCGAGTTCCGTATTTCGTAGATTTTTTCTCGCGTCATCTTTGATCGCGAATAATCTAGCGGATTTATGAGAAAGTCGTTTTCTTTTTTTTTTATTCTTAACGAGACTTGTCCTAAAGTCAGGTTAGGCACAAGCGAGTGCTCGGTGCAGGACAGAGATGGCGTTGCGTGTGTCGTTGCATTTCTGAAACGACGCGTCGAGTACCGTAGATGTCCGCAGTCAGCGCTCGCGTCGCATTAAAATTCACAACCGCGCTTTTTTACGAGGCTTTGATTATTCCAAACTTTTCTTTCCTTTTTTTTTTTTTCTACCCAACGCAGACGTCCCGACACGTGAGGGGTCGCGACGCCATCTTGGTCTTTTTCTTTCACAACGAGGAAATCGTGCCTCGATCGAACCTCCTTTGAATTCCGTGAAACCTGGCGTTGCATGTTGTACAGCTGAAATCAAGGATTGGTTAGCATTGGCATTCTGTTTATCGGAGTAGCGTGAGGTGTTTGGATCTCAGATTTAAAGGAAAAAAGCGACGACCTTCTCGCGTCCGCGTAATTCCCCGGAGTCGGGCTCTCGCGACGCGACGATACTTATTGCAAAAAGTTATTCCCGGTAATCCGTTGCGTCAGAAGTTACGATACGGCGCGTTAACCGAGACTTTCACGGGTCGGCGGTTCCCTTAATAAGTCACCTTTACGGTAAAGGCGACTTCCCGTGACCGTTGAACCCGATACCGTCCTTAACGCACAGGGGTAACCTCGATTTCGAGGCGCGTCTCGACTTTCAAGAGACGCCGATCCTCCGAGACATTTTTTTTTTTTTGCATAAAACGAGAACTTATGGGAGGAGACGCACAACGCGAGACCCCGTCGGAAACGTCCTTTCGAGCGATTAATAATTCGAAGGTGTCATCGATGTGCGTACGGAGGATCGAGGCGGGCGAGGAGGGCGGGAGGCATCTGGTGGGATCGGCTTCCACTTAATATACGTGGCCGGAGACTTAAAGAGGTTAAGATGGGCTCGCACGAATCCCTCTCTGTCTTCCGCGTTTGATCAACGCCCGTGATCGCGCCAATCGACCTCTTCCGGATCGCTCCAGATCGTGGCCAAGATGGCCGCCCTAGAACTCCGGGAATGGCTCTCCCTATTTCCCTCTTTACTTCTAAATGGCAATCCGCGGAGGAATTATTCTCGTTCACGAAAGAGCTTCCGATTGCGCCCTTTTCGAGATTTATAGTCCTCAAATTAAGCGATCTGTGGGCTCTCAAACTTGCGAGGTGGCGATCGTCCTAGAAGCGTTGGGTGCAAATGAACGGCGGGAAGCGAGACGCTCTCCTCGGCTCGTGGAGAACTTGATCCTTATCGATTTCTTCCTTTTGGGAGATTCCTCGGCGAGAAATCGACACTTTTATGCCGTCGCTTGGAAACTCGGAATTAATTCGTAACGTCGCTTAGGCGGTCGCAAAAGCGGCGAGCCGATAACGAGCTCCTCGCGCCAACCCTTAGAGATCCCCGGAGCGGCGTGGATGAATGGAGGATTCTTAATTGTTCCGCGAGGCAGGTTATGTCACAACTTAGCGAGTCGCGCGAAACTGAAAGGCCATCGCGCGGGGAATGCGGCGAACGAAGCGGTCGTCGTCAAATGTAAATTGCCGCCTTTGAATTGTAAACGATCCGCCCCTCCCTCCCCGCCGCGGCCCTCCGCGAAACTAACCTCGAGGAGAGACTCCTCGGAAGGAAAAAAAAAAGAAAGAAAAGACAGACCGGCGGAAGGTCGAGTCACGTCCCTGCCGTGAAATTTCGTAATTGGCTCGAGACCCGACTCGTTGATGCGACGAAACGGTAGCCGTTCGGCTCTTGTTTTCACTCGCGTCCCGGCGCCGGGGTAAGACGGACGATTTTGTTCAATTCTCTTTGGCCTTTGAGGCGGCGCCGATTTCTCTCCTCCGGTTCGCCGGGTTTATCGAGGCTGCGGGATGAACGTCGCGATTAGGTCATAGACGGGCTTGGCAGGATAGGTGTACCGGCGACTTCGACTCGGTTGATTTCCCAGATATTAATAGAGCTGAAAATAGCCGTGAAGTACTAATGGGTGACTTCCACGAAGCGACGTACCGGCCGGTATACTCGCGGACGCCTCTTCGGACTTTCGTGCGAACTGCTCGAGTCAATAAACCGCGGCTTTATGCTCCCCCCCTCCTCGAGCTACCCTCGGCGTTACTGTTGCTCCTCATGGCTTTACGTCGGCTAATTAATCGGGTGAAATCGTGATTAACATGCGACTGGTTGAAAGACCCCCGTCAGTAGGGTAATCTGGAGTGGACGCGATCGCGAGACCACGTGATCGCGTGACCACGTGATCGCCGCGCGCGCCTCCCATTGGCTGTCCCTAATGCGTGCCGGCACCTGATTGGTCGATCCATCAGAAGGCCCTCGCGAGAGCCGCGCTCCAACGTCGGGCTCGCAAAAAGCGATTCGCTAATAACGGCCATAAATACGCGGCGTGTTTACGCGATAAGAGGGGCCAGGGTTACGTAAGAACGAGGGGCCCATTATCGCCGGCGGTCCCGGCCAATGGAAGAGGCGCGTCTTCGAGAGTGAGCGGCCCGGTGTTTTCTGCTCGCCTGTGACGTCACGCGGAGGGTTCTCGCGCGCGACGTCGTAATTGCACCTGGGCGAGTCGAGGTTTCCCCTCTGGTCTTCGCCCAGCGTGTCTCGGATTCTCTTCCCCGGATCGCAAGGTCGAGTCCGTCTCTGACTGGGTCAACGCTTTTTGCGAAGACCTTCCGCCATCTCGCGCCCGAGGACGGGCGCCGTTCCTCGATCCTTCGACCGCCATCTTGAAAACCCTTGAAAAAAAAAAAAAAAGAAATATCGAATTGGGAGATATACACATCCTATTTAATTCACTCCCCTTTTGGATACAATATCGAAGGTAGTTTAGTTGACTTTGAGGTGAATTCCCGCTTGCTTCCGGTTAATCTATCCGAATCGCCCGGATTTACCGGGTGATCGAAGTCGCCATTTCCGGTGCTCCGGTTTCTTCTGGGTCGGCCGAGAGGAACCGGCCAATCAGCGGCGACCTCCCGGCGCGTCGCTCCCGACCGTCCTTCTCCCCTCTCTAGGCCGTGATTGTCGTTTATTAAAGTTAAACATTGTAATTGCACGCTGATCCAGTTATGCCCTGCCCGGTCCGGCTCCGCCGGTGCGTCGCGGCTCGCGCTAATCGCCCGGCGAAACGCCGTTAAACCATACTCCCGGCCATTTTATTTCCGGGTGGTCGCTGTTAAGCCCGCGCAAAGAGAGGACCCCTTGTCGTTTAAGGACCGTTTTTTAGCCCCCGCGGTTTCCCCGCGCTTTTCCACCGCTAAGAAGCCGGAGGATCTGCACACTCCACAAATCTCTTGATGTTCAGTCAAACGCAGCGAAAAGAAAATCGAACGAACGGGCGGCCATCTTAGATGTTCAGAGTTCACCTCGAAAATAAAAAATGGCGGAACATTTGCAGGGACCTAATGGGTAGACTATCGTAAGAAGGTCATTCATTCAAGAGATGCGTTTTAATGCTGGAAATTATTAGGAGCATTGTCGAGAACTGGCCCGTTTTTTTTCCACTTTTAGTTCTAAAGAATACGGCCTTGTTTACACCGACAATTTGGTATGCGTATTAAAGCTGTGGTTTTATCAAACTATCGGCATAAACGATCGTGTATCGCCTTGATACGGTTCCCTCGATAAGTGCGAATCGTACCGTCTTACTGTTCCATTGTTTATACCGAGAGTTTGATAAAACTGCAACTTTGGTATTAACTAAGCCTATTTGCCCTACGTCCATGAATCGCTCTCGGCGGAAGGGATTCCGTGAGTTTCGAAAGTCAGCGGCCGCTTAGCGCCGCGACGACCTCGGTTGCATTGTTCCGAAGGAGCGACCTCTCGTTGCGTCGTCGCGTTTCTCGACTTGTATTTTTCTTCTTCTTTTTTTTTTCTCACTGCAACCGTCATCGGGAACGCGGCGCGGCGCGGATGAAAGTCGCGGCTCTCGCATTTATCGCCGCGTTCCCGCGCCGTTACATTTCGGTCGGGCGACACACGTGACCTGGATCTCCTGCGTATTCCCACGCTTGACTCTGCGAGTCGGCGTTCTCGTTAAGCGCCACTTTTCGGTGGTACCGACATTAGTCACGTGACTTTTCTCACTTCTTCGCGTGAAACTTCGAAAATCGCCGAGGAAGGTGAAAGCGTACCCTCTGATGTCGGAGCGCGCTCTCCCATTGGTCGAGCCCGAGGGCGAAATGCAAATGGCGGCCCGGCCAGGCGCGCGTGCACGCGACTCGGCGCTCCCGTAAAAGGATCTCGATTAATCTCCCTAATCTCTCTCTCTCTCCCTCTCTCCGGTTTACCGCGTCGCGAGCGTTCCTTTGGGTGTTCCCCCCCTTTCCTCCAATTGGCTCGGAAAGGAGGCATTGTCTCGGAAAGGAGATACGAGTTCTGCTTTCTTCTGTATATCTCCGGTTCGTGCTCCTTTTACTTCCGATATCCGTTATCCGCGCGGGAAACGGATCGTTACGGGATTCCGGGGTCGATATCGGATTATTTGGGATTGTTGGGGGAAAATAGAGGGGCGGAAGGGGGACCCGCCGTTTGTCGGGATACCGCGAGGTCGCAGGGACTCCGATAGGGGGCGGCCCCCTGCCTCGGCGTTCGGTGGTACCAGAGGGGGCACCGCGCTCTCCCTTCTTGCGTTCGGCTCACGTTCCGCGGCTTAAACGCCTCTCGGGTGCTCGCGGGGCCCGGTTGGATCGCCGAGTCCCCGAGCGCTCTCGCTAAGCCACGGTCGTTGGAAAAACGCGGTGCGCGCGTGCCGGCTTAAGCGGGGAGGAAAACGAGGCTCGCGTGACCCTGGTTTTCCTGCGGCGCGACCCCGCGCTCTAAGTACTTTGCATGTTCCGCGGCTCCACGGGTGAACCGGGCTCTCACCGCGGGATCGTATAAAGTCTTTTCGATATTCGATCCTACAAAGTCTTTTCGATCCATCTATCGGGGGATTTCTTCGTGGGCTAGCCTCATTGACCCTGCACCAGTGACTTTCTGACGATCCAGTGGCGGGCGATTTCAAAAACACCTAGGGGGAACGCGTCCCGGAAGTGGTTCCACTCTCTGCGTCGTGATTACTCCTTGGGATTTCACCGAACCTTCGGCAATTCCTGGGGAATCGTGAAAGTTTTAGGGGGGGGGAAAGTCACGAAGGTGGAAACTTTGAGTGGCATTTGGCCGACGCGCAGTTTTGAAGTTTGCCGTTGACGCGCAGTTCTGAAGTTCGCCGTCGGCGCGGTTGTCGCTGCTTCACCCGAAGCGTCGCCGTTCGCGCGTCTTCGCGGGGAATTTATGGAATCGAAGAGGCACGTGGGACTATCGTTCACTGTTGTGAGAGGTTCGCGAGGAGAAGGAGAGGTTTGAATCCGTGCCGCCGGAGAGCGTTACGTGAGGTTTTTATTGTTCCTACTTTCGCGCCTTTTAACGGCGTAAATTGTTTGGGTAGATTAGGAGACGCCGATAAGAATTGTGATCGAGTGTTTTTCTTTAGGCGGCACGTTTTACACATCGGGTAGCAGCTGGAGAAGGGATCGAGACCAGGTTTTTTTCTGTGAACCTCGATTAATTCGGTCTGATCAAGAGGGCCCAATTAAGAGATCTCGAGCGATCGATTAAACCTCCGGGCGAATCTCGAGAGACAATGGAAATTACTTTCACCGAGCGTGCTCGCCGAGCGTGCCGCTTGTCTGTGGAAACATTAGTGACTTCCGAGAGCTTCGAGGCTCTTACACCATCTTCAACCTGGGCTTCGACGTGTTTATTGTTCGCAGAGTTTTTCCTAACTCTAAGTGACATTGAGTAGCCTTCGGTTGGGAAGAACCGAAGTATCGTAAGAATTTAGGAGCGTTAGGCTTCTACTTGGATTTTATCTACGAGAATCATAGAGGCTCGAATTGGGCTTCATGGTTATTTTAAAGACTCATTTGCATGAGTATGAAGTACGAGTGACTTTGGCAGGTACAAAGCGTATGGTATTTAGGTATTCGATATTGGAAAACATTTACACAGTGCTCCGAGGAGGGTAGTGTAAATTGGTTAAATGTTTGATCGTGTGACGACAAACGAGCGTATTGAAATGGCACTTCCGACTCGACATTGCTGTTCACATCGTGGACTGATAAAGTATCCCAGTATTGACAAGAAACTCTGGGATCCCGGTGCCACTTGGATACTTCAATGGGATAATATTGTAAAGCATCCTGGTGCAAGAGCCAGAGGATGCCACTGCGACGTTCATAAGCCACCTTGGCTGTATCCGAATTTAGGTATTAAATTCATCATGAGATATGAGACCGTTGACTTTTAAATTATTTGATATGTTATAGGAAGAAAAAACAATCTTTTAGATATGATAAGGCTAGATATGCGCTCTGTTTTATAAACCAATGATAGATTAAGTAGAACTGGCAGATATCTTCAAGAATTAAATTGAATTCTTATTTTTCAGTTGGCAGGGATGTGGACGAATTGGATAGAGCGGTGAGTAAACTATAAATTATTAAATTCTAGGTCAGTAAATCTTGGGAAATTAATTTTTTTTACCGATCTGTTGCAATAAAAGTTATGCTAGGTCGACTTCTTTTTGTTAATAATTGAGCATACATATGTTGATGTAGGTCAAGTCTGCTCCGGTGAAGAGATCAACGAGTTTGCAGCAGAAAAGAGGCCAATTCGGACCTGCAAAGACGATGCTTTCGATACCAGGTACAAAACTTGTCCTCTAGTTTCTATGAATACGTTTAATTAAAACTTGAAGTATACTTAAATAATTGACTACAATAAGTAAAGTTTGAAAAAAGCGAAAAGGATCTTAAGACGTCAAAATTAAGAGCCTCTCGATTCCTTACGTAAATCGGAACCAATTAACCTCTGTTTCTCGCTCGTTGCTTCGCAGTTATCGCTAATTGCTTGTGTCGAATGTGAATTAAGTGTCTGTAAAATTGCAATGAGCTTGTCACGTTAGGCCACATTGGTTCCGTTTTACATACAAGGAAACATTCAGTGTCTGCATTATTACATTAGAAGTTTATATTGCATGTATATATTGTTTACATTCCCTTCAGGTCAAGCCGGAGCGGTAGACGAGGAAACATTCCAAACAGCCTTCGAGGACGTTCCACCTGTGAAACTCTTCTCCGCGAAGGACCTCGAGGAGCAAATGAAAATAATTCGGGATACCATAGGAGACGACAAGAAAGACTGGAAACAAAGGACGGACAGCGTAAGTGGACTGCAATCATCTACCGTAATTGTCCTTCCTTGCGATGCGTATTGCTCGATCGAAGCCATCCGTCTCGACAGATGAAGAAGCTGCGAAGCATCATCATCGCGGACGGGACCAGTTACGAGAACTTCACCGAGCTGTTGAAGAGCATACAGAGACCCTTCGAGGTGGCCTGCGCGGACCTGAGGTCGCAGGTCGTTCGCGAGGCCTGCATCACGTTGGCCTTCCTGAGTCAGCAGCTAAAGCACAAGTTTGCCAGTTTCGGCGAGGCTGTCTTACTCACGTTAATGAACCTCATACAGAACAGTGCCAAGGTGAGCATTAGCCGCTCGTAGACCAGGCTCGTTACATCGTCGAATCGTGCGTGCGGTGTTTGATAACAACGTCTTTTCCAAGTTCGCGGAATCCCCCTTGGAGAGGGAAAATGGGCCCTCGGCTGGCGATCCTCGTCATTGCTCGCCGATTATTCTCCTCGGTCGGAATCAGTTCGACCTGAAAATGTCGCGAATTAAACGAATGTTTAAAATAGAATCTTGGAAAGGGAAAACAAGAGTGCCCGACTAGTTAATGTCCGCTGCCAGGAGTGCCAGATTCCATCTCTAGATTTCCATTTTCCACCTTCGATCCTCTACGAGGTCTCGCGATTCTAGGTCGTGGCGACCGCTGGCGCGGTGGCGGTGCACTTCATCCTCCGGAACACCCACAGCAGTCGCTTCGTGCCCATCATCACCTCGACCCTGAACAGCAAGAGCAAAGACATCAGGCGCGCCGCCTGCGAGTACCTGAAACTCATCCTGAACTGCTGGCCCACGCAGATCCTGCAGAAACACGTGGCGAACCTGCAGGAGGCCATCAAAAAAGGCATAGCGGATTCCGACTCCGACGCGAGGGCTCACGCTAGACAGTGAGGATCTCTTCAAGCATTCCTTCCGTTTCGGAATATCTCCTCTCTTCGTGAGGTCTCTATCGCCGATCTTTAACGACGAGCGTTACTTCCATAGATCGTACTGGGCTTTCAAAGACCACTTCCCGGAACAAGCGGAAATCCTGCTGAACAGCCTCGACGCGACGTACAAGAGGTCCTTGATGTCCCTGAGCAACAGCGGCAGCATCAACAGCTTGAATGCTACCTCGAAGAACGTCAACATAAGCCCCAGGACGCCGAGGCCTGCGATGAGCGCTGCAGGTCAGTGGACGTCGAGTTCTTCCTAACCCTCCTGAGTTCACTAATAATGTCTAAGATCTTGCCGGAAAACATATTCATCATTAACGCATTAACGAGAAACGCGTTATCCCTTCTGTTTTCCATGCTGCTTAACTCTTGCGGACGCGTATCGACGTCATTCGCACTCGAAGGTAGCACGGAAAACTTGCACCACCCTCCGGGCCAGCCTCAAGGTCCTCTCAGACGAACTCCGTCGTTGCCCAGGTCTTATCGCCAGTCCGGTATCCCGATACTACAAAGACCTACCGACAATCACTGTAAATTTCACCTAGCCTTTGCTCTTACTTCTCGTTATCTTAAACAAATCAAGCTGATGCGAAACTTCCGAGCGTTGTTTTCTTATGGGAAAGGCGAGATCCGAAGTACAAGAAGGACGATTCAAGGGGAATTCGCGTCCTCGTAATTTGGACCTCGTCGTTCCTTGAAGACAATGCTTCAGTGGTTTCGCATTGTCTCGTGATTGTTGGATCAGTTCTGTTCTGTAATACTATCGTAAAGGGGATTGATGGTTTTTCGTTTCTCGTGAGATTTGTGTTATGTCGGGAGTGGAATCAGCGGAGCTTGTTCAATTGCTTGATCACTCGTCACGGTGTATACTTTTTACATCTCCGTTGTATTGTTTTCTCGTCGTTTTGAATGTTAGATGGACGTAAATAAGAGATTGAATTCCAGATGGATATTGATTCGCTGCCTTTTTTTATTTAAAGGTCGAGTTACTCCGGGTGTGAGGTCCACCAGCGCCATTGATCTTCAGGCCGCGCAGAGGGCGACTGCTAGGATAATGTACGCGAACATGAATCGCAACAAGGCAACCCTACGTACGTATTTCCACGCTCTGTTTTTCCATCGTTTCGTTTTTATTCTACGATCGTAGGCCGTGTATCTCCGCCGGGCTTGTTTAATGAGACCCGGCGATACTGTTTTTAATCGATTCGAAAGATACTCACCCGAGCAATTACCGCGCTCACGAATCCTAGCATTAATTCGTAGCTGTTCGATTGAGTGATAATGTGTCTTCTTTAATTCCTGCTGACGAAAGATAACGGCCACGGTATGCACCATGCCAAGCAAGGTACCAAATTGATAATGGACAATCGCTAACGCAGTTGCGACAGCCTTTTTGCACACTCTTCATGCACCGCTTTTACCTTTGGCTGAACACGCAACGTTCGTTTGATCTTATTTTACCTTTCCCTTTACCCGGTCGCCGATTTTCTTCTCTTTTCCAGCTCGACCGAATAAATCCCCGGAGTCCAGCATGGTAGCGAGCCCGGAGAGATCGGCCAGGACCAGGACGAGAGTCGCCGGTGTCTCGCAGTCGCAACGTAAGCGCGATACGATCTTCCCCGAGATATCCGGTCCCCCTTTTCACTCTCGGCTTATCTCGAAAGTCGAGTTATTAATCAAAGGGGAATTTTAACAGCGAGCAGCAGATCGGGTTCGCCGTCGTCTCGACTAAATTATGCCACTTACAATCGAGAGGGGGACTCCTCCCTCGTCCTCCGACCTAGAAGACTCTCGGGATCTGGGATCCGCAGCTCTGGGAACAGCCGGGAACCCAGCCCCCAGCGCTTCGGGGTGGATCGAAATTACAGCTCCAAGATCAGGTGAATACCGGGAATTGCAATCTGCGGCGAGCTGACACCTGTTGAACACCTGTAGGAGATTTTAGAGGGGCTCCCTCGACTATTCGAGGTCGTTAAATGGCTCCTCGTTTCTGATGAGTTTTACGAGATATATTCCTTATTCAGGGGCAGGAACTTGCACATGTCACCGACCGATAGACCTCCTTCGAGGCCTGTCATGGCTCAGAAGATGCTACAGCAATCGCGGGAAGCCGAGTCTGCGCTCGCCGATGCTCTGACCTTCGACAACATCGACAGCTACACCAGGACGCCTAGAGGCAAGGGTGATCATAGCGATGACAGCGAGACCAGCAGCATCTGCTCCGAGAGGAGTATGGACTGTTTCCGACGACCGAGCGACGTGAGTACGCCTAGTGTTAGTAATTTATCCAGTGCCGGAGATTAGCCGCTAACGAGAAAATTGATAAAATTAGGACCGAATAGATGGACTTAAGTAGGGTTGCGGTTTTTGAGGAAAGTCTTTGGATCTTTGGTAATTGCAGGTTTCAGACTATTTTTTCTTTTTTTTTTTTTTTGTATCAAGAAGTACAGATTCTAGAGACTCGCAGATGGTGTTTTTAATTCGAGGAATGTATTTGAAACAGGAGGCACGGAGTATCTTTAAGCTGCTGGAGATCTGGAATCTTTACGTTCGAGTTTTCGATTTTTTCTGATTTCTGCCATCAGGTTGATTGGGCTGATCTTTGCTATCTTTGGCAACGCGTTTCTCGTGCAGCGCCTCTTGGCTTGGTCGAGGTTTCTGAGAATTTCGATCCCTCATGGCTGCCTGCTTCACGGCGCAGTTGGACCACTTTTGAGTGGGCGTTGAGTTAATCCTCACTCGTCGATCCTTTTTGGATCCGGCTCTCGATTCGAACGATCCTTCGGAATCGGAATCCAAATGTCGGGATCTGTTCCCTTGCGTGGTCTTCCCTGATGTCACGGTTTCCTCCGAAACCGAACAGCTGGACTTCCCCTCGGACTTGGTCTCGTCCTGTAATCCTTTGATGACTCGGAATTTCCTCTCCTCGCGAAGCCTCATTTCTCGCTCCTTCTCCTTTTTCCTTCTCCTAAGCATGTTCTTCAGGAAAGCGAGGACCCCCTTTTTTCGACCCGAGTCTCGGTATCGAGAGGCCTCGCGATTCATCACCTCCACCTCCGAGGCGGTTCTGGATTTCTGAAATCTATCGTTACTCTGTACTCTCATCATGAGTGAGTTGATTCTCCACCTGGAACTCGAGAGGGCTTCGAAGACTTGCACCGATGTGTTTTTCAAGCTTCTTCGATGCTTCTGCGCAGCCTTAGGCCTTCGAAGGAATGGACTGTTCTTGCTCTTCGAACAAGTTTGCAAGTATTCGATGGCTTTGTTCGCAGACCCTGGAAGTAGAGCGAAGCTTGTGAAATCTTACGTTGCAATCTTCATGAGAAATTTGTCAGACTCATCGGAGGAATTAAAACCTTCTTTCCGTTGGTCAATTCCAGTTGTGCTCTCCCAAAAACTTGTCAGTAAAGGAGGAGTCATATGATTTAAGACTTCTTTGGGAAGACTTCGTTGACATCTCTTATCGGTGAGCTTGGACACATGTTCGGTCGGTTTCAGAAAGTCTACAGAATTAATAACCATATGATTGATTGCGTTGATATCTTTCGACATTTATCTGCACTTACCGCAAGTCCTTTTATTTAGCCAGAATAAGATTCCCACAATGACACCGACTAGAAGGGCATTAAAGTCATTCAAGAAATTTATTAACAAACCGAACGACGAGTGAAATTTCTCTACGATGTAATTTGGTTCTGTAGGGACAATCGAGTTCATGTTTCCCGGTCTCTCGAGTCAGGAATTATTTCGGGTATTTAAGGAGGATCGATTTTCCATCGTTATCTCCGTGCTCGTAGAATCCGTACAGTTTTTTTTTTTCAATTTTTAACCCTTTAAAGTACCGGAAACGATGTCCCCTGGAACCTCCATTTTCCTGACACCTGTAGGAACTGAACGTAGCGCCGAGACTTAGCTCTAAAAAAAAAAAAAAAACGGGAAATAAGAGCAAATGCCTAGCGTAGCATGTGTCCCGTGGATAATTAATTTGTATCGATTGTATGACGCGTCAGTAACTTATCCCGTTGTGTCTTAATATCATTTTTGTTCATCAAACTAACGAAAGTCAAGGGGAGAGAAATTAGTTCCCCGAGTATGAGAATTAAATCTGCGAATTATTGCTCATCCGAGGTCGTTCCCGAATCCGATCCGGAAACAAGTCAAGTATTTAAAGCGATTGTTTGTAGTAACTTTAGATATGCCAGGCATTTTGTTTCCGGATCCTACTTGAACTACCCCGGATATCGTTTCGCACCTCGGAGAAGAACCTCGAGCAAAGCTTCGAGAAAGATGCCGCGAAAACCCATCTAGGAGCTTTAAAGCCTCCCCACCGATTAGTGTCGAAGTTAGCTAACGCATGTCTGGTTTTCCTTATGATTTTTGTTGCGGACCCGTTTCGTTTGGTTTGGACTAAAACGCCCACGTGTAAACATCTGTACTCCGTCCGTTCCGAATCCGTAAAGTCATTTTCTTGGAGCGGCTCGCAACAGAGGCTGTACCGAGACCTGTGGGATCAGTCCATCCCGAAGGTTTGTTACCATTCATTTTGCAAAAGCATCTTTTTCTCTGTCTATCTCTCAATCTAACTATCTCTCTATCTCTATCTCTCTATCTTACCATTTTTTCAGCATCCCTCCTCTAATTAATGGCTATCACTTCCTGAAGCGAGAAGATCGAAGAGCGCGCTTAATCTTTGCCGGAAAGGTAGGAAGAAGAAAAGAGTACGGGCTCCGGGGAAGGCTTTATTTTCCTGATGACGTGCCTTCTCTTCAGGGTCACTCCCTGGGGAGAGAGATCGTCCGACCTTCTCGCTTCGTGCTCGTTGGTTTCTGATTGTCGGGAACGCTCTTCCATAAGTGTCCAGTCTCCGTGTAGTGAGTCCGAGTGGTCTGTCCACCTGCTCGCAGTGTCCCTGTGTCCAGAGGAATGTTTTTGCTTCATCCAATAACCCTCCTTTAAATTTTGGATACTCTTAAGGTGTCGTGAAACCGCTCGGTTGGAACCAGTCCTTTTTTTTCTAAGGACCTCCCATCGAACTGGCTGAAATTTTAGAACGCGATTCGTGAACACCCTAGAATCACCTTACACTTTCAACATTTTTATCATCACCAAGACCCAAATGCTTTGACTTGGATTACGTTTTTTTTTTCCTCTTTTTGATGATACTCAACATTTTGAAAGTGATAGTTCTTAGGTGCTCGCAACTCATGTGGTAAAGTTTTAAGCAGCTCGGTGGAATATCCTTAAGAAAAAATGTCTTATCCGAATCGACTGGTCTGAGGGTTTCATGCCGTTTTTAAATTTCACTGGTCTTTACGATATGTCTTCTGACACGTGCAACTACCTTTAGTCATACGTCCTCGTCTTAATCTTCGTGTTTACCATGCACCATTAACAGAAGCTTGAACCTTTCTCGTTGCTTTAGCGAGGAGTCAGTTTCGAGCTCCTTCCTAGGACCCTTTCGTCCCCTTTTTCTGGCATTACTAACGCTACGTTAATATTCCGTTTCACCATTTGCACAATAATTGAATAAGCCTGTTTCAAAGATCCACCTTTACCCTCCCCGAGAGAACGACCCTTCTTCATGGTAGCCCCTGAAGCAAGTCCACCGGCCTCGACGAAGCTGCCGATATTCACTTCGTTTTCCCGATTTATCTCCGCGAGTCCTCTCGATGTCGGCTCGTGCAGCTCGTCCTTCCGTCTCCCCTTGGAAAGAATTTTTTAATCCTCGGAAAGCGTCGAATAAGTCCCTTATCCGTGACTTACGTCTCCACCTTTTCGCAGGACATCAAGGACATCATCGAGAACTGCGGCAAGAAGCACTGGTCGGACCGGAAGGAAGGCCTGGTCGGTCTGCAACATTTCCTGGCGAACGGGAATACCCTTTCTTCTGCCGAGCTGAGGAAGATCACCGAAATCTTTGCCAAGATGTTCATGGACTCTCACACGAAGGTCTTCAGTCTTTTCCTGGACACCTTGAACGAGCTCGTGATGACGCATAGCGAGGACCTGGGGGATTGGATTTATGTGCTCTGTACAAGGCTCCTCGTCAAGCTGGGCACCGACGTCCTGGGCTCGATCCAGGCCAAGATTCACAAGAGCCTTGACGTTGTTCGGTTGGTCCTTCGTCTTCTTATTTAACTCTCATCAATATTAGCAATTTAATTAACGCCTGTAGGCGTCTTGAAAAATTGCTGTGTGCGACTTTTTATTGTCAACGGCGTAGAAATTAAATAGCAAAGCATAGGGTAGCTTACCGTTGAACGTTTAGAGTATGTCACCCGTGCTGTGTATTGAAATGTACCGTAGCGAATGGGTTGATACTCCACATTGCGCTTTACCTTTTTTAAAGCACAGTGTTATGTTTCAGGGAATGCTTCCCCGGGGAGAAACTTTTGCCAACGGTCCTGCGGTTTATCTGCGACACGGCCCAGACGCCGAATTCGCGAGTCAAGGTGGCCGTGTTGAATTTTATCACGCAAATCGCCGAGACCGCCGAGCCTTCGGCGCTGAGCGGCCAGCCGATGGTCGCCGTGGCGAAAATCCTCGACTGGGTGAACGACGTCAAGAGCCAGGATGTCCGGAGACATGCCCAGAACGCGATGATAGCGCTGTACAATTTAAACACTCCCCAGATCACGATGGCCTTGTCCGACCTGCCCAAGTGTTACCAGGTTCGTTCCGACGCGGTATGGAGTTCCTAAGGAACTTGGACATTGGTAGCGTATGACCTTGATTGTATTCCTTTTTCCTTTTTTTTTCCTTTAGGACACGGCGTTGCCTCTGGTGCAGAGTCACCTGAGGAGGTCTTCCGGAACGAGCAATCCTGCGTCTCCTGGGACACCTCCTCCGAGGGTTCCGCACTCTCCTGCAAGAATGAGGCTGAAAACCGAACTCGACGTCGTCGACGACCACCTCAATCCCGAGGAAGTTTACAAGTAAACTAATGCTTATCTCATATTTCATTTGATTCTTTTATTAACCGAGATTTTTGGTTCAATTTCATATGTGGTGTTACAGATCCTTGCGTCGTACCACGGCGGAAATACAGAATTACGGATTCGAGAGATTGGAGAGAGCCACCACCAGCAAGGACAGCGGGATCAGCAACATGGCTGATGTCGAGGAGAAGATGGAAGGGCTGACTTTATCGAACTCGGTTGGTTCTTTATTAGGGAGATAATTGGTCATTTATTTTGGTGAGAGGTGGGACTAATCAGTCGGTCTTTTCTGTAGGGTCGTTCCTCGTCGGTTTCTTCGCCAACGCAACGGAGAATCGTTACCAGCACGACAGTGAACGGTTCCGGGGACACCATCGCAGGAGACCTGATCTTACCTCAGGAGAACAACGGCTACAAGACACACGGTAGTGCATCCTGTAACATCTCTGCTTCTCGTGTCGATCTTAAGTCTTCGGCATTACTTAAACGTCGTGTACATATATTATCTTCAAATGTATTATCAGGTTCTTCCCCAGATTCCCTGAGAGGAGCCGACGTCCTGATCGAAGTGCTGCAGTCGGGGTCGTTGACCAACGCGGAAAGAATCGCCGCACTCCAGGAGTTTCAAGCATACATGCGCGACTGCGATGCGATATACGTTAAGCAGAATTTCAAGTACGCAATTACTGGATCATTACTTCAATGAGTATTATCCAGGAGAGGACCGGCAGAGTTGTAGGGGTACCATTGTTTTTTTCGCTTCAGGAAATTGTTGAAGACTCTCTTGGAGAGCTTGATGAGCGACGACAAGGACATCCAGATCGAGGTTCTTCAGGTCCTCATCGAGATGCTCAAGTGCCAGGAGCTTGCTTCGTCGTTCTCGAATTATGCCGAGCTGATCGTCCTGAAGGTCCTCAACGCCCACAAGCTGGACGATCCGAAATCCTCGAAGCCGGACGTTGGAGGCGGAGGCAACACGAAATCTATGGTAAAGAATTTAGAGGTATTAGTGTTGTTCTGTTTGTTGTATATGTGCTGCATATTGTACTTTCCTGAACCGACGCCCTTCTCTGAATTGCTACCGTAGAATCATTAAAGCATGAGTCGTCTACAATAATTGATTCTAAAATTTAAAGTACGCTGTCCAGGTATGAGCTCGCTTTTCGCATGTAGCATTTCGGAATGAGATTTCCTCTGGTCGCGCGCCAGCGAAATGTTTTCCACGTATTTTCAACGGAGAAACTTCCCCTTGCAGGTACTCCGCATGGCGGAGAAGTGTGCAGCAACGATCGTCACGGTGTTGCCACCGGATCAGATAATCGACCTGGTGTCATCCATCATCACCACGGAGCCTTTTCCCAAAAATATGGGAGCGATCAAAATGCTGCACAAGGTCGTGGAGCACTGGGGCCGCGAGGCCATCGAGCCTCACCTCTCCAAGGTCATGCCGAATCTCATCAAGGTACCTGCAGTAGACCCATATACGTCACGATGAAAAGGTACACAGTAATTTAACCGTTTCATATTTCCCTCAGTCTTACGACGACAAGGAGAGCACGGTGCGCAAGAGCGCGGTCTTCTGCATGGTGGCTATCCACGCGGCGGTCGGCGAGGAGGTATTGAAGCCTCACTTGACCCAGCTCGTGGGCAGCAAGTTGAAGTTGCTCAACATCTACGTGCAGCGCGCCCAGCAGACAAACAGCGAGCCGGCGAATCCGCGTGACAACAACAACAAGAATTAACTAACGACGAGCGGCGCGACCCTCAGAGTCGCCATCTTGAAGCGGTTCGCCCGGCTCGGGGCAAGGCACGAGAGGATGCTGCTCAGCTTCCTGAGCAAGTCAGGGCCCTGACGTCGGCTGCAAGAGACCCGAGGTCGAAGAGGCCCCAAGGACGCGGAATTCATGCCTGAGGTCCGGCTCGACGTGGTCTCGAGAGTCCTTTCCCGAGGATACCATATCTCGCCCTCCAGCCGCCGTGGTCGCCATCTTGGCGATTGACGGCTGACTCCGCAGACAAAGAGGACGGCTACGTTGCACATCGAATTGGCCAGGTTACAAAGCTGAGAATGTGGCGAGCAGAGCCCGTGCTCTGTATTTTCATTGCTTGTAAAATAAGCGAGGGGTTCTGGGTTTCGGTAGGGAACGACTGCGAAATCGTTCCTCCCCGCGCCGCCAGGCGGCGGTGACTCTGGTTTCCGTACCTCGTGATAGCTGATCATCGAAATTTTAAGTTATTGTGAATCGTGATCGACGAGTTTCTTAGCTTGCAGGTGGAAGTTGGAGGGTATTGTGGAGATCGGGAGAAGTGGCGGTTGGTCGTCTGGAATTTACGTTTCCGGGAAGGAAGTAACAAAATGAAGAGGCCAAACCGTGTCAACGTTAACTGTCGCCTTCGATATACCTGCGGGGTGATTATTCGTGATTTCCGAACGTTTGCAACCAGATTTCTTATAATTAGATTCTTTCTACGAGGGGCAAACAGTCGAACTACTCTGATATTTAAATTATGGACGTTCGACGTGCAGCCGATTCGTCCTCCCGTCTCTTTTACGAAGTTCAGGCAATAATGCGAGGGAGAACCCGCGCTATGCCTTTCAAAGGAGAGGACAAAAATAAGGAAGTGGCATGTATTCCACCCAACCGCAATAACAATGAGAATCGCAAGTAGATTAGACTAGCATCGTGGAATTTCCTCCGAGGAACAAAAGAGAAGAAAAGAAAATATAAACCAAAAAGAGAGGGAGAAACCGGAGGAACCACCGACAGTCGGAACTGTGATGAACCTCGTGCACGAACATTCGACGAGGGAGATACCGAGAGATCTTGACGATAAGAGAGACGGACAGAGTTACGCGAAAAGAATGTACTAATTTAATATACAGCCCTACTTCGCTATTTCTAGCTTCTAAACCGAGCTATCCACAGACAGACCCGCGGAGAGTTAGCGTGCCGCAAGCTCGTTATTGACTTTTTAAGGATGCCAGGCAATGTAATAATTTATTGATACATATACCCCGTACGTGCTAGTCAAAAAGTTATTTCTCCGAAGGACGCACAATACGCAAGAGACACTAAGAGGAGTCAACGTGGGCTGTTTAGGAACCGCCGCCCATTTTCCGGGTCGATGGGACTTTTGCGGCCAGTGAGTGGGACGGAGAGAGAACGAGTGCGAGATGCGTGCATGCGAGAGAGACAGCGAGACCGAGAGATTGAGGGACGCGAGAGGAAGAGAGGAATCTCGCGAGTGAATACTGGTTTCTTTTTTTTCTTTTCCCCTCCATAATGTTACTATAATCTTAGGGAGTTATTATTAACGATGCTAAGGTCGAATCAGCGCATGTCCTCCACGCGTTGCCAATAACGAACTCTAAATCAAAGCTAAAGTAATGTGTTAGTAATTATGTGCCATTAACGGACAGGCCTACCACCTGCTTGGAATAGTTGCGCGCAAGATTTGCCGTTAAACGAGGTTTGCGTTTTGATTTCGTTCGGACTAGTGAGCTTGCTTTTGTGGGACATAACAATCGCGAGTATTTGTAATATTGATTCAACGAAGACAAAACGCAAAACTCGGTTCACGCCGGGTTTTGCATATGACGCTTTCAAACCAGGCATCGGGTCTGTTAACGAATATATTCCTTTTGTCTCCGTTTGTCTATGCCCCGCGAGAACGTGCGAAAGAATATATATATATATACATATACACACAGTGTACCTATGTGCTTATATATACGTAGCGTAAAAGTCCGTAGACTCCCGTTACTTAACGTTTAATTCGGGCCGAGGGAAGTGACATTACGTTAAAGGACATTCGGGGGAGATCCCAAAGTGCGTCTGCGATAGATTGGACTTGGGAGAAATCGCGTTATTACGTTTAACTTGATTATTCCCGTATGAGGGGGGAAGATATGAGTTTTAATTTCTGCGACTTTTCGGGCATGACTAGGGCGACTCGATGGTTCGCGGAGGCTCGTTCTGTTATGTTTTCTTTATCCCGATCGCTACTCTCGTAATTACTTTGTATTATTAATTACTATTCATTGATATTATCGGTATTAGTAGGGTTAGCATGTTACGCGCGAGCCGCGTCCTCGAGGACGCGTCTCGCTGCGGCCGAAGAAGATGGCCGCCGCCATTTTGTATTGAGTTGCGTTTGAAAAGTAGTCACCGCCGTACAGTAACTAGTGATTAGCTCGACTAGTGGAGTTTTTCGTTGGGATTTATTGTTTAGAACTCGCAGGGACATCTCGCTTTCCGGCCTACAAGGCTCGAGAAGGTTATTATCGGGGGGAGAACGCGCCTTTCTTGGCTGCTAAGCAAAACGATCTCTGCGACGCGCTCTTGATTTCCGTCCTTCTTTTTCTACAGAATCGAATATCCGACTCGTCTCTATGAATCTCACAATTCCCGTGACCCGCGCGACGCTCAAAATGTCCATTTATACTGTCCAATCAGACATGTAGTGTTAACGTTCCGACAGTAACAGATATATTTATACCGTCAGTTTAGTTCAGACGCTAAATCTTAAATCCGACACTGATATCACAAGTCATAATGCTTGAAGTTTGACGCGCAATGCGCCGAAACTAATCCGATTCGTTGAATATAAATACTTCTTTTAGAGATGTATGTGCGAATTTTTGTATTGCCGGATACGCTACGTTTACGCGTCGGATCGGATTGTAATTGGTGACGTAAACTCGGCCGGGGAGGAACGGCAGTGCCATTCGAATTTTCCTTCCCTCTTCTCGACTTTCCCCGGATTTCTCGAAGATCGGCGTGATGTACCCGTCGATTCTTTGATTTTTCGCTTTGCCGAGTATCTAATGGCGACTCGTTTGACGAGACTGGCGACGCTTATCATCGGCCGCCATTTTGACGGCGAAATCAGGCCCGGTGGAAAGCGTCGGCATATCGATACATTGTCGCCTTGATTGGGTTCTTCTTTAACGACGGGGTTCCGTTATAAACATTCGCCATCTTGTCAACTCGTTCTCGCGCTGTCGTTCTCTCTTTCTCGCCCTCGCTTATTCTAGACGTAATCACCTCTCTCCCGTTCTCATCGTAACGTTCCTTCCTCGCGACGATTCCCTGTTTCGTGATACGAGATCCAGTAACCGATAAAACAGCGGTGAAAAGTACCATGCATAATACGATTATCCAGAGATTTTTTTTTTTTTTCACGCTAATAATTTAATATATCGATACCGATTACCGTAATGATAATATTACCGCATTGTTATTGTAATTGCCAACTTGAAGTAATAAATTAAAGTATTGCAATAGTTGGAGGACTTAACTTTTCAACTCCTCAACCATCCTTGCCGGTTTATCAGTAGTGTCGGATGGTTCACCGTTTCGCCACTCTTAGCCGGTGGGGGTGCAGACACCGTTAATCGAACTCTCGGCTAATGGTATGTTATCGACAACCGAGATGGTTAAACGTTTACAGTCGTCGATATTATATATTAATGTGTAACAGCGATGAGTTGGGAGATTGCTCACGGGTAGGATCGTGCGATCGCATCCTGTGCTGCCCTCTGGTTTCGTACGTTAGCTTCCACCGTTTTTTGCCCCCAAGGGCGGCGCAACGACTTCGAGGCATCAATGTACTTAATAGTAGTAGATAGGTAGATAAAGTCAAATGGAGCGTCACGAGTGTTCTTCCCTTACCATCAAAAGCGAGCAGTATCGGTAAGCGTAGGTAAGCCACCACCGTCAACTGCCGCATGGTATTACCATCACGAGTATGTGAGCCGCCAACGGCGACTGGTAGATGGTACCGCCATCGCGAGTTCGCGAGCTCCTATCAGAAATTCGTTGCGCCGCCCTTGGGGGCAAAAATCGGTGAAAGCTAACGTACGAAACCAGAGGGCAGCACAGGGTGAGATTGCACGATCCTGCCCGTGAGCAATCTCCCAACTCATCTCTGTGTGTAATAACAGTCACGGATGTCTAATGGTATATTATCGGGGACCGAGGTGGAGAAACATTGACAGCTGTCGGTAAGACCTAACCTTTTGTCGATATTATATATTAATGCGTAATCCCTGATTCCTGTAACTAAATGCGATTTCTTTTGGGAAAAAGGAGACAGATACCGGGACTTGTCCATTCTACATGTTCGGTGTACGCGGTTACATCGGAAAAATCTTTAAGGCGGTGTTTCTAATCATTAGCGATGCTCCCTGGGATTATGCCGCATCACGCGATCCTGGATTCGAGTGATCGACGAGCGATCTCGAGGATCGCGATACGCCGGCCCGTTTAAACGGGGACTTAAGACTTCGCACGTCGCGCGTCGACCGACACGAACCGAATGAATTATGCAAAACAGCCCCGTGTAAACGCGTCGCTAGCTCCGCGTTAAGCCTTAAGCCCCTTATACGTGGTCCCGCGTGGGGCCCCCGGGACTCGCGGGCCCAAAAAGGCCCCGGACCCTACGCCCGACCGACCATGAAACAACGCGCAACAAGACCGGCGATATCATTCCGACGTGGCGATAAATCGACGGCGATTTTGCGAGCGGCCCCGAAACGGGAAAAATCGAGCTGCTTGAACGGTCTCGTTTTAAGATAGCATTTCATTGACATAAAACGAACGCTCGAACCTAGTGATCTTCTAGTGATATTTTCTAAACAGACTTTCTTCGGTCGAAAGTTCAGAATTCGGTTTTACGAACATAAAGTGTCGGATAGCGGACTACTGGGGTTTTCAGTAAACTTTTTGTTTCAGAATTACAGATAGTTATATTAATTCCTATTATTGCAAATGCTATTAAGATTCTTTTCGCCTATGCGGCGAGAACGCATCGTATGACATGGAGCTATGTAGCGCTAGGTAGAATTAACGTTCCTAGATAGAATTTAAGGTTAAATTGGAGCTATTTCCGGTCTCGGGGCATTATCGATGAATTCCGATGGCAGTTCCGACGCAAAACCACTTTCTATCCACGTAAACCTCGCCGTGTAGACACCATTCTTCCTCACGAGGTGACGAGATGCGAATGCGCGATTGCATCACCTCGATGTGCATCGACGGACATTTTGAATGATTCCCATTGTGAAGTTACAGCGACCTTAACCTAGGCGAGAAAAGTACGAGGAGGTACGATTAAAGTCCTACATGCATAATTCTCTTATAATATGTATACGCATTCCGGCTATTCTCCAATATTTACGAGTACGCCTACTCCCCGAGGGAGCGCTGCGCGTCGACAAAGAGGTGCAACGACCTTAACTACCTTAACCTAGGATAGATCCGCTCGTGGAAAGGGAAGCCTAATGAAATACAGGACGACAAAGAGGGAGAGGCGAAATAACGACTGGAAGAGGGAAGTAAATCTGCCCCGCTCTCGTTCCCTCTGCCCGGCCGCGTTTACAGCCTTAAGGCCGCGGTTTAACGGCCTTAAGGCGACTCGAAATCCCGGCGGAATTTATCGGAGGCGGCTCGCGTCGGTCTTGCCGGCGATAAGCCGACGCCGACTGACGCTCTAAGTCGCCTAAGACCGGCCTCGCGGAAATTTCGGTATAACTCAAAAGCCAAGTCAAACATGGGCGTGTTAAGAGACGTCGGCGAATCCGTTAAAGGAAGGCAGCGCCGCGCTTAGGCCGCTGCGGGTCCCTCCACCCGCGGACATACATCGCACATAATACCGGTCTTTACGGCCGCCTATCCTCGAGCGAAATGATTAGTGGCGTGTTATTAGGACCGGGTATTATTAGCAGCGGATCGGCGCACGTAACGAGCGTTACACGCGTTCCCCGCGACTTATTTCTCGCCGGAGAAAACTCACGTCTTTATTATCGGTTACGTGGCTAGGCGACAGGCGCGCCCTCTTCCGAGTATCGAGCGAACCGCGTGCAGGCCCTAGGAAGGGGCTAGGGCATGGATCTAAGCATTAGAAGAAAGGAATGGAGGGTATTAGACGACTAACAGAGCGCGGGTGAAGATCGGGCCGGAAGGGGAGGGAACGAGTGGCGGCCATCTTTCTTTGCTAACATTCTCCAGTTATTTTAAACGATGCGGTATAATATATACACGCCTTCGTCCCTAGATAAGTCGGCCTTTATCCCTAGATACATGGATAGGGACTTTCCACGGAACTCGCAGGAAATAAAGTCCTGGACAGTTCTGGACAGTCATGGACCGAGATTGGAAAATGAGCGGGGTAGGTGGACGCGATTCTGCGACTTTTTTTTCTCTATTCGCCTTAACACCTCGACTACTATATTTCCAGCGGACACTTTTAGCCCCGGCGACATTTCGGGGAAGTTCGGGGATGGATCGGCGTATAGGCATGTTTGCCCACAGCCGTGACTTCGGCGGCCGAGATTCGAGTATGCAAATTTCTCCGGGGATTTAGAAAGGCGATAAGGTCCTGGCGCAACTCGCCTTTTATTTGCCGATCCCTGGAAGGAGGGGGCGCGCGCGTCGCTCGCGTGTATATTTCCCCCGGCGGCGGGGAAAAAAAGGCGCCCGGGACAAAGGATGCACCCATCCCGGGTGGAAGTGTCTCGAGGACGCGTTCCTTTTTGCATCGGAGGCCGCGCGTCTTCGCCGCCATTCCTCACCGGCCGGGCCGGCGCGAGCATCGAGAGGACGCGCTCGTGATTAAGGGGAAAGAGTAGAAATGTCCCGGGATAAGATCGCGAGGATCGGAGGAAATTTAAGCCCGGTCCTGCTTAATCGGCCGAGCCTGAGGATTCGTGGGGAAAGATCTCCGAGGGAATACGCCAAAAGGGTAAACCTTCGCGGGACAATTGCACCTATTCTTTTAAAGAGGCAAGCAACCGAACGCTTCGGTCGCAACCTAACCTAACCTTGCATTATTAAGAAATGCGGTAGCGTCTCAGACAAGTTCATGGACCCGATTTACGTATCTGCCCCAATTTTTCTAGCTTTCTGTAAAGAACACCTCGTGTCGCGCCGACTAAGCGCTCCGGTTATAACCTAACCTAACTAAATCCTCCAATTTGCCGACAATCGTCCGGAATTTCGGTGAGTATGCGTTTCTTGTCTAAATGGTAAGGTCGCCGGAATCGACGATCCGGAGCGGCGGATAAGGGCACGTATGCGTATTTATATCGCCGCGGATATGGATGCGGATATGGATAGGAGCGGATGGATGGATAGGCGGTGTGTCGTGTAGGAGAACCGGGCCTCGCGTTGCGGTGGTCGCAATAAACTTTGCGTCGCTTGTGTTGCGGGCGGAGCATAACGTGCCGCATACGGCCAAGGTGCGGCTTCATCCACAATCTCGACTTCATCCTATAGCCATTATGCGAGCAAACCCCCCGCCTGCCCCCTGCCCTCGGATAAAGCTACGTCCACAACCGGCGCGATTTAATTAAATCTTCCCCCACGTGTTCAGAAAAAAAAAAGGGGAATTATTTTCAGAATTTCTTACGTCTTCCCTATAACTGGCTAGGACTCGAAATATCGTTCGCGCTGAACATCCATAGTGGATATTTTGGAGATATAGAGCGAAGTCGCGAAGATTCTGGATAAATGAAAATGGGGGAAATGAAAATTTCTGAAATTTCTACAATTTGTTTAAGGAGGAGTGTCAAAGAGTGTCTCTTGGATCGCTGTCTTGTGAACGATCCATTAGGTATCGGTCGGCGGTGTGTACACACACGTTCGCTGGGCGCGTCCGCATATCTGCGACGGGCGACTTCACGCCGAGAGAAACGTACGTCTTTGATGTAGCCGCCGCGTGCGGGGGACAGATATTATCGTCGTCTTAGAAACTCCCCGTGCGCGAAGGCGCGCTCGTTTTCTTCCTTTTCGAGGTCCCCGGGAATATCGACGTCCCGATGACGAATGTACTCCCCCGGGACCGTCGACTCAAGGCCCAGTAAATTGAAGACGAGGCTTAAGGATCCCGGCCATTGCGACAGATCCTATGGTCGCGGCCATTTTATTATGGGCACGAGCCTTTCTTCTTTACGGCTTTTTATACGCGACCCCTCGCCTCGTCCGTTTGAATTGGACGTCGACCATTGGACGCGTACGACGGTCCGCCATCTTGCGTTGAGTTGTCCGATGCCTTTAATCGGTAAATCGCGGCTGAACGTTTGATCGAATCTTTTCTTTAACTTTTGCAGGACTGTTTCCCTCGTTGAGCACACTTTAAATAAGGACGAAGAGAACATCTACTAGACCGAGAGGAAATCGCGGATACCGATGTCGGTCGAGCTACTTCGTAAGTAGTTTCTTGTTAAAGGATCAGCTAATGATCGATGGAGTTGGTTGCAGGCCGCGCAATTAAGTTACTTGCAGCGGATTGAGCAGAAGCTGTGAGGAGTCGCGCACCGCTTAATAGGAAGATCCTATCTGGGGATCATCTATCATTCCGGTCCAGTCCAGTCCAGTCGCAGCTTATACCACTCAGACTCGGATACTCGAGGATTGCTATTTGCACGCGACAAAATCCATTACTCATGCCTCGTCAAGAGTCCCTCGTCGTGAGAGCTCGACCGGAAGCGAAACCACGGAAGAGGAAGGCTTCCTCAGGAATTCTTGGAAATCCTGGAGACACTCCCGCCGCTTCTGGAACTCACCTTTCGCCGAGGACGGAAGGAAAAGGAAAAGAAGACGTTTGGCGTGGAATGAAATTTTTTAACCGAAGAAGAACCAAGATGGCGCCATCTTCTGAACGCATGGACACCCTTCATCTTGCGGATTGCCAGTTCATTTTATATTAAGCAATTGGTTAATTGTGAAGGCCCAAGATCGAAAGAATCGACTTGGCTGTTTGCTAACCCTTTAGGGGGGTCCGTGGTGAATGTCGATTCGCGATCTGTCAGGAAACCATGAAAGGGCCTGATCGATCCGCTGACATTGGTGGCTACGGGCCCCCTTCAGCCTAGATCGCTCAAAAACCAAAAATGTCAAATGTGCTTTAGGACACGGCCGCATTCCGAGCTCCGAATGCGCGGTGCTCGGATCACAGAGGTGCCGCAATGTTTGACCTGGGCCGCCGATAGTGCAGGAAACGGAAATTGGTGCCGCGGAAACAAAGCCTGAGCAAATAGACTTTGGTACCCCGAAGGATATTACTAAGAGCAAATAGAGTCCGGGCTATCGGGACCCGAGAGCCGGCAAGCCGCAAGCGACAAATATTGTCACATCCGAGGGCCCGTTCCGGGGGCCCCGGACCAACCCCGAGCGAGATAACGAGGCGCGCGATTGCGGACCCCCGAATTAGCAGTGGGGCCCTAAGGCCTAACTCGAGGCCTCGGCGGCACGAGGGGTCCCTAGAGACCCTCCGATCCCGAGATAGGAGAAAGCCCCCGAAGAAAGCTGCCCCAATCTGAGCTCTGTTCCAGGGACCCTTTTGGGTCCTTTGGGTCCCACTGGGCCCTTTGGTTCAGCACGAGCCGCGGAACGCCACCCCGAAGAATTCCGCGGTCTTTCGGGGCCCGGCCCTAGGCAGGTACTAATTGAAATGTCAGAAATCATCCCCCGGAAAGGGTCCATTGGGACCGATGAAGCTGCCTCTTGAGTGAAGGGTGTCACTAATAACACCCGATGCCAAATAACGATGACGTGAAATTGATAGAATGGTCCTTCGTTTTTTCTTACGGGGCCACTTTTCCGTGACAATTCGATTATCGTCATTGGGTCTTATTGGAACTTAACGGGTAAGCCGGGGATTAACTGCCGCCCGAGATCGATGCGAGTTAAACGAACCGTAACAATTAGAGGCCTCATTTAGTCTAAGCGGTTCGATTAGGGCCTTCGAACTCCGCGGCTCACTCTTGCACAGCTTTCGCCATTTTGCGGGGGGTCCGTTTAAATAACCTCAAATTAACAAGGCTTTAAAGATCCAAGGAAACGATCGCCGCGATTATGAGGGCAATAACTCCTCGAAATGGCAGTCAGGCCCGATTTATCCGTCATACTGCAGTTCGATATTAGCTGAATCCTTCTCGTGGGCTTCATTGGGCATAAGGCCCTTAAAAGGCCGCCCTTGAAGTTAAAAGTAGCGCGGCATCTCATAGACTCAGTAGAAGAAGCACCCCGAAATCCTAGATCTCCTCTCGGAGGGTTGCGGGTCGCAGGAGCATCCCTTTCCTCGCCCTTCCAAGCGCGTCAGGCCCCAGCGGGCCCCAAACGCGGGCCCGCTGGGGGCGGTGGAGGAGTCGAGATGCTCCCTCGGAGGTCGTCCAATGAAGCGCTCCCGCGCGTCTCTCCGGGCGTGGCCAAACTCCTGGCGATGGCTCGCGGAGGCTGTGGAGGGGTCGCGGTCCAGCGTCTAAGTGGGGGGCCCGAAGCGACTACTGTGCATTTCCCACGTGCCCTGGGAACCCTTGCGGCGGTGCGGCGGCCCCCGCGCGCCCCTCCACGTCGGGCCCCGTCCACGTCCCGGGCCCCTCGCGTCGTCTCTCTTTCTCCGTCCGCGTGCGATCGACGGACGGCGGCGCTCTCCAAGAGAGACTCGTGAGAAGGGAGAATCATCCCGCGGGGAAGGGGGGGTCGATCGGACCCCTCTGGGAGTCGGAAGGACGAGGCAGCGCGTCCGCACGCCGATATCGGGCCAGGGGTCGTCCGTGACAGTGACCCAGGTCGGGCCCGGTCGGGTCCGGTCGGGCCCGGGTCATGGAGGTCGGCCGGGAGTCGCGGGGGCCCGTGACCCCATGAGATCCCCCGGCGACCCGAATCCCAGAAGATCCGGGCCCGACGTCGGCGGCGGCCGGGAGTTGAGCCCGGTCCCCTGGGTCCCCGGATCCCCCGGTCCCGCGAGTGCCCTTTGCCGCCGGTGCTACCTCCGCAGCCGCTTTGACTCCGGGATGTGGTAGTGGTGGCTACCGCCCCCGCGGGGGGCAGGAGTACCCCTGACGGGGCCCGCGCTTGCGGCGCGCGTGGGTAGGGCCCGCGCGGGCCCCGTCGCAGGGGCGGGCCTTGGCCGGGGTGGGGATGGGCCCGGGGCCCGGGGCCCCGCGCCTAGCGGGAGCTCAAGAAGCCGTCTCTCGAAGGATTTGTGAGTAACCGCGCTGCTATTCGGCGACCGCCGAGACAAGGACGGAGCCCCCTCGACGGGTAAAAAGCGCTACTACTTCCTTCACCACCGCCACCACCCACACCGACGCGCCGCCGCCCCCCTCGGGACGGGCCCCGTACACGTCCGCGCGTCTCGCGACTACTTCCCATCGGTCCCCACCGAACCGCCACGGGCCCGACTGTGAAAAGGGGCTCGAGATTGTGTGCGCATCCGACTACTTCCTTGGCAGCTCTCTCTGCCTCCTCCGCGAGGGGCCTAGGTGTGTGCGAGCGCCGCCGAGGAAGAGGTGTTACACGGGGCCGGGGCCCGTACACCAGCGTCCCGCCGACGGGGCCCGGACCCCGGTAGGGAGGGTCCTCCAACCAGAAGAAGCGGACCCCTTGGCCACGTTACTACGACCTACCAGTCTTCTGGGCTCTACTATTCGGGGCTACCAAGTACCAACCGAACGCCGTGGGACCCACCACCACTCCACGCCCGCCAGTCGACGCCAAGCACCCAAACGGTCCAGACCCGTCCTTCCTACGGCTTCCTTACTGCTTACCGCTCCCTGCCGGCTCCCTGGCCCATTACACGCCGCACACGACTGGCACCCTGCACCCTGCCGGCTCCCAGCCAGTAAGGCCCAAACCGCTCTCCTCGGCGATCCCCTCGGCGAGCCCCTCGCCCGGTCGCTGCGAGCGGACCGCGACGCTCCTTCGCGCTCGCGCCCGGTTTTCGACGCCCCTGTTACCATTGGGCCCACTGGGACCGCTGCTGGGACCGCTGCCTGGAAACACTTCGGATCTGCCGACCGGTAAGTCACACTTTTGCCCTCCTTCGTGTCTGCTGCGTCTCTTCGACTTCTTTCCGTGCCGCGATGCTCTCGGGCCCATTGGGCCTTGTTCCGTACCAACGATGAATTTCAAAGCAACATCGTGCAAATTAATTTTCTACAGTCGAGTGGATGTTTCGATTTATCGGGCTTTTTCTAATTTCCATGTCCCTTAGACAGGTTTTGAGCCTTGACTATTCTGGGTCCGTTGGGACTTATTTCGCGACAACGATGTGTTTCGATGTCAATTTTGAGAATTACTGCGGAATTTAATGCGGGAAATGGGGATTTGTTTTCGTTGAGGTTTATTTTGGGGCGAGGGAGGGGGGTACTTTTGGGACTTGAACGTGGTGGGGCTAAAATTCGGATTTTTGGAGATATTGAAATTTGAGAATGTCGTATACCAATCTTGGGGAGATTCTCCGGTGGGCTCGGCGCTCCTTAAATTCTCGGAGGTGCCCAGCTTGATCGATCGTTATCGATTTGCGTCATTATCGCGACAAGTCGTAATCTCGACGTCGGCGATTCCGCGACAACTCCGAGGTTGACACTTCCGCCAACCGGATAACCAGCCGGTCTTGATAATGCTCCGCAAATCCCGGTATTGACTCACCCGAGTCAACAGCGTGCTCCGCACCCACTCTCGAAGAGTGTCTTCCTCCGGTTACCGAAATGACGCAACTCGCCGATAGTAAGGCCCAAAAGAAATCGACGAGGACGGAAGTCCCTTTTTCGGGCCCATTAAAAAGAAAAGAAAAAAAAATACCGCCTCGCGAACGGCACAATGTGACAGATAAAAAAAACTCGCGACACTTTCGAATAACAATTCCTGACTGGTGATTTCCAAAATTTCAAGAAATCATTTAGGAAAATGAATTTTCACTTTTAATTTCACATGATTTAGGCGTCCGTCGGGCGAGAGCAATTATATCTGGATATCGAAAACATGACAGGAATTAAATAAAAAATTGTTCGGTAGTTAATTAATAATGCGCCGAGGGTGAAACATTATTTAACATTCCGTGTAAATCAGCAGTAAGATATTGAAATTAATGATTCTCGAAGGAAGTACCGAGCGTCCGTCCGACGGCCTCGGTGAGATTTCGCTTCTTCCTTAGAAATTGGGCCCGTTGGCCAAAGTATGTCCCAATACTAATATCAGTTCATTGAATTGTATAAAGTTGTGAGATTTATTCCTGGTTTCATGACTTTGCGGTATCAATGTTAATGATTTTCGACACCATTCGCCCGATGAACCGAGCTTGTCGGCGATAATAAGGCCCAATTATTGGTGGGGAATAATTCCAAGTGAAACTCCTATGTCTGAATACATTAGAAACAGGTTAGGCGTGGGTTGGCTGCCACCATTTCATTCGCGGTATCAAATGGGCCCGCGCGGCATTGGGCCCTTCCGAGGCGACATCGGGCCCATAGAAAGGGAGGGTGTGGTCCCAGCGCGTGTTCTCGGTAGCGAGTGGCCTAAAACCGGTAGCTCGGTTTTGGCGTAGGGCGGTGCACGGTAGCTCCTGATTGGTCCAAGAGGAACCGCCAAAGAACGGGCCCCCTCTCGTCCATCGGGCCCTGCGACCCAGCACACGCACGGTAGCCGCTCTTTGGTTGGCTGCTACCTTCTTATCCGTTTTATTCGGCCACTCCGGGGGGAAAGCGGTCTGGGACCTATCAGGGATCGGTCCCACTTGGGCGAATTTCCCCAAGGGGAGCGATTGGGCCCACTTTCTATTGGTCCCCAGAGAACCTTCTTCGTTGTATCTCTCGGTTCCTTGCATCTCCCTCGAATGGTAGCATGCACGGTAGCCGTAATTTTTGGGCCTTATTCTCGCCAACCTCTACGTCCCCCCATTCCGCTTTTTCAATGTAAATGTAACGCTTCTTGAATTCTCCTCATATTCCTCAATTCAGAAGACGTGAGATTTGTAACAGTAAAAAATTACATAATTTGACATCGGGGCCCTATTGGGCCCAAATTTTTCTTTCATTCTCATTCTTTTTACATTTCTTTAATATCGGAGCCACTCTCGTGTAGGGATCGCGTTCCGAAGGAGTGACGTTGGTCCCGTTTTGGTCTAGGCTTTGTTACGGCCACATAGGGCCCAAAATCGGGGGATTTCTCGATATCGGGAGTGCTCTCGGATGAAGGTTGAGGAGCGAAGGAGCAAGATCAAAGGAGTGAGGCCAACGGGCCCCGAAGAAGGAGAAAAGGCAGGGAGGGGACCCGGGCCGTGGTGGGGGAAGAGCGGGGATCCAGGGGGGAGGGCAGGAGCGTGCGTAACTCGGGGGCCCAATTAGGCCCCTCCGCCGGCGTTAGGCTCGCTAACCAACCGGGCTACGCCCCGGCACGCTTATTACTCATTCGGACACGCCACTTTATTCGAGCGTGCCGCACCAACCGGTAGCCGAGGATCCACAATGGCCGCGATCTCGCAGGCGAAACTCCCTCTGGGTATTGCGGATCCAAAGAGGTTAGGGGGACGGGGCCTCAAATGGGACTCAAATGTGACTCGGTTCTCCAGAGACCGCCGATCATAGACTCCTCACCGCTAAATTCCCTTGGTAGCAAGGACAATTAAGATGATATTCAATAACTCGCTTAAAATTGAGTCATTTCCCATCGGGCCCAATTTTACTAACCTCTTTCAGTAGGACGTGGACGCTAAATATATTTTTAGGATGGGGAGATAGATTGGGAATAGTTCGGTCTCTAATGCTCCGACTGAGTTTGGCCATGGTCACTTTGGAATTTTATTTTAATTAATTTTGAACGTGTAGAGGAAATATATTTTTAGGATGAGCAGATGGATTGGGAATAGTCCTGTCTCTAATGATCCGGCTAAGTTTGGACGTGGTCATGTTGGAATTCACCCCCCGCGCAGTCCCGAAACCTCATGCGAGTGATCCTCGATACCCCTGGATCGGGAACGGACCGATCTCTGAAGTTCCTAACGATTCTGTCCACAGGTAGCCAACCCGGCGCTATCCATCCACCTCCGAGAAGGCCCGTGATCTCATCCAAGGAGGCGAGACCAGGCGGGAGGAGACCCACCGGCCACCAAGACAGACAAAGAGAGAGCCCCTCTACAAAAGAGTGGGGAGGATCCCAGAGAGACAGAGAAAGAGAGAGCAGAGATAGAGAGTTCTCGTCTGGCAGAAGAGGGAGCGGTGGGAATTTATAAGGATGTTCGCGATAATGCCGATGGAGACAGAGGGGCACGGCAGGGAGTTCGGCCGGCGGCAGAAGATGCGCGCCAAGTGCACCGTCGAGTTCGTCTGCAAGTACTGCCAGCGACGCTTCACCAAGCCCTACAACCTCATGATCCACGAACGCAGCCACAAGGACGACGTCACCTTCACCTGCGAGGTCTGCGGCAAGTCCTTCAAGCGGCAGGACAACCTCAAGCAGCACAGGTACCGCTCTCAGCGACCTCCACTCGACTCGGTCCCTCTTGGTCCCAGCTGGCACCAACTGCTACCAGCTGGTCCCAGCTGGTACCGACCTCCTGTCGGCTGATCCTTGCACCAAGGAACCGTCTCCTTTTCCTCCAGCCAAGGTACCAAGTCGAAGTTCTCCCTTCTGGCGACGTGCGCCCGCTCGTCTGCATCCTTGCCTCTTGTCTCTTAGTAAGGATTAATTTTTTTCCCTCATTTTCCTGCGAATCTAGGCAGGATTTGGCATGACTCGACTTGGTATCCCATGGTATTGTGTCCCATGTCACCTGGATTTCGTTTTAAAGGGATATTTCTAGGAGAGTTTGATGTATTTCGCATTTTTTTCTAATATCAACCTCGCCTTCGCGGAAATCCAAGATGGCGGACGGACGCCGCTGAGAACTAGAGATTTGGCGGCGAAATGCCGAGTTTGCGGGAGGATTCCGGTATTATTGCTGGAGATGTGCTATCCTGCGAGTGATTTAATACGAAAACTGTGAAACTAGAGATTTTATGCACGGTGAAATTGCGTTTGAAGGTGTGGCGGCGTGCCCGTCGGGTCGTTGCTTTCCTGCGGTCTCGGTAAGGTGTGAAATACGTGTCTAGTACGTTTCGATGTAACGTTAATTGCAGTCAACTTTTTCACGAACCGGTTCGTTACGGTGGTAAATTAAGGGGCGAGGCAAATATTCTTTGAACATAATTCAGTGGTGACATGTAGGTTAAGGAGACTAATCCCTGGTGCGAGGAGACTCGAAATCCGTTTTCCCTTCGAAGGAGATTAACGTTCCCTCGAATTTCTTTTCAATCCTTCTTCGAGCAAAGTGCGTATATTATTTTCGCACGCGTTCATTTAACCCCCGGTGACATTTATTAGTCTCATCGTCCATAATTCATCCTGGAAGTAAGAATGAATTTCTGGCACGAATCTCATCAAGGAAAAACGGAATTTCAAGTATGCCGACCTGTCCTCCCAAGTTTGTAAATAAATTTTAAGGAAGGAAAAAAGAGAGAGAGAGAGACGAGCGTACGATCCTGCTCGGCCAGTTCTGCAGAAAGGATAAAATCCAAGGAAGGAGTTAAAAAGCGTTTTCATCGGAAAGTCAGGATCGTGGGCTCGTCGAGACTTGCACCTGCACGAACAATTGCACATTACTGATATGGTTCTCGTTTGTTTATAACGTACGATACAGTGGTTTCTTCTGGAATGACGAGCATGGGGATAAAATAACCCGAATACGTAGAAGTTTTAACGAGAGTCGATGGAAAATCCACCGGGTCGGAGAATAAATGCGCGATGGACTTGCCGGAACTTCTGGGAAAGAGATTTCGAATTGTTCGTCGAGCATGGTCCATATATAACCTAGAAATTAATGGTACAAACGTAGTTACGGGGAGAATTTCCAATAACCGATTTTAGTCGAGTTGTCTACTTACTCTCTACTATGAAAGAATGTTCAAAATTGCAAATAAAGCGCGAAAAAATTTAAAAAAGGGGAGAAAAAAAATTGTCCGGTGGCGGGATTCGAACCCTGTCACCCTCTCGGCATCCGTCGAGCACGCGACGCGCCTCTCCGGGTCCACATAACCTATAAATCAGAGCAAAACGGGCTCGGTCGCGCGGAAATAACGCGAGCAGGGCCGATAAAATAAATCTCTGACGGTGGATATACTAATGGATACTTTGTATGTAACGGCGGTGGTCTTGTTCTGTTCTGTTGTAGATGTGGGTGGCGGTGAGCGGGAGCTCTGAACCTCCTGCCTTCGAAAAAAAAAAAATGACAAAAAAGCGAAAAAAAAAACAATACGTACAGTCAGAACGCCCTCTTCTCTCATCCCCAGACCCTCTGACAATTTCCCTGGGGCCGGTAAAGAACTGGAGAGGAGAAATGGGGAGTTTGTCGGAGAGAGCGAGAGAGCCCGTCGGGAGATAATCGGATGACCGCCACCTCTAGACCCGGCATGCCTTAAAAGCTACATACATGTCTTAGACACTACACTCGGACCACCTTCTTAGTCACTTGGACGCCTTGGTCTGTGTCTCTCGCCTGCACACTAACCCGTATTCTCTAACACAATGTCCGACTCTTGGAGTTCTACCAGGCTGAGAAACCCTGACCCTCCGATTCGCGATCTCTCTGTTCCAGGAGCATACACTCCGTTCCCTACAAGGGCTCCAACGGCTACTCGAATGGCTATTCGAATGGCTATTCAAACGGCTACTCTAGGTACTAGAAGGCCGTTCCTGCCAAGAGACCCCGACCCCGCAGAACCCCATCCCCTAGGGACCTCATGTAGCGCTCTAATGTACCCCATCGCCGTCCTAACCCCACCCTGGGCCATCCTAACCCGCCCCCCAGTCCCGGATCGACGCGAAACGCGACTTCGATTTCGCCTGAAAATTAGAGGGAACGAGGGAAAGAATGAAAGAGGGAGGAAAGAGGAGAATGGGAGTGAGCACCGCTGCGCAACTGGCCCGGATCGGAGCAAGAATGGGCCCCTGGTTTGGGCTAGGGGCTGACTGGTTCGTTGGGCCGATGTCAGCCGCGGATTGGATCTGAATTCGGCATAAATGGAATTGGAAGTCCACGAACAACCGGGAGGAAGAAATTGGATCTTTTTCATCGGAAGGAATCGAGGAGGGCAACAATTGGGCCCTATTCGTGGGCCTCTGGTCTTTGGCGGTGGTAACCGAGTTTATGAACCAAGCCGATCTTCGCCTGGCTGATGTCCTAAATTGGAATACATAATAACCGACCATCCGTTCCTCGGGGATGCTACCGAAGTATACTAAGCCGTGGCTACCGTGAACCACGCCCAGGCCCGGGGCGACATCGGAAGATGGGCCTTACCACCTGGGACCCTCTGAGTCGGTCCGCTCAACTGAGTCCATCCTTCCTTCCGAGCTTCCTGCCGAAGAACGCTCGTCACTTAACGAACAGAGGCGACCCCCAGCAACGACCATCTTCCCCGAGATTGGGACCGACGTAAGTCCCATTCTCACGTCGGCAGAAATTGAGATCGAATCCTGAAATGACCCTCACCGACGTTTATTCTTCGCTTCAAAGACAAGGGATCAAGACCAACGAACGCGTTAACTTCGTCAGTGGACCTCCGGCCCAATATTTGGGCCCGCTCGATTGGGACCAACATCAAGAAGCACCGAGTCGGAGCATCTCAGCTGGCCCCCCGATTTCCCGAGAATCGAAGGCATCTTCAAAATCTCTGAAAAGAAGACTCCTCGGGATTTCAACATCAGGCCCAATATGGTCATCGGTTCCAGTTCGTCCGGGATTACTTTTGGGGATGCCGTCGCGAGTTCGCGATTTCGGAGCTACCGTGGGCCCCGCCCAGGCCTGAAGCGAACCTGGGAATCGGGCCCTGCCATTTGGGACTGTCTCGACGGGCCCTATCGGAAACGGGGCCAGTTTCCGTCACGAGGGACGACCTTACCGCCAAGGATGAAGCACTCGACCCCTGGGACACTCATCTCTGACGACGTTCGCTTCTTTTCCACCAGGTAAACATCGGGCCCAACTTGTCGGTTCCACTTTGTCCAGGCGCCGGGCCCGATCGAGCGGACCGATCGGACTCGGAATCGGGCCCGATTGGCCGTGACGTTCGGGACCGATCGTGATCGATCGCGACCGACTTGGTCACGCCGATCTCCCTCCAACATTTCCCCTCGTTTCTCTAGGCGCCATCTTTCTTTCGCGCCGCGATCGCGCCTCGTTCTGCAGCGTCCGAAAAGTGGTCGGAAAAATTCGGAAAAAAAAATCGGAATAAATTCGAAAAAATTGCCAGACGTCGAGCCGAATCTTGTCGTAGAATGCATTAGGCTTCTTGTTCAGGAAGTAAAATAAGACATTAGCGACAGAGAACCGCAATCGGCAGGGAAAAGTCTTCAACGCTGCGGCTTCTCGAGTCCTCGAGAGCGTCCCTGCAGCACCCTTTTCGCACTAACCAGTCGATTCGTAAAAAAGGGCAGAAAAGCTCCGTTAATAGCTGACTTAGTCACGTAACATTTAACACTTAACACGTCGCAAGCGATCCGCCCCTTCCCCGTTTCCCCGTTTTCCAAAAATGAGACTGCAGTCGCGCTTTGTACATAGCTTGACGGACAAAGACACCGTGTTTTTAATATTATTATTAATAATATTATTATTATATTATAAATATTGCGAGTATTATGAGCAGCTATTATTATTATTAATTATTATTAATTATTTTATGAATTTAATATCAGCGGATAGGCCTTTGAGCACGGTAGGCGTCGAGAGATATCGTAGTGCTGTACCCATGTTGTACCTAGTACTAGGCGTGATAATAATTTTATTAATTATTACTGTATATCTATTTTATGTCTACCGCTAGCATTACACGAGCCGAGGACCCGGGGACGTGGGGGATTTAAATCCTTTCTCAAAGAAGGTCCCCGCTTTCCTGGGCCTCCTCGGCGGGATGCAATTGTACTGTGGGACGTCCCACCACCAGCCTACGAAATAAATTTGCCAAGTCGAAAATTGTTACAACTTTTGGATTCTAGCACCCTTCCTTGCAGACTCGACGAACCACCTAGGCGACCCAGGAGGTGCTGATGCTCGGGGAAGATGCCGATACGAATTTTTTCTCTCTTAATCTCTATTTTATTCACCCGTGGGAGGTAAGTGTGGTTAATTTAATTGCATGTAAATTAAGTGCGAGACGCAGCGATGATGGCTATGGATTAACAGCGATGCACCGCATTGCCGGATGCATCGGAGTCGAAAAAGTGCTAATCGCGGGTAGGCATCTTCTATCTTCTTTCCGATGCGTGTGTTGCAAGCGCTGATCGCGGGGATTACGATCACGGGGCGAAGGGGTGCCGAGAGCCTTACTGCGCAACACCGTTGTCCTCGTTAAGTTACACGGAGGTGCATGTACTTTGTCAGAGGAGAACAGCCTCGGCGGATGCACCCGCTCGCGAGTGCACACATGCAGAGGAGGTGCGTGCTTCGCCGATCAGAGAAGTCTCAATATCGTGCGACGTCTTGTCAAGCCCCGCGTCGATGGCCGCCATTTTTGTTTCCGCGCGGGTGGCCGAGTCCTACTTTTAATAAATTGTTTATAAAAAGTTACGATCAAGAGAGGCATGCACGGTCCATTAAATGGAATTATTTGAATATTTCTAAAGGATTTTTGTGAATAACACAAACAAAAAAATGCACACGGAACGCGTATTTATTTAGTCAGAGAAATCGAAATATCGCGCGTGGTCGCCATTTTGATTTTCGCTAGGACGAACGAGAATTTGATTTTAAGGGAAGTATTAACAGAAAATTATAAGAAAGGGAGGTATGTATTACGTGGTTAACGACGTGGAATTAATTCGTCGATTGGTTGAGGATTTTCGAGAATAAAGAATACGACGATTTTGTATGCAAGTCTCGTGCACAATTGACACCTTTCCTTCCCATCATTCCATGGCATCGCACTCCTCGTCCTGGTATACGGAAAGTCGACTCTCACCACCCGGGGCAAAAGTCGTGACCCCCTCGCTACCGTAGCTCGTAAAGCTAAGGTTATCCCGGAGACTCCAATTTCCAGGTTTTCACCGTCGACCCAGAAGACGGTAGCCTTGACCCCCGATGAAATCGACAGGACGTCCCGGAAGAGGGAGTCGAAGAAGGAGCCCAAGTCGGAGTGGAAATTCGAGGCAAGAGGGAGAGGTCCTGGTAGCGAGCAGGAGCTTCCCATGGACTCTCACCCCCGCAGGGTTCTAGTGAACTTCAGGATGCACGCCGTAGCTGGGTGCGATCCTTTTCGGGTGAAAGGTCGAGAAAAATCCGAGGCGATTGGCGTTAATGACTCCAATGCCACTGACTGCTTTCACCTGGAAGAGAGAGAAGCCGAAGAGGACCTCCTGGACCAGGAGAGCTCAAAGGACGAGGTGGATCCTCCAACGACCCGATGAACTATGATCCTCGGCCACTCTCAAAGACAAATCGACCCCTTGCATCCGTTATCCTTTATTCCGATCCGTGTCTTGCTAACAGCGGTCCATGTCCTGCTAACGCATCAGGGCATGGCACCATGAAGAGTTAATCAATTAACCATGAGTCCTTTTTCCCTAGTCGAACCTTTGCTCCTACCACGCCTTAATGATCCTTGGATCGGCAGGACATGGTATGTACCCTTTGGTCCTGGAAGGGCAGCTACCATCTTGAAGGAGTCGTTTTGGATCCTTTTTTTCTTTCGAGAGGCTCCTTGGTAATCCTACGACGCGCCTCGATCCCACCTCGAAAGAAGGACATCCTAAAGGGTAGCCTCTCGATAAGGCGAGTCCTTTCGGAGACCCGGCGGATATCGTAAAGGTTAGCACCGCGTCGAGGCTGCGCGAGAGAGAGGGCGCGATGGCTCCGGCCGGGTGTCAGAGGGAGACGGAGCGAGAAGACGGAGGGGAAGACGGTCCCCTTGGGCGAACACGAGGTGTGTTTTGCTCGAGTGGTCTCACCCACGGTTCACGAGATGTAGTAACTGGTACATAGCTACGTAGCTAAGCGGTATATTAAACGATCCAGTCCCCGGTCGGCTGGTAGGATATCTCGGAGGCAGTCTAGGATCTGTGGGAGCGCCTTTCACCTAATTGTTGGCACAATATGTGAAGACGGAGGCCCCACGGTTCCCAGCAACTTCTGGAGGATCCCCAGGGCTACCACTACCGAGAAGCTACCAGGGCCCGACCGGTCTCGGCGTCAACCTGCCCCCGGAATCGTCTAAGATGACCCCAACAGAGACCGGACTTCTGGGTTTGTGTCCCTCTGCCCTGCTTCCCACGTCACCTCATTCATGATTTCTCTCCATCTCCTAGACATCATTCTCCCTAAAAAAATTAAAAAAATTGACTTTCTAGACATTTTCAAAGGATTCGTCCGAAGGTCCTGACTTTAGGGAGGACCTGGTCTCCCTTCGCACGGGAGGCGGGAGAGCTCTTCAAGGTACATGCTGATCTTTGATGGATATTCAAATAATTCTGGATGGCTACAGTTCTCATTCATGATTCTTTCTCATTCGTTCATAGTAAAAAGTTTGACTATCTAGAAATTGGATTTGTAGGATTTGTGGAAAGTGCAGGTTTTGGGCTTGGGAAGGACTTGTAGTCTCTCTTCGTCGGAGGCTGAAGACTTCTTCGAGGCACTTGCTGACGTTGGTTGGTGCCGATTGAAACATTTCCATATTACGATCTGGGAACCGCGTGTTATGACAGATCCCGGTTCCCGAGGGTTTTACGGGTTTTACGTCTTTATGGAAAAGGACCACCCGGGCTCGTCCTTTTCTTCTGGTCGTGGAACCACGAGGACTCCCGGCGATGATTTCTCGGGTGATGACTGGAGACGGCACCGCGGTCGGTAGATTTCTCCGTCTATCGGGATCCGGTGGTGACTGGAGGATTTACATATTACAATCTACGAAAATAGCTGCCGCATCGGGAGAGCGGCCAGTAGGCGAGAGCAGCCTACAAAAACCCATTCCGGATCCTTCCTGGCGGGCGATTCGCCTCGATCTATAAATTACAAGGCGAGACCGCCTCCGCGGACCCGGACGAGCTCGAGGTCTGACCTACTCGGTGGTTGCTGTCTTTAATAATAATTGTTTATGCCGCCGGATCATCGGGGATGGCGTTTAAGGCCGGAGGTGGACCCGCCGGAGGGACCCTAGGAGCCAGGAATTCCTCAAACGTCGACCTTAATGGAGCGACCCTAACGTCGCTACCGAACTTCAAGGTCCGATTTACTTACTCGTCTTCAATAAACGAAGGCATATTCACTCATATGTGTTGGCATTTGGTGCGAAACTCCACCACTTAAGGAGCCCTTACTATCAAATGATGAGATGTAATTAAGTTTTTTCCTGACTCCGATATGAAGTTTTCGGAGGTCCTTGTGATTTAACGAATTGTATGAAAATTCAAGCTTCGTCGCTAGGACCTGGACATCCAAAATGGGGAGTGGAAGAAATTTAGAGTCCTGGAAGCCAGGAATTACTGAAACGTCGACCTTAATGGAGCGACCCTGACGTCGGTACCGAACTTCAACGTTCGAGTTGCGCGACAAATTGTTCGGAAATTTAAAGTTGCAGCTCAATCCCCAGAACCTGGATAACCAAAAATGGAGGACCGGGGCGAATTTTCAACGACAGTCCTTGGTCTTGGTCCCCAAGGTGCAGGCACCTCCATGATGGTCCGCCCACGCCCATCTGACTTGGACCCCCACAAGACGGTAACCAAATCCCCTATGGTACCGGTAACCCTAACCTATGGGTAACCAATGGGTAAGCAATGGGTAATCTATGCCTAAGTAAGGGGTTACCAGCGGGTTTCCTGAGAATAGCCTCTGGTTTTAGGTTCCTGGACCCCGGGCTTCCGGTTTGAGGAAATCCGGAGGATCGCGTGCTCGCGTGTGCCTAATGAGCCCTGGCGGCGCCCTAATCGACTAGCGTCGATGAAATATTAGTTCGGAAGCTTCGAATCCGCCATTTTGGCCCCCCAAGTCAGTCCACTCCCCCGGGTGCCGAACTTCCTGACCGGGTCCTTCCAGGCTGTCCCACTGAGCGCGTCGCGTCAGTCGCAGCACATCAAAAACCCACCCAAATTAACATTTCCTTGCGGAAGTAACGTTAGTGGATAATTGTAGGTACAGTTCTGATTAATTTTTTATTATTCTTCAGTTCTACATGTCCTGGGGGACCCTCGACGCGCTCAATGGGACAGTCTCATTGTGGACCCTTTGAAGATCTTCAGGCACCCCGAAAAGGTCCTTTAGGATGGTCAGGCCATTTCAGGAGCGCATATTTCGACAGGGCAGTATTTCATCGACAAGTTAAGCCGATCTTACATCCATTTTCTTCCGTGGCTCGATCCCAGATAGCCGATGAAATGTCACAGCTTGCAGATGCGGCTCCTCTGGGTGTTGCGGTCCAGAGGTGCAACTGCGGCAGAAATCCCGGCGTGCCGCGGCCGGTTTATCGAAGAGCATGATCTAGGCTCGTCATCGGGGAATGTGGGAGTGTTGTTCCTCGGAGTGTCGTCGATCCCTCGACGAGTCGGGCTCTCGTGTCGGATAGGTGTTAGGAGGAAGATCTCCCGGTCGTCAGGTGTCCCAAAAGGTGTCTCGAAGTAAAGTCAGCCTTCGATCGACCTTCCTCGAGGACCCT